ATGGTCCGGAATGCCCCTTTGTTCAGCTAGGTCTGTGTCACCTCCCAGCCTCCCATGAATCCCAAAATTCCTTGACAGCGTGACTGTAGAAAAAGCAGAAAAGGCCTTGGCTCTGTGCAAGACCTGCCCAGCAATAACAAGAAATTAGTGGGTACAAACAAACGTACCAAATCCACCTTTGGATTAAAGAGTGTCAACTCTGCATATATTTCCTTATTTTGTAAAGAAAAATGTAGACTGCAATTTCTGGTGAACTTCCCTTGTTTTCCAAGATTATTCCAGAAAACTCTAAAGAAATGCAGTCCTGTAGCAGAATCATTTTGTACCCAGAGCTCAAATGCTATCAAGATGTTTATTTGCATCCTGCGCTTTTTGATAGAGGAAGAGATGTGAATATAATGTTATCTACCAAAGAGTGAAGGTGGCTGTGAGTTTTTACTTCATTTTTTTACAGAACTGATCTCTAATCAGCAAGTGTCTCACTTTGCATTTACGTTAGTCGTTCCTGTGAAAGTATCTACCTGAATGTTTATTGCAGCTGTGAGTAAATTATAGGCAAAATATGTAATTTTTTTGAGAAAATTCTTTCTTCTTGTAGTCTAATAACAAAGTTTATTAGTTATCTAGAACTGTTTAATTTTCGATGTCATGTCAATTTTATTTTATCAGTTTATTTCCAGCACTGAATATTATAGAGATTAGGTAGATGTTGACTCAGTAGGTAATAAACTAAATCTAGGGTATCATTTTCCAGCAACATGTATATATTTACCGTATTCATGATTCCGTACTTGATAATATAAAAGATATTGAAGTGTGTCTATTTTTGAATACAACCCCTATTCAGATTTATGTGTACTATATAAATCACTACTCTAAATGATGGACTATATATGCAACATAAATACAAATGGAGTTTCACTAACTGTTGGAGTTTCCTTTTCTGAAATTCTGTGTTGAAATACTAGCAAACAGTGCAGGAGCAAGGTCATGCCAACAATGCACTAATTCACCTTGATCATTGAATTCCTTTGCAGCAAGTCAAGAAATTGAGTAATAAAAATAATTTTGTTTAATGTTTTGACTTACTATTTTGTCACAGGAAGCTCAGTTTAAGTTCACCATCACTTTATAGTATGAAATCTGAGGATGAAGGCAGCCTGAACATCAAGACAGAATAGTGTTTGGTAATGAACTACTGGACTGTGGTCCTTTAAAAATTAATTTTTAAAGTTATATAGTATACTGTTGAAGGCTAGAAATAAATGTTTTCTGTTAAAAGAAATTAAAGATTTAATGCATTCACAAAACATACTTTTTTGTAGAGTCAATATCTATTTTTGTAACTTGTTCATTCTTAAAATTAGAACATATTGAATCTGTAACTGTTTTAGAAAAACCATTTTTTTTAAGTTTATATTGACAAAATTGTATAGTCAAATTTGGAATACAACTTCAGCTCTAACCAAAGCAAGTAGAAATTTATTTTTGCAGTAAACAAAGTATGTGGTTACCTACTTTCAAAAGGAACCTCAAATCCCTCAAAATGTCTTTTTTCCTTTTTCCTAAAGTTATGCAGCATCAATACGTGAATGGACAATGTATGGTACTATGACATATTAGCTACATGGCACTAGATAAATTCTGCAGCATTTCAGACCACTTGAAATACATTTTAGCAATTTCAACATGTTTTAATATATAAAACTTCTCAGGTTTGGAATGGAGTTACTTTGTGTGTGTCCTTTTGCTAAAGGGCTGAGAGATGAATCTTAACCAGATAAAAAATTTTGGGACAGAAAGGGAAAACTTCCACTTCCTCTTCATTCAGAATAAAAAAGTTAGGAATTTCTATGCATCAGTATTTGTGAATAGATGGAATGATGGTATTCTAGAATGTATCTCATCGTTAATTTGATGATGCCACTAGTGGAAACAAGTTATTAGTAAATGATGTTTAGAATGTGTGTACTTTTTGAGGAAGAATAGCAAAGCAGTTTCTTGTGCAAATGCCTCTCTGTAGTGGACCATTTATGGGTGTCCTTTCATTCCTGTGATTCTGTGCACTCTAAGCCTGTTTTATTAAAAACCAACCAAACCAAACAAGCAAACAAACCAAACAACAAAACCCCCACAAAAATCCCCCACAAAAACCCCAAACCCACCCTCCCCAAAAATAAATGGACCAGAATGTGGAAATGCCAGAGCTGCTAGATGAGAAAAATTGCATTTTAAACACTTACTGAATCAAAACCATTTAAATTTATTGAATTCATGGTTCACAAACTAGGTACTGTCAACGAGGTACTGCTGAGACATGGTCTGCATTTTCATGATAGCATAGCAACTCCATAAAACTCATTTCTATTAGCATCTTCAGGCCAGAAAAGCAATTACAGACCTCAGCCAGAATGATGTTTTTCCAGTGAGAATATGTTAATACTGAATTATTTTAACAGGGAATATTTGTTAATTCTTTATGCTCAGTAGTGAATGAATAGCTTTTAAAACTTTTCTGCAAAACATTCTGAAATAGCATATATTTCTTGCCACTTTTAAAATACTATTGAAGTTTTTTATCCTACATAACAAATACTCAACTTGTTAAATGTTGTAGCACAAAGGAACGGGTACATTGGCCATTTAGGGGAATAACATAAAAACATCAGTGTTGAATGCCGCATACATTTCTAAAGACATTCTGTGCTTGTATTTTGAGATTACTGCACTTAATGATTGATAAAGCTTTTCCGATACCAGTGTAAATTCTAAGTGTTAAAACCAAAATACTTAATTTATTTGATTAATTCTCATTTTAAGTAACTTTTACGTATGTTCATAGACTCATACAACAGTTTGGGTTGAAAGGGATGTTCAAGATCATCCAGTTCCACCCCAATGCCATGGGTGGGGAAACCTTCCACTAGACCAGATGAAGCAGAGCCCCATCCAACCTGGCATTCAACACATCCAGGGATGGGGCATCCACAATTTCTCTGGGCAACCTGTGCCAGTGTATATCTACTGTAAACCTACATTCTTTCAGTTTGAAGCTTGTCCTGTGACAGATAGGACATGCCCTTGTAAAAAGTCTGAAGACATAATTTTATTTTTTAGGGAACTATGAATTACAATAGAGGTTACTAATATACACCTCTGTGGAATGATGAATACTTCAGTGTAGTAGGGAAAATGAGTGCAATTTGAGTTATATAGAAGTAATTTAATGTAATGATAAGCGTGTCCTAAGTTGAAAATCTCAACTTTACTCTAAATTTTGGTATTTATAAATTCACTTTTTAGTATTTTACTATTTTTATCTCTAAAATATGTAATTTCAAATATTGATACAGGAACTAAATGATGAAAAATGTTTTAAACATCTTTATTTTTATCTTACATATGTTCTAATTTTTCCCCACCAAATCCACATGGTTCTGATGTAAATTTTTAAATTCATGAAGGGAATCATGTAGTGAGTGTTTAATTTTACTGGTAATATTTTACAACTTATTACACTTAATATCAAAAAGAAAAAAAATAGTTTATTAATGAACTTGAAAGCTGAAAATTTCAGAGAGCATTTTATAGAAATGGAAGCAGAAGCGGCAGGAGGAAAGACAGAATTAACTGATCTAAAAAACTAACTGCTACAGTTTTTTAGAATTATCTGCAAAAATGTCTTGAATTCTTTTTCTGTACTGTTTAAACCACCACTGATTGTCATGCAAAGCTAGGTAAGAAAAATACTGTCTATAATTAGTCTGCAATGTAATAGTTGCTTATTTCAGTAAGAAGTGGTAAATAGGCAGTGAAGGGTGAAGGGTCACCTAAAAAAAAGCCCTGTAACTTGCACTCCCCAAGTGAAAAGCATGCTTTTGATTTCCCTCTTTAAAGGGCGTGTCACTTAGTTCCTTTGGTGAAAATGACTTTCCTTCTCCCAGCTTTTATTTCCAGTGCCCAAAGCCGTGGCAGTGTCATGGTATTGCAGTTGCATAAGGGAGTGTAAATAGCAGTGCTGCTTTTAGAACATAATTGTTCAAGTGATCTCAGAGTTCAGCACAGGCGGCTGTTGTGTGTCTGCTTTGATAATAATAATTGACACCAGTAGGACTTTGTTGCTGGAGGGGACACTGACATATCATATCACTCCTGTTTTATCAGCTTCTGCCCCCTTAAAAATTTGTCAGGCAGTGTCTTTTGGTAAACAGTTCTATGCCTGTACAAAAGTGCTTCTACATGCTACTCTCTAGGAGATTTTTTCTTAGTGGACATGTTTTAGAAAATAAAATTATTTTTAATTCTGTATATAGCTTTGGCACAGTCAAACACTAAAATTAATCTCTTTTGGCTTCCTTATATCAGCTTTAGTATTACATATTAAGAGGTGAAAAAGGGCTTGGCACTTTATGTGTTCAGCGTTGTATTATGCAGCAATTTGTAAAGGTGCTTTTCCAGAGTGTTCTTATTCTCGGGACATGTTTTTTGAGGATCATGTTCTTATGACTGAACTTTCTTCTGAAAAATACCTCTTGGATCTTTGGTTGTACATAAATATGTCTATGCTACATAAAAACTTCAAAGTTAAGATTCTGAAAAATAGTCTTGATAGTTTACTGTGCTAACAAATAGCACTGTTTGCAAAATTGTAGTAAAGGTTCTTTACAGCAGGCATTAAAAATATTTTGCTGAGTAAAACTGAGTAACAGTGTACTTACAGTTTGTTTTATATTGCTAAAGACAAAAGGAGCAAGCAGTTGTAAAAGCCTTGAAGACTGTGCAGTCTTTGTCACTCGGATAAAGTCTTGAATATAAATCTCTATAGAAATCTTTACTTATTTGTAGATCTGTTATTGATATATATCAAAAGAATCTCTGCATATGTACATTCTATGATTTAGAAGTAGATTGAATTAATTTTCAACAGATGTTGCAGTTTTTCTTAATATTATAGTGTGCATGCAACTGCAAATTTTTTCTTGTTCTTTGTATTGTGACAGGATGATGAAGTAGTACTTCAGTGTGTTGCCAGTATTCACAAAGAACAAAGGAAGTTTTGCTTGGCAGCGGAGGGACTTGGGAATCGCCTGTGCTTTCTGGAGCCAACATCAGAAGCTAAAGTAAGAAGCTGATACTCTCAACTGGTGCAACTGAGCAATGAATGTTAACCTACTTACTTACAAGCACATTTAATCATGATTTCTTAAATACAGTGCTAGAGGGACCTTGTGTGTGTTTTTCTTCCCAACTGCATCTTAGAATTGTTTGAAAAAATTTACTAGATTCCAAATGAATTTTGAGGCCCACCTGAGAACAGTGAAAAGCTGCTATTCCTCAAATAAGAATATTCCTGTAACTGAAATGCTATCTATTTTCAAGATTAAGTCTCCAAACTGTTATTTAAGTTTACTGAACTCCCATATTTCTATTACTGCTGTAGGTTCAAATATTCTGATACACTGGATTGATAATTTTGATAATTGATAATTAGAAGCATTGTCACCTGTCAGTTACTGGTGTTAAGTGTTGCTCCTGACTTCATTATCAATCAAGAAGTTTTAACTTCTTGATTGATATCTACAGGGACAAGAATGATTAAGTAAAAGAGAATTTTAGATTAAAAATGGAAAGTTGAAAAAAAAAGCTAGAGAGATGTGAAGGAAAAAAAATCCCACACCACTCCAGGGTAATTATCAGAGCTTGAGAGGGGAAAGGAGAGAATAGATGAAATTGTAAACCTCTACAATAGCATAATGTTAGGTATAAACCAAACAGAGGAGGACCTCCTCTCTCTCTTTGGTTTTCTCTGCATCCTTTTCCTTAATTGTTTTTATTTCTTCACTTTTCATCACCTTAAAACACAGCATTATCAATACTTTTATTCTCTCTTGTCACTCTGATTTAAAAAAGAAGTGCATATCCACTTTAAAGCTCATCCACAGCCATGATCTTTATCATGAATCACAGAATATAGAATTGTTAAGGTTGGGAAGAGTCTCTAAAGGTCATCTAGTACAAACTCTGCTTGGAATAGCTTCAGAAAGAACAGATTGCTTAGGACACTCAGATCAGAGTATCTCCAAAGGTGGAGAGTCTACAACCTCTCTGGGTAACCTGTTCTACTGTTTACCATGCTCACAGTACAAGTAGGGGGGTTTTGCTATATATTTAAAAGGTATTTCCTGTATTTCACTTTGTATCAATTTCCTCTTGTCCTTTTACTGGGTTCTACTCTGTAGTCTCTGGATCTGTCTTTGCTCTTTTCTGCCATGGATTTAGGTACATTGGTGGTTCCCCTTGAGACTTTTTTTCTCCTGGACATATCTTTATCTGGACATATCCATGCCAAGAAAGTGGGAAAATTTTGCTGTGAAGTTTCACATTTCAAAACCAGCGGACATATTGATACAAAAATTAGGATTTCCTAAAAGGGTTCACATTATTCTGTCATATTATCTTATCTATCTAGTTACTGCTGTAAATATCTTCTATCAACCTCATACATGATATCTTATACCTTCTCTTCTGTTTTGTCAGTGACATTACAGAACAAATACAACTGTCTAAAAGACAGGAAAACAATAACACATAGGGGAAAAGTTTTTGTATTTGAACCTGAAGAAGTTTCACTTTACTGTGAGGGATAAAGCCCAAAGTAAAGAAAAATTGCTGTGTTGTCAATTCATGAAGAATGGATTTATATTGTTTTCATATATGAGAGTAGCATTACCTCAAAAACAAATGAAAAGGCATTAAGTATAGGTTCAAAAATTAAAATAAACACATGTACCAACAATTTTTCATCTTGTTTCACCTGGTCTTCTGATCTGTTCTTGCACTGTTTAATTTATTTTTACAGTATGTCCCTCCAGACCTTTGCGTGTGTAATTTCGTCCTTGAACAGTCACTGTCTGTCAGAGCCCTTCAGGAAATGCTGGCCAGCACAGGGGATAATGCTAGTGAAGGGGTAAGTAAATTGACCTCAAAGAACATTAAATCTGAATATAGATTCTCCTAATTTCTTTCCTTGCCCAGAGTTTTCTAGAAGAGGGTCCTGATGTCATTGTATTCTTGGGACATTATTGCTCCACTTCTGTAATCACATTAATTTCTCTTTGGCAGTGAGGAGCTGCTGCAACTGTGTTTTGAATATTTGTGATGCAAAAATCCAGAAACATCATTAATTTGATTGCTTTGACCCTAATTCTCCAATTTCAGCTGAATCAAACTGAATTGAAATTTTCTTCTCCTACAAACAGAGCATGATAAAAGTCTATGGCTTTAGTTATTTTACAACCTAATGGCTTATTCTGTGTTTCAGATCTTTGACTAGCATATATTATTGCACAGATGAGAAAGATGGAGTTATATCACCTTTGATCTTGCATTGTCAACATTTGCATACATGGTTTTCAGACATCATTAATACTGACCTTTTGTTTTCCACTGCATAAAAAAAAAAGTGGGATTCTTTATTTTTGCAATTACCTTGCAGTCTGTAAAATAAGTCTTGATGAAAATGAAAACATATGCTTAGGAAATCAAAATATCAATTTAAACATTTCAGAATTCCTAAGAAATTACATACTTTTTAATATTTCCAAAATATTCACCAAAAACTGAAGCTGAAAGATTTAATCTGATATTAATAATGATATATGAATATTTTATTTGGGATTTGAAGTAGAGGACATATAATCTCTTTGGTAAAAATGATCTCACTCTTGCTTAAGGAGCAATAGATTATATAAAAGAATATAATCTGTTGTGCTGTATTTATTTTGAAACTCTCTTATCTTACATTTATTTTGAAGTTGGGTACAATCCATTGGGGAAACTGTAATAGAAGCACAGCAGTTCATACTAAAAGCAAGGCTGAAATAAAAAATTATTTGCTTTTCATATTAAAATCTGTTTAGAACAGAGTTCTGCTGCTAGTTTCAGATTTTTCTAGAGAAAGACTGTAGCTTGTAAAGTTTGGAGGTTTTGTTGTTTTGGTTTGGTTGTGTTCTTTTCTTCTTTTATTTTTTATTTTTTTAATAAGTCAGACTTACACTTACAAGTGATTAATTTAAGAACTTTCATTAATAAAATAGCAGGAAGCATTTAATTGCTTGTTCTCAGTATCCATGTATTTGTTGCAAACTGAATACATGAAATTTTCTTGTGACAACCTATTTGTAATTACAGTTAACTTTGCTGTTAAGTTTTTCCTTTTTAATTTAAAAAAAGAATTTTAATATATAAAAGAAGTATGATATTTACTGCTACGTGTTTTTCCAGTTTTCCTCACTGAGCAGTGACAAGTTCCTGCAGGATTAAAACCATTTTTTATGAATGACATGTTTTGAAGAAGCTTGGTGGTAGTTTAACTTATGTATTGTTCACTGAATTTAAAACCATTTGCCTACACATGTATAACAATTATCTGAGCTCTTGGAATATCCTTTCATTATCTTTGTCCCTTCTGAATGAATCCAAGGATGAGAACTGATCTTAAATGCCATCCAAAAATAACTAAAAAGAAATTTGCTCTAAATGAAGAAAATAGAAAATCCAGTTTTACCTCTCCCTATCTTGTCATGGAGTTTTACTTATTAAAAATTAGTAACTGTACTTGGTTGAAACTATGGATGCAGTTGCTTTAATGAATCTGAAACATGTCAGAGATTAATATTAACAAATAGATATTCTCAGTATATGCTTGAACTGTTCTGGGCAGTAAGTATGTTATTTTTTCTTTCAGATTTCAGTTTCTGTATGTATATATGTATTTATTTTGTTGTTATTTTTTTTTAATGCCTGCATGAAGTTTATAAGAAAGGTAAGTGGTTATCTTATTTAACTTAAAATATGTTTTTGCAAGTGCTGTGTTTTACTAACTCATAATAAAAATTAGGAAAATATAAAAGCCTCTGTTGAAGAACAACATTTTTTCCTTTGGCAGATATTTGGCTATTGCTGCATCGACTCTGTTATAATTATTTATTCCCCAGTGCGTACATTTCATAATTTGTTGGAATATTTGCACCCCTTCCTTGAACTGCCATAGCTCTTCATGTTGTTGCATAGTTCTGACCATGGTCCCCTCAGAGCAGTGGAGTTCTGACCTCCTGCATCCTGTTCTGCAGGCAGCCCAAGGGGGTGGCCACCGGACCCTGCTGTATGGCCACGCCATTCTGCTCCGGCATTCATTCAGCGAAATGGTAAGGGAGGGAGCACCTGCACAGAGTGACCAGCATCAATAAGAAATGGCTTTCTACCAAAATAAAAATCTGGAATAATGATTTTTACAAGCTATCTTTTGCACTAGTTAAGAAAGAAGTTAATAACTTGCAGTGTCTCAACACAATAGAATTGTTTAAATTCAGATTGTAACTGAAAAGCTCCTAAAATGTATTATTTCTGTGTCCTTAAGGAATCCATTTTAATGATACTTCCATTAGCAAGTACTTCTACAGCAAATGAATTTGTTGTCATATACATTATCTTTTTCCCCCATCGTATTTTATAAGATATGGTGTTCTATTTGACATCCCATAGTTTCCATGAATTATGCCCACAAAGACGTCTTCAGTCTGCCTTGTATAAATTTCATCATATTATATTCTACAACTGAAAAATCTCAGCTGATTTGAATCTTTAACCTACTAGGACAAATATAAATACACCTAATACAAGGCTGAAGGAATGAGAAGTCAGGAAAATGCTTCCCCTCCTTTTTCCTGTACTAGAAAATGCTACATTAATCTTCAAATGCTACATTAATCTTCTATGTTGCTTATGTTTATGAACCTTGAAAATTGTAGTTGCCTTGGTATACCAGAGTTGCAAGTATAATTACTACCTTTTGGTATTTTTTTTTAATGTTTTTATGAATGAAACTTATCATGATAGGGTTGTAATTAGATGTTTGCCTGTTTCTATCTGATGAGCTGTGTGAAACTGCAGAAGGTAGACGCTAAATTGCACAGCTGAAGTGAAGATGTGCTGCACTGGAAAAGGATTTTGATATTTTAAGTTCAGCAAGAGCTCTGTATGAATAACAACGTCATCTTTGACTCATTAAAAAAATTAAGTAAGATAGTAAGATGAAGTAATGCGAATGTATTAATTTGGCATGTGTGTTAATGGATACTGTTGGGTTTTAGTTTTCAATAACATCGCTGTTTTGCAGTATTTGACATGTTTAACATCATCAAGATCCCAGACAGATAAACTTGCATTTGATGTGGGATTACGAGAAAATGCAGCAGGTATGGCAAGTCCTTTTTGAAGGAAAATGAGTTACTAATTTCTAGTTTTAGAAGAGGCATTGAGTTTAATGTAACTGTAAGCATATGAATGGGATCCTTATGTGTTCATCAGAAATAAGATGACTGAAAGAAATTGCTATTAGTACTAATGACTTTCAGCACATTAAATACCTTTGTGTAAGAATGTGAGTCTTGCAATTAAACTGACAACACAACTGCAATAAAATGCATGATAATGGTCAAATTTACAAAAATTCTGTTGAGCAAAATAAATTTGATGCTTTTGTTTGTTTATTTTTTGCTTTTTTTTTTTTTTGACACTTAAGAGTATGGAAAAGCCATATACTGGTGCATTCACAATATACATTGTAACCAAGTAACAAAAGAAATTTGCAACTTGTAATGCAGGAAACCCGAAAATATCTAGTGAACACGTTGCCAAAAGAGCTGGATAGAAATTCATTTGTAATATGGACAAACCAATAATGAGACAAAGTGGAAGAGATACAACACAAAAATGACATTATGAGAAAGATTTAAAATCTAATTAATGTATTTCGGGAAGTACTGCCATTACCATTACTGCTGATGGAAATATAGTGAAAAAAATATGCTTCCATGAAAACACATATAAATTATGAGTTGCCACTGGAAGATATATTAAATGAATTTAAAGGTAACTTAGCCACAAAGAGCCACAAATAGATTTTCATGCTGCTGTGTACAGAGTGCTCATAGTTACTGAAAGTGGTGAGTACTCCTCAGAAAGTAGGAAGTGTCTCTGTAACAATCAGGACCAGACATATACCTTGAAGGGAAAATCTAAGTACCTGTATACAGGCTTCATTAATGTAAAGCTCAAATAATGAAATACTCTTGGTGTTAATATAAATCTGTGTTTTCTAGTATTTTTTCATTATTTTGAAAATAAAATCAAATAGACTAATTGATGATGGAGAGGCACTGGCAATGTAGGTGCTAAAACCTTTGTAAATCATAATCTTTGAATCTGTTCAGGTGACTCTCTACAAAATCTTGTCTTTTGAATGAGTGAAGTTTGTCTTTCAATTGTTTATAGCCCTAGAGGTGATTGCTTTAGACAAATATTAGCTGTCTGCTATTTGGCTGTCTTTGTTTCCTTAGATAGAGAACATTTTCTTTAGGAATGTTAAGAAAAGGAATGTATGTGATAAAAGGAATATGTGTGCTTAATCGCTACTGAAATATTTCAGTTAAATCTGTTTTTATAATTTTATAGCTTTTTTAAGGAATTATTGTACCTATATCTGCTACTATCTATGAGGTTTTATAACAAGTATCTGTAGTTGTTTAAGGTATTTGCTTAACTGTACATAAACAATAAACCCCTTGTACACATAGTTAAGATTCAAAAAACTTCGTTGTGTTTCTGCACAGAGGGCTTTGGTAGCTACTGCATGCCTGAAAAGCTCATAAACTGAGTGCCATAATATCACTTCTCTACTCCCTCACCTATGAAACTGTACTAATGAATGAGTTTCTGCTGCAGGAAGTATTTTTCACACAGCAGAGGGAAAAGCCACTGGCTATAAAAAATTACTCCCTTTGAAGATTTAGCATTTTACACTTGTATGGATGCAACTTCTATTTATTGTCTTCACTATAACTAGTTTCATTGCCTTCAAATTTTCTTTTTGAAATAAAAGGTACAGGCAAAATGAAATATCGTAATCAATCAAACAAATTTTTGTACTTTGATTCTACCAAATGGCCTTTTAAAATCTTTTTCCACTTTGCATTGTCTAGTGAGAAAGTTTTATTCAACTTATTTTCTTCAAGTTCTTTAAGTTCAAGATTCTTATCTTTCACACTCTGAAGAGTGTGAAATTGTGAAATGAACTAGGTAATCTTCCCAGAATGTCTGTGTATGTGTAGTTCTCTGTGTGTGTGTGTCTGTGCAGAGTAATCTGGAATCTTAAGTTTAATGTGTAGGAAATGTCCTATGGTTGTCACCCTTGGGCTTGGCTATTTTGTATTTATATGGTCTGTACTGCTAGTGGAACTGCTTCCAGGTTTGTCATGTGATACAATACAGAAGGTTGTGAATTAAATATGACCACTAAACAAAGGAAGAGACAAAAGGTGATAAATAAGACCCAGGCAGGTGTCAGCAATTTCCTGGCAAGGAGACCCTCCCAGGGAAAGCAGTTCTGAGTGGTGTTTTGTAAACAATCTCTTTAAAGGAACTTGAAAAGGGAAATATCATATATGGAAAAGATTATATGACAAAAAGTTTCAAGCAAAAAGAAAGGCACCAAAAATGATTGAAAATAGAAATGATGTGGTTTTATAAAGTGAATTTCTCACAAGCCAATTTTTATAATGATATTTTTTGTGTTGTATAACGATATCCTTAGATTTCTTGGGAGTTGTCTCTTTTGTAGAACCTTGATTAGAGCCTCTGTCCTTTAGGTGAGGCATGCTGGTGGACAATACACCCTGCTTCTAAGCAAAGATCGGAAGGAGAAAAAGTTCGAATTGGTGATGACCTTATCCTGGTCAGCGTGTCCTCTGAAAGATACCTGGTGAGTTTGTTTCTTCAGAGAGTGGTCAAATGGTGGGAAAATAAAAATTCTGTGGGGATATCAGGAGATTGGTTGGGATTCTTATGTGGTTTTTTTTCTAATCTAGGGAGCAATGCCTGGTTGTAATGCATTTTTATTTTTCTTCACTGAAAGGATCATGGGTGTGTGTGAGTCCCTCCTCCAGTGCAAGACTGCTTCAACGCCTTTTCCCCAAATTCTAAAACAATACTAATTTTAGAAGAAATTTTAATATTTACTTTATTATATATTCTCTTCTGTTGATAAATTAATGCACTAAATATTTTAAGTGCATAATTTTCATTGTTTCCTGCTACCATTGTCTTGTTTCAGCATCTCTCCGTGTCAAATGGAAATATTCAGGTGGATGCCTCCTTTATGCAGACACTATGGAATGTACATCCCATATGCTCAGGAAGCAATATTACAGAAGGTTTGCCATTTTATTTGTTTAGACATGTATATGAATTAGATTAATTTGTATGCTTTCGATAAAGAGGGAAAAGTAAAAAACAAATTCTCCTCAAAATGTCAACCAAAATGGGTAATGAAAATAAAGAAAAGGAGCTTAGGAGAGAAGAATTATTGAAGAGAAACCAGGGAAATACAGATACATCAACTGGATTTACTGAAGAAAAGCTCAATGAGTGCTGTAACTTTAGAATAACATAGCTTTAAAAGCTTCATGAGAAATGAAAACTTAGTTTAATTTGGGGGAGTAGGAGCTGCAGAATAACTGAATCCAGAAAGTGTAGATTTTTACATACAATTTTCCTAAACACTGTTCTCCCACTACAGATAAAACAGAAGAGAAAATAAAGGTACAGGCAAAATGAAAAGCAGTTTTCTCAAAGTTCCTATTTCAGTCTCTTAGTTCTACTTTTCATGGACATTTCCTCAAAATCCTTTCTGAATGTCACAGCCATGCATCCTTATTGTCTTCTCTTATCTAGCCTAAATCCTACGCCACAGGGTCTGGATTTCTTTCAGGAAATTTTATGGCACTTCATGGTCATGCTTGAGTCATTGACCATGTTTGTCATGGTCACCTTATTCTGAGAAATGTCTCATTCTGTATTGAAAGTCTGATCAACTCAGTGTCTCTCCTTATTTCAGTTTGTCATTAACACCGTCGTAGCAAACACTGCGCTTCACCTTTGCTCTTCTCTATTCAAAGTATCAGCACTCGACATTCACAAACTACTTATATGTCTTGGAAGTTAGGATCATTTTATGCCACTTGTCTGTAAAACTTAGTATTTATGATATACTAGTATACAACAACATAAACAAAGTGGAGCTTTAAGGGAACTGAGAGAGATATTCCATTTTCCTGGGATCAGCTATAGTAAGTCTTAATAGAAGATTACTTACCCTGGTGTTAGACTTAATTTAGTAGTCTTATTTGAACTATAGTTGGGTTTTTCTAACTCCAACTGGTTTAAATCAGCCTCCCACAGTATTTCTGTGTACTGGCCCATAAGAAACCCATGTCAGAGTGTTAGGTTTTAATTTATGGGATATGGATTTTGCTTGTAATACTTTCTGATTGCTTTGGCATGCTGGAGCTGGATATTTAAAAATTACTGTCTGGGGGCCTGCCCTTATGGGTCATAAATAGAATAGGGATCAACCCTGGAAAAGTCTGTGTTTTTTCAGGCATCACAGGTAAAACAAAATGAAGCAAAGAGAAAAACCATCCTATGGCAAAGTTTAAAACTTGTAAGAGATGAAAAACATAATGAACTATGCAGAGACATCATGGAAGACCAGTTGTATATTTAATATTTCTGTACCTGAAGAGATTCGGCAGCTGAACTTCCTACAAGTTTACAGAATTGGAGTCATTGAGGTTGGAAAGGATCTGGTCCAATCCACTGTCCAGTTGATCCACTAGAACATATTGCTTAGGAATATATCTAGACAGGTTTAGGTCTTCAGGGGTGGAAACTCCACAACATGCCTGGGCAACACGTGCCAGTGCTCAGGCACATTCCCAATGCCCAAAAGTGTTTCCTGATGTTCAAACTGACCCTGCCATGTCTCAGTGTGGGCCCATTGCCACTAGTTCCATCACTGGGCACAACAGAAGAGACTTTGATCCCATAGTCTTTACTTTGATCCCGTAGTCTTTACACGGATAAGATCCCTCCAGAGTCTTGTCTCTCACGTGTGACATACATCAGTTTCTTAATCATCTTAGTAGCCTTTTTGCTGTATCTGGAACTCATAGTGAGTGGTGCCAAATTACTTGCATAATACAAAATACTGTAAATTAAAAAAAAAAAATGTTAGGGTGGAGTAAGAAGAGAAGTAGAGTGTGACTGCCTGGTAGCAGCCACAGTGTGGTCTCTTTACCAAAGAGGGTTGAGGAACAAGCAGGCGCAGAACTGAGGGTTGCAGCGGGTTTTAAAGAGGGGAGGGGATGAGGGGTGGAAACAACTCTCTTCCAATGGGGAAGCATTAGGGGAGGAGAACACAACTGGGACAATCCAATGAAGGCAGCACAGGGGCGGGAGCAGGCTGAACAGTCCATGACGTGCTGGGGAAGGGGCAACAGACAGGGAACATTCTAGAACCAACAGTGTGTTCAACTTGACAGACAGGGGTAGGGGGTAGTGCACTGGGGATTGACAGGGACATATAAGGAGGCAAGGGAGGTGCAGGGGAGACTGACATGGGGATTGACAGGCACTTGGGAAAATCTTGGAGTAAACAATTTAGGGCTAAGCCATTAGGGGAACAGAAGTGGGTACACGGAATAAACATTATAAACTGATTAACAAATAACAATTATAAACAACAAATCATCACAGTAGATTTTTCTTTGTGTCAATAATTTTTTTCCTCAACTGCTTAGACTTTGGTTTTATATACATTTTCAGAATGGTTTATGTGAGATGGTCACATGTCAAAAGACAGAGCAGTCTAGCTCCAGTGGAATGAAGAGAGAGAGTGGGATTTCCTGAGTCTGCAACTGGATTAGGAATTGGACAATGCTGTTTTTGTGATACTTGTAAAACCATCAAGAAAACATAAGTAACAGAAAAGTACATTTGCCCCCCATTATTTCTTTGCTTTGACTTTTATATTAATTGGCAAGATGGTAATTGTTGGTTACAGTTTTCCTCATTTACAAATTTATGTTGAATCAGCTGGACAGTATGAAAGCTTCCTTCTACCCTTACTCCATAATATGTGTTCTTTTAAAAGGCAGCAACTTCACTTACAAGGCCAGAATGGTTTGGACTAGGATTTGATGAGTCATTCTCCTCCACCTTCTTTGTCTTATCTTTTTTAATGTGAGGCAGAGTTCCTGGTTTTGACCTGTACTCTTTGTGTTAAATGGATTGGAAAGTTGACTTCCATTAAACTTAATCTTCAGATCTGCAAAGTGTTTTTATGTCCTCGGTCTCCTGCTGCTGCTGTGGACCTTTGATTTTGACACAAATGATACATTTCAGAAAAAAATTTTGAAATCATGAAACTGCTTTGTATTGAGATAATTTAAACTGTATTAAGGGTGAGGAAATTATGGCATTAGCTATTTGATTTGGCTTTTACCTAAAGATTAAATTTGCAAAGCCATAATTGTTTTTGTTGTTTTAAAGAAGTTTTTCAATTTCCTTTTCTGTCTCAGAATCCTAATTTGAGTTTTAAATGTCAAAAGTTTGCTTTTGTTTTTTCTTCATTTTCAGGAGAAATAGTTTTTTTAAAAAAGGTACTAAAATAGTATGTTAACACATTAATTTTTTTTCTTATTTAGATTCAGTTATGAGTGAAAATTTGGAAAATAGATCTTGTCTGGGTCTTGAATTTTTTAAACTTTCATGAGGGTGTTATTTTCATAGTCAAAGTTTTAGCTTGTAAATGAGCTTCTTTTTCAGGATATCTTCTTGGTGGGCATGTAGTACGTTTTTTCCATGGCCATGATGAGTGCTTGACAATTCCATCTACAGACCAGAATGATTCACAGCACAAGTAAGTGATGGTGCATTTTTTAAATATTACCTTCTTTCAGAAAGGAAACAGGTTGTCAGTTGAATTTGAGGTTAGGTAGATTTAACATTCTTTACAGCAGTCTTTAATTAGGCAGTGGCATTGTATTTGAAATTGAGACCTACTAAGCTGAAAATCGGTTATGATTTCTTTCATTGTTGAAATTTAAGTAGTTGATTTTCACTGAGATTTTGTCCTGTTATGTTTCTTGTCTCTAGTTCATACTACTACAAGTAGAGGTAAGAAGGTGTTAGCAGGAAGATGATAATGTGAAAAAAAAATTCATTAAAAATCTCTGTAAGTTTGGCCTCTGCAATGACTTTCATATTTTATATTTTTTACATTTAAAAAAATTTTAAGCATTCTCAAAATTGATTAACATATTAAGATTGATTAACATATTAACAAATTACATCATACTAGCTAACCTACTTTTGTATAAATTTTTTATCTACAGTTGTCATCTATTATGTTGATTTGTTATTTGAATTTTTCTGTATTTTTAAAATTTTTTGTTAATCAGAAGCAACGTGAGTTAATAATTGTGCTACATGAACCTGCTAGCTTTAAAATCATCTTCAACAAATAAGACCTTTCTACCTATTGTGGCAAATAAGTTATGCTTATGGTAATAAAACATTCAGTTATGTCAGGTAAACTTGTCAGCTCTAAATTTGCCATGTTTACATTTCTGAAGAGTAAAAATGTCTCCAAGTCCTAAAGAGAACCCAAACTGAAAATCAGAAAAAATAACTTTGTGAGTTTTTGTTGCTGTTTTCTTCATACGTGTAAAGAAAAAGAAAAAATGTTTTAACTGTGTATGAAAATGTACACACCAGATATAAAAATAGCGGCAAATGTGTTGTGTTGCCTTCAGACTTATTTTATAAAGCGTCCATTTAAAAAAGGTTAAAATAGATGCTGAGCTGTTTCATTGTGTTCAGAAATACTGCTCTTTGATACTTCTCTTACTTATGTAGAAGTCAGATATGGCTAATATTAAAACTAATTTTAGAGTCCTAGTCCCCAGTATGATGTGATTCTTTATGTAACGTTGATGTGTGTTGTTACTGCCTTAAGATTTCCTTCCACGTTTTTTATGCTAAGTAAATAAAAGGGTAAAATTAAAATGTATATTTGTCTGAGTTAAATCCATATATTTATAATCCTAAAATTGGAAAACATGTGACTGCTATATTGAACATTTTCAAATGTGTGATAGTGACAGATGACTTGAAGTTATCTGGTCTTTTGATTTATGAGCTGAGTAACAGACATAAGGCCAAGTTTTTGCTGTGTCGTAGTTGTAGGAGTCATGTTTACATTATCAAAACAAAGAGAAAATATAAAAAAACCCCAAATAGTAATAAGAATGGCAGAGAGAGATGTAGAAAATGGTTTCCATCTCTTTATTTGTGTTTGTTTCTGTTTCTTTATTTAATCAGTGCTATGCATTTCATTAGGAATGTTAAATAAGTTGTTAGACAAGAGTGAAGATTTCTCTTTTCATAAAACAAAAATGTTGTTTTTTGAACATTTCTGTAAACAATGCTCTTTAACACTTTGCAAAGAGACTATTCTCTGACAAGAATCTTAAGGTCTTATTTTACAGACCAAATGGAAATGCTTGGGGTGAACATATTGAACATCAAAAAGGCTATCTTGGAAAAAAAAAAAAAAAAAAGGATACGTGGAATCAATTAGATGGGAAAAAAAAAGGTTATGTGGATGCTGTTGTGAAAAAACAGCAATTCTTTTTTACATGCAGCTTTGTTACTGAAAGAGCAGGCCACTAATTCTAGTCCAGCATCTCGAAAAAGAGCTGTATTTTTAAAAAGTATAGAAATTAAAAGTATAAGAAGTGAAAAGAGACTATATCAGGTGAACTGAACTGTATTTATGATACTGAACTACACCTTTGATAGTCCTTTAGAGATAGAATGGTTGAGTTGGGCCAAGGAGACATGAAGGAGGTTAGAGAGAGTGGAAATGAATACTTAGTTTTGAGCTCAGCTAGGATTTAGAGTCTGCCAAAAGTAAAATCAGTAAGGTCAGCGGGACCGGAGACATAGAATGAAAATGGAGAGCTCCAGATATTTATTGTGCATTCAGTTTATTCAGAGACTCATGTAACTGCCCAGGTTGGGAATGACCTTGAAAGATCAAATTCATAGAGTCTGGAAATGAAGATGAGTTTAAAGCTAGGGATTTTTAGGTTTATTTTTATTCTAGACTACCAATACATTTTCATGCAAGATAAAATGTGTAGGGAATATTACTGCCTTTACTATGAAGAATATTTATTCTTACTCTTCTGGTGAACTAGCATTTTGAAATATTTGACATCACGTGTGTGCCCTTAAATGTGAATCCTAAATAAAGGAGTGTAAATACAAGTCCATCATATTATAAAGCTGCTGGGTGCAAATGGGTAGCCATACTTCATGATTCTTCCAGGATTTTATTGGTGTTGCTTAGGAAAGAGATCCTTAAGCGCTCTACATAGAAGAAAAGGTGTAGAAATACACCTTTAATTAGATAGAAGAAAGAAAACTTTTCTTTTAAAATTTGATTTTCAGGTCCATAGTTACATAAGAACAATACTAAACAGCTTCTTAAATTTTTGCTGCTAGCTGTCAAAAATAGGAAAATAATTTTAAATTTGAAAAGCCAGTTAAAAATTGCTTTTCAAACTGCTACTTTAATTCAGCTATATAATAGCTAGATTGTGACATCTTCATGCATTTGCTGTATTCAGTCAAGTTTGCCAGAGCAGGAAGGCAGATTTTAAATTCCCTTGCTGCACATTTTTTCAGATACTTAAGTACAATAGAAGGTCCAGCTTCTGTGTGTGCTAGGGTAGATTAGTCCTTCTCAGAGGAATAACATGTAAGAAAGATTTTCCTCTTTTGGCATTCAGACCTTTCCTATTATCCATTATGTTTCCTACACTCATTTGAAATGAGGAAGTATATACAAATTCTGGTGATTAGATGAAAAGACATGAATGTTTAGTAAAACATTAAAAACTTCCTGTGAACAGGAATCCACCATAGTTTCTTTGTTTGTATTTGATTATTGAGTAGAATATTTGCTGCACTAGAACACACTACTAACCCTCAGCCAACAGTTCAAGAAAATGAAATTATAATAAAAGTTTAATCCTTTCCCTTCCTGTTTTTTATTTCTCTGAATGCATTATCTGTTTTGTGAGGATTATAATACACAATTTCTGTTATCACCAAAATTTTTGTCTCTTTCATAAGAATCAGAAATAATTTTTGGACTGAAGTCCCTAATGTCATGTTCTTGTTGCTTTAATCTGAAAATCTTTATTTTACATCTTTATTTTAAAATATGGCATGTATTTAAAACCATTGGTAATGTTTTTTTAAATATTAAATTATTAGATTAGATTAGATTATTAGATTAATATATTTGGAACTGTAGAAATTACATATTTTTATGGCTGATTAAATGACAGGAAAAGTTTCCTAGCCACTTTCAAGGCTAGGCATTTTATCAGCTCCTGAGAGCAACTACCTTAATGGAAATAATCTAATATACCTGGGACATTTGGTTTGTTTATCATAGTTTCACTGAGGAGTAGGAATCTTCTGTCCATTCAATAACATTTGTTTACTGGGAGAAATGTAGCGAGTCATGTACAGTTTCCAGAGAAGTAAGTTATAAATGCTGTAAATGCACAAATAAACAGAAGATGGTCTTCTGAATCTTTTCTGTAGGAAAGTATTTTATGAAACTGGAGGAGCCGGCATTCGAGCAAGGTCATTGTGGAGAGTAGAACCCCTTCGAATAAGGTACTGATATTTTAAAAGTTTTTAAAAAGTTTTTTTGGTTAGTAACTTTTGTTATATTAATAGAAATTTTATTATTACAGACCTTTAATACAGAATATATATTTGCCACACTTTATGCTATGTGTTAGGCTCTTTGTCAATAATAAAAAGCAATGTACTGTGATAGAATAGATTATTTCTGTCTCCCGTAACAAAAGCAGCACTGTCTATGAGATACGTATACTTAAATGATTGCTTCTTTCCAAAAGAAATACATTTCTAAAATACATTTCTAGTTTTACTTGGAGCATAAGCACGAGTGGATATAAGAGCAATAATACCTATCCCTTCTGTATTTCTTGGATTTTTGTTTTTTTTTTAAAGATTGTCTCCTTACTATGTGATTATTTGTCATTTCCCTACAAGTGAAATTTCAATATATCTCTTAAGAGTATGTATGGCCTTTGATGGCTATCTGAACTGTATGTTTATTTTACCCTTGGTGTCTTTGTGATTGTAAGTGAAATACCCTCTTAACTAACACAGATGTAGGATAATTCTGTGAAATGTTGAGTCTCCACTTAGGTTTAATTTGTTTGTTTAGTCAGTCAACTAAAATACAGTAGTTAATTTACACATGTAGGATTTTTTCATGGACACCATATGTAACACCCTGATAGATGGAGAGAGGGTGTAGAAACAAGAAGATGGAAGCCATACTCTTTTCCAGGGTTCCCTTTGCAACTGAATTAACAGTTTTGCATCTAATTTAAAACAAGTATTGTTATCAGAACAAAAAATGGAATATATATATATATAGCATATTCTATTTTCTGAACATCCTTTAAAACCTAAAGAAAAAAATAGTGCTTTACTTGCTTAAACTATCTTTTGATGTCTCTTATGTTTAGCTGGAGTGGAAGTAACATCAGATGGGGGCAGCCTTTTCGTCTTCGACATATTACGACAGGAAAGTACTTGGCTCTGAATGAAGATGAAGGAGTAGTAATATTAGACAGAGAAAAATCAGACACAACATCTACAGCCTTTTGTTTTAGAGCAACTAAGGTAAATATAAACAATGCAAATTTGTTCTGAATGTGGAGGACTCAAACACTAAATCTGTATAAATTACTTGTAATTTCTAAATTAATGCTAGGGATTGTTATTCTTGATACAGGTTGTTTAATTTTAAATGCATGAAGGTTTCATGGAGAAAAAATAAATGTGATTGATAAACTTTAGAATAAACTAAACTGTAACCAGTTTTAAAAAAGTAGATTAAAACCAAATACAGTGCAAGATACAGTGGTTTAATATGAATACTTTAATAATTATAGACTTATTTTAGCTGGACAGAATCTCATTAGAGTGTTACACGTTCCAGCTCTATCTGTCATTGAATTCAATTTAATTCAGTTCAGTTGCTATTCTTTATGCAGTATGCTGATAAGAACTGAGCTCAATAAAATTTTTCCTAAATGTAAGGCAAATATAGCAGTGATTTTTAAACCATATGTTTTCAAATTATGCTCTTTAGTGAGCTGCTAATTGCATGTTATTAGCTTTTTCATTGTTTCCAGCTGGGAAAAAACATTACAAGGGAGAGACAATGAAGAATGATTATGGAGGTAGGCAAAATTAATAACTTTTTTTTCCCCAGGATGTGAAAGGTTTTATAATCAAAGATGATTAAAAGTTTTTATGTTCTTTCATGATTTTACTTATAAATAGTTCCCATAGCTGTTACAGTGGAGTTTTCTATTAACTAAAAAAGCGCTAAATTTTCCACATAATTCTGAATGCTATATGATCATTAAGAAAAAATAAATCCCAAAGTGAGAAAGAATCTTTAAAATTAGTTGTATGCTAGATAAAATCTAACAGTAACAGTCTTAACAAATGCTAGACTTTTGTTAGTATAATAAATCAAATACTTCTTTTTAGCATGTTTAAAATAACGGTACTTATTAGTGTGACTGCATATGATATTTCATGAATTTTTATTTGAGCCAATCAAAATAATTGAAAAACTATCAGGAAATTTTCTTAGATTGCTTAGATTTACTTACAATATAGTTTTTAATTTTTTATTCAGTGTAAAGGCTGTGCACTATAGATTGTACATCTAATGTTGTGCTGGAGCATTTATTACAGATGTAATTTTTTGCCATTTTTGGAAAGTCATTGGTAAGAATGGTGAGAATTGCAGGAGTGTCACAGTTACTGGTTAAATATTGAGTTAAAATTCCTTTGATGTGCTCACTGCCTAACTGGACACAAACTGTCCTGCTGTTTTCCAATATTTTAATCTATGCATATAAATGTATCAATTTTGAGTATGTAAATTTAGTGGTTATGTATGCACATTCATAAAATTATTTCTGTTACATTGACTAAACATGCCCTATTTTCTTCCTCTTTTTCTTGAGGTGTGCTTCAAAGGCACACTAGTGAAATTTTTTGCAGTGCCCAAAATGACTAAGCTGAAGTACAGTAGTAATTGATTATGCAGGAGTCATTAATGCCTACAGTGTTTATACAAAATATGGTTGATAATGTACATTTTTATATTAAATCCTAGCTCAGTGTCTCATCAACTTGTCCCATTTGTGCTGTCCTATGCAGAAAAGAATTTTTTTACCTCATGATAGGGTATGAATTTGGTGCCAAGAATAAGAATTGTTATTTATTGTCTGGGCACATAAGAGCTGCACTGGCCCATGGGTGGAGGCATTACTGTTTCCAAAGGTGATAGGAACAAGCAAAGGTAACTTTTCCTAAAGAGAGGAAGGTGATGTTTGGGAAGGGACTAAACCCCAAAGATTAACTTGGACTGTTAGGGAAAAAGGGCTCTTAAAGCAAAGTGCTACTTGCACACAGATTAAGGGGAAAAAGGACCATAGATGTAATAGGTAGGCTAGATATATATGCAGGTGGTTTTATCTTAATTTCTGCATATATGTACATGTAAATATTTTATTGATTTGTTTTCTCAATGAAGAAACCTTTTCATTTGCATGTACCTTAATATGGCATTAATTCAGGGAAGTTTAAAGGCATCTGTCTAATGTCTTTGTTCCAGCTGTGTACAGATTCCTAAAAATAGGGTGCTGGATACCTGTCCCTTAGACTAATACAATAATTCTGATTGAGAAGGACTCTGGGCAGCCATCTAGTCCAGCCTTTTGCTCCAGGTAGGGTCAACACAAATTCAGACCAGGTTGCTTACAATAAGCATTGCTGCTGAGTATCCAAAAGGAAATTAAACATTTCTTCATTATGGTATTTTTTACAGTTTGATAGCCAGTACAAGGATTTTATAGAAAAAAGATACTATCTTTGCCAGAAAGCAGAGCTATATGGATATACAGATCCTCAAGGCTACCCAGGAGTCTGTAACACATGACTTAAATAGAGTCTTATTTTCCAGCAGTTGTTATAGAGACTCTCTTGTTGAAAAAGCACCTTCATCCTCAATACCGTTACATTCTCAGCAATCTTGTGTGTTCCTTGCATGTCAAAACCTATGATTGCATTCATAGTGTATTTTCTTTCACTGTTTTTTTTTTTTTTTTTCCTTTTGATGAATAGCACTGGAAATTTAAACACTAATTTTTAAATTACAAAATTCAAATTAGAATTTTCCTTAACATGTTTTTACTAAATAAGAACATAAGGAAACTTTTAGAAAAGTTAAGGTATATGCTAAAGAACATTATGGTGCTAATTTCAATGAAAATAACATATTTAATACATGCCTGTTTTGCTTCCTAATTGCTGCAAACTAATCTTACAAGCATCAGAAACTGATGGACCACCTTCCCCTCCAAATTATATCTTTTATTATCTTTAATATAGAGCTTACTTTTGACCACGTTTTAAAATGTCAATCTCTATATTTTAAGGCAACAGATCTGTAATGCCTTGTGACAACAGAGACAGCATTTTCTCTACACCAGATAGAATCCTGTTTTGAAATGGGATGTTCTCATTCCAGCACAGTTCTTGGCTCAGTATACAGTGCTGAGGAGAATCCTCGGTCTACTTACAAATTTCCTTGAGATTAACCACAGTGGAAAGAAGAGCATATTTAAAAATAATTGTTTATTTTAATTTGTGTAGCCCAGAATTAATATTTTAGATTTCTTTTTTTTTTTTTTTTTTTTTTATTTTTTTTTTATATTTTTTTTTTTTTTTTTTTTTTTGTGGTGTTATGTACAATTGACAGTGAAGAAGTTATTGGTATAATCTTGGTAAGTAACATTCTCACACATTAAAAAGTCACAGATGACTCATGCAGAAGGATTTTATATCATTTTAATATTACTGCCAATATGTAGCTGTCTTAGGAACTCAGCATGGCATAAGCATGTCGTAATAGTATGGTAGTAATCATAAAGTTTAATTTGGTTTTGTGATAAGTTCATAGGTATTGCAAAAGCCTTTACCTGCATTTGTCTCTAAAAGTTCAAATACTTATTTTTGAGTTAATATTTTGTAATTATATTTTCCCAGTAAACACTGCATTTCAAATGCAGTATTAAACTATTTTTTCTACTTATTTTTTTATGGGAAGAGAAAATAGAAGGTGAAATGAAAGTAATTTTTTTTTCTTGTCTACTGGAATGTACAAATGTATAAAGCAAAGTATACAGAGTACAGTAATACCAGTATAAAGCTCTTATATTTGTAGACATTTTCTTTTTATTTTGTTGGAGTGTTTATGGCAGTACTTTTAATGCAAAAGCAGTGTGCAGTATCAAAAGATAAAATTTTAATTAGCTCTTGAAAGTTAGATTTAGTAAGAGTTCAGCAGACAGGTTGTTTTGCAATTCTTATGACTGTCTAAACAAGCCTCTAAGTTGGCAAAAATGTTTCTCCTACTTTGTTTTTATTATTGTAAAGTCTTTTTAAAGAAAGTTGAGTTTATTTGTTCTGTTCACATTGCCATTCCTCATATTCCTTTATCACGTAGGAATCTGTGATTCTTTCTCACTTTCTAATTCTTGCCCTTCCTCTAGTGTATTAAACATATTTTGAAAATATAATCTTTGACAGCTTTGCCCTCAAATTGCTTTGTTGATTCCATCTTTTTTTGTTTGTTTGGTTTGGGGTATTTTTTGTTGTTGTTGTGGTTATTTTTATCCTCTGCAAAGTTCTAGGGCCATGATGCGATTTTTTATTTTCTTTGATTTAATTAATGGCCTGAGGGAGTTAAACTGAGATCAGGCTGTGAAGAGAGGACTTTAAAAGCCAAAGGGTTTGGATATTTTACTGTTAAGATATGTACAAATATCTAGATAAGAGAAGGTTTTTCCCCTTCTCCCTCAGTAATCTTTATCTGACTGGAGTTTTCAGCTGTTGTAAAATACACCGTGTCTTTGCACACTATGATCAAATTACTTGGCTGAAATCCTAGAGAAGCTGGACAGAGTGCAAAGAGCAAAACATGATGAAGAGGAATTTGTGCTGTATTTTTCAAAATGAAAGCAGCCTTCGGGCACCTGAAATAATTCTAAAAATTTACTTCTGAAATTAAAAAATTGGGTTTTGTTCACTATGTTTAGTGTTATCAAGAGGGATCAGTATCTCTCATTTTTTTTTCAAAAATAACTTAATTAGGATTGCTTCTTACCACACTATGATTTTTTATCTGAAATGTTCATTGATGCTTGATTATTGATGCAGACACAATATTTGAAGAAAAAAGTTTTAATCCTCAGGTTACAATGTGAAGACAAAAAATAAATTGCTCACAGTGAATTTGCTCTGTTTTATTGTATTTTTCACTTAATGTCCTCACTGCAAATGTGTATTGAAATAGTTCATCTTTTTCTGTAGTGACAGTGGAGTCCACACAAATATGATATGACATGTTTTCCCCATAGTCCTGACATTGAAATGGTAGCTCCAAGTAATTTCATTCACCTTCATCTTGGCATTATAATGTTACCTGTTTCAACTGAAATTATTGTTGAAATGTGACAGTTAAATTACATAGAAATGAACACAGATTAGCATAGATGTAATACAACTCCTGTTTACTCCTCAGATATTGTACATTATATAAACTGAAATGAAATTAAAAAACATTGCTGCACATATAAAACCAGCACAATCACATGTATCCATAACTGTCTATTACTGTTCTTATTCCTGAATTCATTTTCTAAAGGACAGCTACTTTAAAAGTGCTGAGGCCTTAAAATCCCCCAATTGTAAATGAAGAATAGTGGGATTAAGAAATAAATTTGGCTTAAAAAATGGGTGTTCCAGCCAAGCTTTGAGTAATGTCTTTAAAAGAGGTTTGAAAGAATCCAAATCTTCTTAAAAAGTGGAAAAACAAACACTTTATTTATTTATTTATATCAATAAATGTAAAAAATGGAGACATACAAACGTAAAGAAATATGAAAGCCAAATTGTCCTTTTAAAATAATGAATATTTTCTTTTTTGATGGTTTTTCAATGCAGAGGCATTATTCTAAGCAAAGTATGTACCTGTATATACAAATTATAAACAAAAAATTATTCAGAATAAAAATATTTTAACTACATTGCAAAACAGGTTTTTATTTATTTTTCATGTCTATGCTAAAATTCAAAAATTTTGGCTACATAGAGTTCTACAGACTGTTAAACTGAAACTTTAATTACGTCAATAACTCCATTATTGAATAGATAAAGATTTTTTTGTATGGATCCACTGTAATGAATTTAACTTGATTTTTTTTTACTTCAGATTTGAAACTACTTTTAATCACTGTCTGAAAGATTACTTGGATAGAAACTGAAGTGATGTGAATTGAAATTTAGCTGCATCTTAACTGCATAAGTAGCATAAATATTGTTCAGTATTGTAATATGTATCAGTGTAGAATTCAATGCTTTTAGAGATTAAATATCAACTTTATTTTATCTCCTTAGGAGCTGAAAGAAAAGCAGGAATCTAGTCTGAAACGTGATATTGATGGAATGGGAGTCCCAGAAATAAAGTATGGAGATTCAATCTGTTTTGTCCAACATGTGGCCACTGCCTTATGGTTGACTTACAAAGCACAGGATGCTAAATCAGCACGTTTAGGTCCCCTGAAAAGAAAGGTACTGTCTGGGGGTTTTTAATTGTTGAAATCAGTTTGTGAGTTTAATTGTTTTGTGCTCTTATGTTGAAAATATGAATATTTCACTCTGAAAATGAAAACAGTGATGGATATTAAAGTAATCCTTTAATTGAAGAAAAATTGTCATTAAGAAATATATTTGACCACTTTTTTTTGTCAGAAGAAATTATTAGTTTGTATTCAATTTTTTATTTATTACACCAATTAAAGATAGAAATTCCTGGTTTGGATTATTATTTAAAATCTAAATTTAACTGTTGCAACTGGTGTAAACTAGTAAGTCATCTAATATTCACTGGTGTTTCAGAATGTTTAAATTAATTATATTATGTGAAATGGCAATTCAATTTTTCACTTAGGAAATGGCCTTAGAAAATAATCAAGTTTCTTAAGGGATATTAGAGAATAATTTCCTCCCAAAGTGTTAGATGTAATTGTGATGTGACATCAAGAATGTCTTTCTCTCAGCCTTTTGATTTTAGGGTACAATTATATTCTTAATTAGTGGCGTATGACCTGTTATATCTTCAAATTTTATGTTCATATATCATTCAGTGTTAAGGGGTTTAGTACTAGCTTCACAAAACTGTGTCATTACCAAAGGATTCCTTTATTCTCTATTTGTAGATTTTTACAACTTGAGCCCATCATTAGAACATGAAAAAGAAAAAATAAAAAAGTTCATTACTGAAAAGAAGTTGGAATTCTTCTTTAGCTCCTTGCACACAGGTACATTCATAAGAGAATACCCATACACAAGCACTGCAGTACAGAGCAATAAGCTGCTCCTCACACTCCCCAGACACAATCACATTTATTCATAAGCAGCACACATGGTCATCAGCAATGGGCAGTGAGTGCCCAACTCCTTCACTTTCTCAGCCATCTGGCTGATCAGAGAAATTCTTTAAGTGCCAGTCATTCAGTATTTTTTTGGTAAAAAATTAAACTACACAGTGATGGCCTCTTTTCCCATGCCACAACTGGCTATGTCATTCTGTTTCCTCAGAGGGTCCAATTTTAATTTTTGAAAAGGCAATGTGTAGATTCTTCCTCTGTATTCAATGAAGAATTTTACAATAGCTTGCTGTCGCATTCAGTATTTTGTTTCTCCAGTTTTCTGCTCAGCAGCAAGGAACTAAAAGAACCTCTGTAATTGCCCGTCACTTTTATTCTCCTTTGAAACTGTTTCCTTCATGTTCAAAGACTTCAAATCTTTTGTTGTCCTCTCACCTGGGGAATTCTGTCTTGTTAAGTGTCTTCAAAAAGAAGAAAATCCAAACCTTCTAGCTTCACGCAGTTGATATTCCCATGGAAGCAAGAAGCAGTTTTTCATACCCTGCAGTATGATACTAGGCTATAATCTTGTAAGCAATTTGAGATATACATCACTTTACATTTCACATATAATAAAATTTATATAAATTTCATATAAATGTATATAACTTTATTTTCCATATAAATTGAAGTAATTGCTTGGTATTCATCCACTGCCATAGTGTCAAGCAATTTTCACTTTCACTCACTGTGTTCCTGCTGAAGCTGGCCTGCACTTTTTATAACATGACTCATTAGCCCTAGGAAGATTGAGAAGTACCCTGTTTTTGAAAGAGGCAAAGGTTGCTTTTCTGACATAGCCTAGTTGTCATCACTGTCAGCTTCTGTAAAGCCATAGAGAGGAGAAAACAACTATGAGATTAGCTCTATTATAAAATACTGAAAATTCCTGTAAAGTAAAAGTTTCTGTTATTTGGCTTCTGTTATTGGTGTAGTTTCATGTATCTAATTATTATACTAAAAATATGTAATAAATTCTGGTATAATTTTTGAGGCTTTTTTTGCATGATTTCTGCCAGAATTTTTAGGTTTTGTTTCTCTGAGATTGTGGTAACCAAGGATTCAAGCTTTTGCCAGGTAATTGTGATTACATCAGCATTGTAGTCAACATCCCTCCACCATCCAGTGGGAGAGGGATGTCCATCTTTTCTGTTTGCTTTGTGCAAGCAGTGAAGTCCTGCAGAGCTCCAAAATGCTAGAGCTCAGGCAAGAGAAAAACACACACTGTGATTTGGATCCGTGCTCTGGAGGCCATCGCTCACAGTGTTGGTCAGTGCCTTGCCATACAGAAGTACAAGCAAGGCAGTGCCAAATGCCCCTTTTAGCATGCAGAGAAGGTTCATCTGAAGAATTGATGTAGCCAGTGCTGCATGCTTCTCCCTGTGATGTACTTCCTGGAATCCTAAATATGACTTTCCTGTCATTGTGATGTTTCTGGATAATTTAGTTGAGGTTTGGATTGTTTGTTGGTTCCCTGGTTAGTTTTTGGGTTTTTTGTTTTTCTTTTTTTTTCCCCTATGGTCAGAGAAATAGGAAAGATTAGGTCCTTCCAAAAGACTTTTCTCTCATCCATACTTAGGGAGAAGAGTGCATATCTGCTCTACAATAATGAAAATGCAATTATTTTGCAAGGCTTTAATACCCTATCTGTCTAATATTTTCATTCCTGTAGCTTCAAAATCTGGTGTTATATACAATGGCCTGAGGAAACATTCTTTAATTGTTAAATGTTTTTCTTACTAGTTTTGTGATGAGAAGAGTAGAACTTACTTTTCAGTTTTGAGACCTCAAGACCTTCTCCATGGAAACAGCGAAATTTAACTAGCGAAGTCACCCACAGGGTGATTCTATATAAAGTATCTGAAAAAAGGGGAAAGATGGCCCAATTTTAAACTAGTCTCCTTTAAGAAAATATTATTAATGTAATGGTTTAAAAGTATCTTCCTAATCTTCTCCATCCATATTTTCATGGATTCTGCTGTCTAGATAAACTCAGCATGTTTGAAGGAACAGAGCACATGTGTTCTATGCCAAGCATAGAAAAAAAACCCACTTTCCAGTGCTTTGACATACCTATATGCTAGTATGTACAAAAGCTGTTGGTAAATAATTTTTCCATTTGTGGCGGCAACTGCCTGTATAACATTACTTCTTTCTTTGTTAGCTATTCATGCCCTCAGAATTACTATGCTAACTGGGAAGGTGGGTTGCAAATTTTTATTAACTAAAAGCTAAAAATACATTTTTTTTTGGTGGAGAATTCAGTATATTGCCTCTTGAGCAAAGAAGCAGGATAATTCACATTTGCTTCAAATAAAATTTATGTAGGATTTTAATGACTCAAAATGACCAAGATTTGTTTTTGTGAAGCCTAACAGTGATGCTACCTTTCTGTGACTTTGTGTGATTTTCAAAGTGAAAGATTAAAATCCCCACAAAAGGATCTCTGTTATTGCTAGAAATTCATATGATCATATCTGGTTTGGGTAAGAATACAACACATGGTGTAGAAATAGTTAAATGAATCAGAAGTTGCTGATAAGCACTATTGCTCTTTTACCAGCATTGTAATATTTGTTTGTCTCTCCAGCTTGATTTTTCTTGTCAGTAGTCTTAAAGCACAAATCCTTTCATAAATGATGTTTAAGAAAGTGAAGTTCCTCTTTCCCTGAGAGCTAGGCTATAGAAAAAATGACATTTTTTGTTACAACTTGAAAATGTTTTTTAAGAGTATCTTTTTAAATGAATTGTGGAAGAATAAAAATACATTGCATTGTCTTCTCTGAATAACTTATGTGAGACTGAAAAACTTGTAGTTCTTTAAGGGGTCTCTAGATAAAGCGATTAACAAATCTGTATATATGCAAATTACTTTTTACAGTGCAGTATTGAAATAAATAAAAAATATTTAAAAGCAAAAAGTCTTTTTAAGTAATTATTGTGATAATTACTGACTCCCAATAGGTTATATTACACCAAGAAGGTCATATGGATGATGGTCTCACATTACAAAGATGCCAGCGTGAGGAATCCCAGGCTGCTCGAATCATTCGCAATACTTCAAGCTTATTCAGCCACTTCATAAGGTATTTGTTACTGGTCTTTAAAGTATTCTGAAATTATAAGAATTTCTCTAAGAGAATCCTTATGTCCTGCTTTCAAATATTTGAATTTAGAAGCTATTAGAAATATATTTTTACTGATTGAAATTTAAAATTTTGATTAGTAATGCCATTAAATAGATAGAACAGTATATGTGAAATTATTTACATGAGTCTAATACCTTGAAGCCAGAAGCAAGCTGAATCATAATCCAGGTTGAAAAAACATGCTAACTGATTTTAGTCTGTTAGTGGGTATTCATTGATACCTAGAATTTTGTGTAATTGAATCTATAAGAAATTTTTAATTAATTATTTGCCCACCATATGAGCCTGTGTTTAAAACATTATTACTTCAGTATCTAAAGAACCTCCACCACTCCTTTATATTTCTTGGGCTGATCATATAAAGCAGAGGCACCTTTGCCAGCAATCAGTGCCTGCTAGATGATGCTATTTATAGCAGACTGTGGAAAACTGGATTATCACACAAGACTGAGAAAATACTTGAACAGAAAAAGACATTATTTTACAGACAACAGAGATTTGTTGAAATGCTTTATATTTTCAAATCCCACCCTTCTTTATTTACTATGTGGAATAGATACAGAGGATCTAATTAGTGGTTAGGATTATCTACTATTTTTGTGCTTTTTCCAGAAGGCTGTGGGTGTGTAACTTCAATAACTGCTACTGTTAGTGCACATCATACCTATAACCTTAATGGGATTTAGAGTATCTAAACAAAATCAATTACTGTAGTAAAAGAACATGAATCTCTTTTTCTTCATTTTGCTGAATTACATTGCTGCTTCTTATATTTTTTTCGGTTTTTAAAAAAAACATTCTCTCTGTTTGTATCAGCACAGAAAGGGAAATATGATTACCCTTTCGAAAGCTTTGAGTGCTGGACACCCAAATAATAGATGTTTGAATGATGTTCAGTTCGGATCGTCCATTGCTCATATTCACATGTCATACATGTAACAAGACTTGATTTAGGTACCAAAAGAGAAGAGGCTGCCACATTATACTGTAAATTACAGTGGGAAAATGATTAATGCTGCCAGTCTTGTTGCTTTCCACAGTGGAAACAACAGAGCGCTGTCACCCAGCACCCTGCCTGTTGAGGAGATGGCTCAGACGCTGCAGGACCTGATCACTTACTTCCAGCTTCCCGAAGAAGACCTGCAACACGAAGACAAGCAAAACAAACTCCGCTCACTCAAAAATAGACAAAATCTATTCAAAGAAGAGGTATAGACAAAGGGATTTTTGCATTATTTTAAGCGTAATGTCTCACAAACTTTGAGAGAAATCTAGATGTATGCATATTATCATTTAGATATAGGCATATGATCTATAATGTAATGTAATGTTCCTAGCTGAAATATACATATATATGTAAACTTGTCACAAGCCACACACTCTGTCATAAAATTTGATCTTAATACTTCTGAACACATTTAAAAGAATCTTATTTTACAAAAATTTCTTTTTCTCTCTGTGAGGGTATACAGCCTGGATACTCCAAATGAATTATAAAACCTGGGTTAACGTATGTTATTTCTGATGTCTCTTCTAACCTCTGAATCTGCCTGTAACTTTTTATCTCTAGAAACTCTAAGAATGCCAGTTTTAGAGAAAGTTATGCATTACATAATTGTTGAATTGCTCCTCTCTGAAAATGGAATAACTGTATTTTTGTAGAAATGCTAAACATATGATGTGTTTAGACATATTTGAATTGCTTCCAGGTTTTCAATATCATCTGAGTATGCAAAAGTGAAGTTACAAATCTCTTGTAGTATTTAAAATATTGGATAGATATTTTATTGGATAGTAAAATTTCCACCTTTTTAATCAATGAAAATTCCTTTTTATCTAAATTTAAATTATTTTTTCCTTATGCAAGGAAGATTTTACTTAAAGTGTCCTTAAAAATTGAAGAAGTCTTTATTTTCAGATTTTTATTCCTTATTTTTCATTATACTTAGTTGTGTAAGGAACCATGTGGAATCATTCTCTAAAATAAATTCTTTTTACAGAGAAAAATACATATTCATATCTTTTAAGCACAATTGGTTTTCTGCTTGGGATTTTCTTAATTTAAGATAATGCAACTTTCCAATTTATACTGGAAAAAGTCTTTAAAAAAGCAATGGCCAATGCTTTTTCATGTACAGTTCACTTTCCTCTCTGTCCTGTTTAGGGAATGCTGGCACTAGTTCTAAATTGCATTGATCGCTTAAACGACTACAACAGCACAGCTCATTTTGCAGGAATTGCAAGAGAAGAGCACGGTGGTACATCATGGAAAGAAATTTTGAATCTCCTTTACAAATTGTTAGGTAAGTTCTTCCAAAAACCTCTAAAAAAAAAAAACCTCACCAGAAAAAGTATCCTACTTGCTGCTTCACCACCAAGGAATACTTTGAATATTAGTATTTAGTATCCAGTTTATTATGTAAATTACAAACTTTCTTCCATATAGTTACTGCTATTTAATGCAGATAAAAGAGTTTATTGAGCAATGCTAGATCAGAAAAATCAGATCTCGGGCAGGAAAAAGTTCTGTGAAGTATGTCAAAATCTTTTTTTTTTAATTTAAATGTACCTGTGATATGCAAACAGACATGAATTATTATTTTAAAAATTAGAAGAACTGGAAAACAGTCTTTTTATATGAAACTGAAGAAAAGTCTAAAAGCAGTAGTTAGTCAGGTCTGTTCAATCCATTTTTGTCACTTGAGGCTAAGATTTAAATGTTAGTAAGAATAATTATATAAAAATGAAATATTTTTTCAATATCAATGCCAGATTTTCTAGAGCACTTCTATTCAAGAGGAAACTGCTTCTGTTTTGTAGAATTGCCAAAATTATAGAGCAGAACAAGTAAGTATATGTGTATTTAAATTTCTTATTTGATACCTAGTTTATGTTATTCCTTATTTAACAGAATCTTGTCTTCTGATGGAGATTAAATACATTCTATTTTCATCACAAAGGAAGATTTCCATAGTGAAACAAGGAAGTTAAGAGTCAGGACGAGAAAAAAAGAAACTAGGGGAAGTGCTTTGAAGCAGGAGGTTATTACATAGAACAGACACGCAGGTGCTTCTGATGAAATCTCATTGCCTTAGAAACTAAAAATTACCACTTTTACTAGTCATAAGTTTAAAGAAAAATAGGATGAAAAGAAACTCTCTCTAGTGCTCTTTTTTCAGATTGTACCTTCATTTTTATCTGCAGGAACATTTTGAACACAGCTGTTCTGATGTAATAGTTTTTGTGCTTTATAATAAACATCACTGACAATTGAATACACAAGATATATTTTTTGTTACTCTTTTCCCCTATGATCTATGACTTCTAGAAGAAAGCAAAGAAACAGTATTGCTTGAAAGACTTGAATGTTGATGAACTTTTAAAGTGCAGTCTGCACTACTGAAAGACTAAAAGCTTTGCATTCTACAACGTTGTAATCAGAAAGTAGAACTAAACACCAATATGCCTAATCTGCACTAGACCTCAAACTTCTGCATATGATCATTCCACACTTCCTAGGAAGAAACAGAAAAAAGAAATGTTTCAGCCCCATGATCATGACTGTGTAAGGATGCTGGATAACTTCTACTTATATTTAGCAACAAAATAAAACATAAACAAAACATATTTTTTGCTGAGATTTTTGTTCATCCAGGAGACCCCCTTCAATTTCAAAAACTATGTGCTCCTTAGAAATTATGTCGGTTGCTAATATTCAAAGTAGTGGAGATTCCAATACTTTATTGCAGTAGCATATATGGACTTACCTGTTCATTGTTTTATCAAGTTACCCTAAAAATTGTGTTAAAATACATATAATAAACTTTGTTGATTTAAAATTGAAATCTCCTGTTATAAAATGACACCTTGTGTTTTTTTCCAGCTGCTCTCATTCGTGGCAACAGAAACAACTGTGCTCAATTTTCCTGTAACCTTGATTGGCTAATCAGTAAATTGGACAGATTAGAATCTTCCTCAGGTGAGACTCACTTTTATAATGTAAATTAACTATCAGTCAATGCCTGTTTTACATTATTTACACAGCAGTTTTCCTTGAAGCCAACACATATTAGTAAACAAATACGCTCTTGGGGTATGGTTGGTTTTTTTGTTTGTTTGTTTGTTTGGGTTTTTGTGGTTTTGTTGTTGTTGTTTTGCTTTTTAATCTTATTTTTTGGGGTGTTTTTTATTGGCTAAAGTAATATATTTAAAGAGACCTTCATATGAAATTGTTTTGCTTCAATACATTTTTTATAATAATACTACATCCAGTCAGTGTTGAATGTGACCCTGATAAATTAAGGGATTGGGTCAAACAGTATCAAGAGTGTGTACCATGAAATCACATGTATTTATGGCATGCATATAAAACCCATATAGATGTAGCTTATACATTTTTTTACAGTGAAGTATTCAACAAAACATTGATGTATGATAAAGTTCTCCCTTTACCCCTTTCATTGAAAAGAAGGAGCTAAACTTGAAAATTTCTCACGTGGTTTTAAAGTTGTGGCTATATTCAAAAGAAAAGAGAAATTGACATTTTTATTATGCATTTATTCCTAATGTAATGTTCGTATCATTACTCCTTTAAAGTTGTTTTGTTCTCTATTTAAGCCAGAGAAAATATGCCATCTTGTAAGATACCCCTTTACTGAGCTTGTAGGTTGTGTTCAGTGGTGCAGGTGATTTAATGACAGCATTGTTTCTGCGGCCTTCATACAGGTATTTTGGAAGTGTTGCACTGCATCTTGATTGAAAGCCCAGAAGCTTTAAATCTAATATCCGAGGAACACATCAAATCCATTATTTCACTGTTGGATAAACATGGGCGCAATTACAAGGTATGTTTGGAAAAACTAAGGATGTAATGATAATCTTACAATAATTTGTGGGGGAAGAAAAATGAGAAATGTCTACATGGAAATATTTGATTCTAATATCTTTAAATCAATAAAATAACCTTAAAGTACATTTGCAAAATTTCTTTGTTGAGATTAAAAGAAGGTTTAATATATAATTGCTTTTCAGCAATTTTCAAATACCAAAAATTTGTATGAGAAGTGAGCAGTTAAGAAATATTGGTAACCAGTCAGAACATTTGATTTGAGAAAATGAAGTATTCTGGTAGCTGTAAGAAAGTGGGCAGAGTAGCTTGTTTTTTGATCCAGGGCGCTGGAAAAGTAGTGGACTACCATTGCATCCACAGATATAGAGAACTATATCCTGCAAAGTCATTCCTAACTTGAGTAATAATAATAGCAGCAGAAAAGAAAAAAAAAAAAAATTGAGAAATCAGAAAAATAATCCAAATATCTGAAAACACAGGTGTTCTGAAGAAAGAAAAAACCCTGAGTTTCCAGAAGATATACTGGATGAAATTAATTTAGACACCAATATGCAATTTATTATGATAGAAGAAGGTGAACAGAATTTCTGGCTGCAACCAGGATGACATCACAACACAGACGAAGATATAGGTTTTTGTGTGATTTTCTGATGTGAGTTCCCTTCCTCAATTAAAATTTTATTTTGAAAGACTGATAACCCCGAGGAAGAACTGAGAAAGTTTTTGTGAGCTGAAATTACCCTCTCTTGTAAATCACTAATACAGAGAACCTAACCAGCTATAGATAAAGGAGAAAGGAATTTTTAATCAGGGTTAAGGAGTATGAACTGATATAAGTAGGCATAAGAAAAAAAGTTGAAGTTTCAGCAGGAAGTTTAGCTTACTATTTTTATCTCTTTACAAGATTACTGTGTTATGCCAGTCACCTAGAAAGAACCCTGTGTCTGAAACATATCAATGTAGATCTTACAGTGAGAATTTAGAGCAGAAACAGAAAATGTACACAGGAGAAGTATTATACCGGTTAAGGGATTTGTTCATTTCCATTTGTATTGTCTTTGGCTATACCTCAGCAAGTACTGAAGAGTGGGTGGGAAGAAATAGATTTATCTGTTATTCCACAAACAGTATATCTTGTTCTCCTGCTAGATTTGAGATTCTGTTGAGATTTAGGAAATAAGAAAAATAATGAGCAAAATAGTCCTGGAAATTATTGAGTTGAAGGCCTTTTTAAATTAAAAGCCTTCTGTCAGAAATAGAGTCAGCATATTCACAGAGATTATGTAAACAGTTAACATGTAAAGTCTGAGTTGCTGGTAATCATTAATGTTATTAAGATGCTTTACAGCTGAGTCCTGCTCAGAGGTTATTTGGTTCTTTAAATAATTACCTCTAGCCTCTGATAGATGGTTTCTGCCCAATAGCAGAGGGAGTAGAAAGGAAAATGCTGGGGCATAGAAAAGTGTTTAAGCAAATATATTAGCTTAAGCAGCATAAGCTGTTAATGGTGGCTTTGTGTTCAGTTGTGTCAGACAACAGGAGTAGCTAAAGTGAGTTTTATATTCTGCTGTTTCTGGAGTTGTACAATAGTAATAACACAATCAATGGTGTGAAGATGTGTCTTTTCTTGTGGAGGTGGTGTGTAGCAATCTAGAGCACTTGGGCTCATTGCTCAGACTGTTTGTCAGAGGTCAAGTACACAATGAAGCTTCTCTGTTTGTGAAAGTGTGCAGCTTTGTTCCTCAGCATTAAGCAACATTATGTTACTGTGTTCTCCCTTCCAAAACTCCTGCTCCAGTACTCTGGAAGAATGATATCAATCTCTTTCAATTTGCAGACTCAAGAAAAAAAAAAAGGAAAAGAAATCTGAAGTTTTAGAATGACATCTTTCTGAAATTCTGTTTTGCTTTATAGTGAGCTTTTAAAACATCTTGCATTTTATAAATAAATGGATTATTTCTCAAAGTGAAAACATTGTTTCCAGAAGAGGCTCAAAAGCAGTCATTGCCATTGAGAATTATCCACTAATTTTGCACAGGAATTCTTTTGGGCTGCAGAAAATTTATCAAGAAATATAATTTTATATTCAAAATTTTATTAAGAATTAATTAAAAAGTCTTAAAGAGTTGGCATATGGCTGTTTTAACCATTTTGTCTGATCAAAATGAGAATAAAGAATCTTAAAAGAAGGTTTCTGATGCATTCTCAAATCCTGTGCTCTGATTTTATGTTCCACAAATGTTTGATATCCTCTATCAGTAGTACAGAATATACTTGGTACAAATATGTGAAAAGTATATAAAAAACAATAATGTATATTATATTCCTTCATTTAGGCCTATTCAGAATATAAATTAAGCTGACAACAGAATAATAGTGTCTACTCCTAGCTGCCTTTATCTTACTACTTCTGATTTTTCTTTTAAGGTTCTCGATGTGCTTTGTTCTCTCTGCGTCTGTAATGGAGTTGCAGTCCGTGCCAATCAAAATTTGATTTGTGACAATTTACTGCCCAGAAGAGACTTACTTTTGCAAACACGTTTGATTAATGATGTGACAAGGTATAGTGATATGTTGTATCAGAAAAAAATATTAGCATTCTATTAGAAAAAATTGAATCGAATTTTTATCTTCATTAATTAATTAAATAAAAAATTGTAACCTAAGGAATGTTCCAAAGCTTTCAATATTGAGAAATACACCTTAGGAGATGATAATGTATTATGTATTAGCTTCTGAAAAACTACATTTTTTACTGACAATATGGCATTTGTATGGAACCTGGGATGAAAAATAAATTGCTAATTCATAATCAGAGCTGCTCTAAAATGGAAACATGAAAGTTGCTTGTCTCTGAGTCAAAAAAGGGCACAGAGTATGCAAACATACTCTGAAGTACTTGTGTGTTTTAAGAGGGGCTTGATTTCCTGGTAACCTCAGTCCTGGATTTTTTATTTTGGTAAATGATCTTGTCATTTCTCTTCTGCCTGTAAGTTTTTCAAAGCATGGGACCTCTACCTTAGAAGATAATTATACAGCAGCTTTATTAATTTATACAAAAGGGTTCACGTCAGAAAATATTATAAGCAAAGCATGGGTACCTACACTTGTATTATACTTGTAAAGTGAATTTGACAATTACACAGCAATATAATTCCTATGTCACACTTTATGTTTACACTAACTGGCTTGTATTTTCTTTCTTAGCATAAGACCAAACATATTTTTGGGTGTTGCTGAGGGCTCTGCACAGTACAAGAAGTGGTACTTTGAGTTAATAATTGATCAGGTTGATCCGTTCTTGACGGCAGAGCCCACCCACTTGCGAGTTGGTTGGGCCTCCACTTCAGGTTATGCCCCCTATCCTGGAGGTGGAGAAGGATGGGGAGGCAATGGTGTTGGTGATGACCTCTACTCATTTGGGTTTGATGGCCTTCACCTGTGGTCTGGTGAGTACTTTGTGAGCTTCCACTTATTTTACATTTAACATTTACCTACCTTTACTTTCCAATTTTCTTGTATATATAACATGTTATTTTATAGTGAGCTACATTAAGAACTCCAGGTAATCAAGAAGTTATTTAAAAGTTCAGATCAAACTTCTTGTCTGGGATGTTAGCCAATATTGAATTATACCAATTAGGCTTTTTAGCAGATTGCCTCTCTTTCCATTATTTTGACCACAGAATGGCATTTTCCAGATCTAGATCTTAATTTAATCCAATACTGACCTACTTCTATCTGTCCAAAATAAAGGGAAGTATTGATCTCAGATAAATTAATTCTATACAAATTGACATTTGTATTATTATTTTACTTTGAATCTACAGTTGAAAGAAAATGATAGCTATTTTTAAACCTGTTGCTAGATCCATTTGTCAAATTGAATTAAAATTTTGGTAAATAGTTTAATAAAATTTTTGTCAATAAAAAATAATTTCTTCTCTACTGCCAACTTCATTATTTTAGTCCTTCTGTGTGGCATCTTTTTCTCTTGCATGCACAGTAAATGATGGTTATTTTTTAGCTTGCTCAATTTGTGGCTTATGTTTTAACATGCAATTTTCAAGGCATGTAGACAAAATTCTTAGTTTCCCCATATTTCTCAGTGCCTTTAAATGCCATAAACATCTAGGTATTTTTAAATTGCTCTGAAAATAATAGAGTAGGGCCATGCAGATGAAAGGTGTCCTAATGAGAATGTATATTAATACACTGAAGCAAATTTTATTACATTAATTCTAATAATTCATAATCTGAGAGTGTTTCCTTTATCAATTAGATTAACATTGTTCTAGCATTGGGTTTTGTATATAAAATATGTGTGTGCAGACACAAATTCAATATTTCAACACTACTGATTTCCAATGTCAGAAATTTTAGTTTTTCAGAGAAGACTAAGAGGCATTCGTAACATACTCCATTAGAAATGGCTGAATAAATAATTTTAAAAAACTTGAAACTGCTTAAATATTCTGATTCCTAAATACTTTTATCCTAGGTCGGGTACCCAGAGCTGTAGCATCTGTCAATCAGCATTTATTAGCATCTGATGATGTGGTTAGCTGCTGCTTGGATTTAGGTGTACCCAGCATTTCATTCCGCATTAATGGACAGCCTGTACAGGGAATGTTTGAGAACTTCAGTACAGAAGGGTTTTTCTTCCCTGTCGTAAGCTTGTCAGCAGGTGTAAAGTAAGTACAAGTTAATTTTAGTTGTTTTCATTGCTGTCTTATCACATAAAATATTGTCCAAATTCTAATCTGATTTATTTGGTTTTGTTGCTTGAGTTCTGCCCAAATAGCAGCTGGAAGGAAGGCAGGGAAGTAATGATTTGTTCAGTGATGATTTCACTTAAAAGTGACATGTGAGCCTGTAAACTATTTGATCAAGTCACAATGTCTGGACAGTATTATTTTATGGGTATTTGGTGACCTAGGGGAAATTAATTTTGTTTCATTCCAATTATCAGTGAAAAAAGCATGTTAGAAATGCAGCAGTGTATTTGGCACTAATTAAGGTTCTCACTGGTTTTCTCAGCAGGGAGTAAAATAACCTAAATCATCATGAAAACTGATACTGTGTTCACAGTGGGAAACAGAACTGATGAGAAATAGTTTTGGAGTCTCTTTACTAATGTTGCCCATTTCCTACCTCTTCTATAGCTAAAATACTGAGATTCGAACTTCCTGTATACAATTTCTGTGCCTGTCTATGTTCAATGAATTCAGAAAATCTCCCGAAGAATCAACAGAATAAAGGAGGGCTGGGAAATGTTTAGTAAATCAGTTTCATTTATTCCCCAGGACTGACCCTAGTATGTAGCTGTATTAATATGAAGCTTTTGAAAATGTTCATTCATTTTTTACTGTAAAAATTGGTCAAAACTGGTGTAATTATTTTCTTTTTTCCATTCTTATTTGATGTTGTTTTTATATTTTATGAGAGCATTTTCCCTTGTGGTTTATAGTAACATAGCTGATGTTCACAGCAGCTGTATGCAGTCATCTGTGTCTATTACTACCAGAGGAAATACTTTTACATGGGAATCCTGAGTTCATGAGTGAAGGAGGGTGTTCTGGGGTCTTTAATCTTTTAAAAAATGTAAATAAAATATATTGATCTGTTCTAATATTCCTATAGGCTTCTGTCACCCCATCACAACAAATATAGGGACTAATTCCTAGAGATAACAGGCTTTTTTTTTTAACATTTCTGTGTTTGTTTACCTCTAGAGTTTGCCCACTTAAGGACTAAAATATGTGGCTGGATAGTTTTTGTCTTTGCTGTTTTTCCTGATATACTCTTAAATTTATATGACAAATCTATATTTAAGGAGAAAAAGAAAATTTTAGGGGTTTGCAAGGAATCTTAGTTGTCCTTCTGGAATTAATTCCCAGTTATAATATAAAGTATAATGCTTGCTTTCTTAATGCATTATGGTTTTAATGTTTTTTTTGTTTGTTTGTTTGTTTTGTTTGTTTTTTTGTTTGGTTGGTTTTTTTTTATTTCTCTCATATGCCAAACTGTATGCATGTGTTCACTGAGAAGTAACTTTGAAACTTTCAAGTTATGTATCAATAGTCCAAATAGTATTTTTAGAGCAACAGTCCAATTTAAATTAGATTTGTGTTTCCAAATCCCTTAAATCCATTTTAAAAAATCACAACTTACAACCATTTGATTTTAAGAGAGAAATATTTAAGTGTGACACTACATTAAATAATTAGTTTATCTTTAGCGAAAACAAATTTTCAAAAAATAGTGGGTAGATGATGGTTTTACTGACAGTATCTGCTAATATGAATGCTTGGTTAACCTGTGGTATTTACCAAAACATGAAGCACACATGTGTTTTTGTAAATGGTAGTAACACAAATCCTTAGGCTTCTATGCTATTTATTCATAATGATATTATATGCTGACTATTTAAGAGTCTAATTGTTTCGTTGAAAATTGCACAGAGTTCGTTTCTTGTTGGGTGGACGTCATGGAGAGTTTAAATTTCTGCCTCCGGCTGGCTATGCTCCCTGTTATGAAGCACTGCTTCCAAAAGAGAAGATGAAATTGGAGCCAGTCAAAGAATATAAAAGAGATTTTGAAGGAGTGAGGGATTTGTTGGGTACAACACAGTTTCTCTCACAAGCTTCTTTTATCCCTTGTCCAATAGACACCAGTCAGGTATGTGAAGTTTGCAATAATGGGATCTATAACCTACATCTATTCAAAACTTAAATTCACAATATAGAATATTCCCTCTTTCTTAGTTTGCAAAACTTGGAGCTATAATTAATGTCTATTCAAAACTTAAATTCATAATATACAATCTTCCCTCAATCTTCCATTGCTTGTTGTGATGTACTAAGTCTTCAACATACAAGGTGTGGTGACTGGAACCCTTCTTACTTCTGGAATTGTTATGCTCTTTCCTTAGATTGCTCTTCCTTTTCATCTTGAAAAGATCAGGGACAAACTAGCTGAAAATATCCATGAGCTATGGGGAATGAATAAAATAGAACTGGGCTGGACATATGGCAAGGTATGTTTTGAATGACCTGTCTAGGTAAAGTCACCTGTATTAGGTAAAGTCTCCCACCAGCCCAAACCTTGACTTGGAATTTGAATAGGGCATGCAGTGGTGGCCTATACATTACCAACAGCAGGTGACCATGTAAGCTGGAGAGACAGTAGTATTAACTTTTTGGTGAGTTTTTAAAACATTCAAATTCCTCAAATTTGTTTGTTTTGTTTATTCCATTAATTTTGAAGGATTATTTATAGTGTGCATTATAAGTGAATCAAGGGAAAAGGAGATTTATATAGATATGAGTAGCTGTCACTGAACAAAAATAAATGATATTGCTTATATTGAATTCATTACTGCAAAGAATTCACTGGGTTTTTACTGTGATACTTGATTCCATCAGGAAAGTACTCTTTTCGGTAATTCTTTTGCAGGTACGGGATGATAATAAAAGGCATCATCCTTGTCTTGTGGAATTCTCAAAACTGCCTGAGACGGAGAAGAATTACAATCTACAAATGTCAACTGAAACCCTCAAGTGAGATTTAAATAGAAAATAAAATAAAGTTTTATAATTTTATTTTTATTCAAGTGCATCATACTGCTGTAAAATATAAAAACCTTTCAAATATGTCCTTCAAAGATATTCTCCGAACTTTACTAGAAGTCCCAGGAACTCAATCAGACTGATATAGAAGAAAGTTCTCTCTACAGAGAGACAAAGAAAAAAACACCACCAAATCTGATTGGTTTTAATAAAGTGGTTGAAGTCTCAAGCCAGAGATTTGTGCCTTTTTAGTATTTGAAGGTCTTAGTTATTACCTCTGATAAATTAAAATATTTGGATTTTTAAATAACATTATTTTAGATTATTTCCATGTTTTTAAATATAATTTCTTCTACATATTTATACAATGCATGAAAACTATAATGTTGTGTTTCACTAATGTCATTTTTATGCCAGAACCCTTTTGGCCCTTGGATGTCACATTGTTCACGCTCATCCAGCAGCTGAAGAAGATCTTAAAAAAGTCAAGCTTCCTAAAAAGTATGTACTTTATGGTAATGGTTACATCTTATAGTATTTATTACAAATATTATATATTTTAAGTTCATTTAAAATATACTAGATATGAACCCCATAAATTATAAGGTCTTACAGATCTTTAGTTAAGCCTTTACTTGACTGTGATGACGTTGGAATGTGAGTACTGCTGTGCTACATCACGTCCTGAAGTTGTCAAGAGGCAGAAACAGTCCCATACAGGCAATTGTAGCAGTGTTACATCAACCTAGAACAGAGACTTCAAAGTTAAATACAACACTGCAGTGCTTTTCTGCCTCATAGTAAAGAACAATCTATTCATATGATGGTAAATCTATTTACTTGAAAGAGAGTTTACCACTTTACCACAGGAGACTGAAACAGCAAGCTGGACACATGCCTTTTCACATCAGTTTATCAACCCACCATATGCCTTTTTTTAATGAAAGAAATTTATCCATGAGAAACGAAGTCAGTTATTTAAAATGAACAGTAAAATACATATCTTTATGATATGAGAGATGGTAATATTGATCCAGTTGATGGCCTTAGTTAAAAAAAGTAAAATAGAGCTTTTCTCAATGTTCATACTGCAGATAGTCTATCATAATACTGGTTTGCTATTATTCTCTTGTTGAAATACCTATTGCCTATATGAAAAATTCAGATTAATGGAAACTACCTGATTTGAGCAAAAGGGAATCTGAATATGTCTAGAAGGGCAGGTTGTCCTTATACAATATGGAAGGGTTAGGGAAGATAATGGCTACTGCTAAAATATTACTAAACTTTTTATTCAGTGAAAAAGTGTTAAGAACAATAGTTAAAAATTTTCTTCTGTGGGAAAAAATGGTAATGCAGTTCCTACAGAATAGTTCATTAAAATACCATACTTAATGATACATAAGAAAGTTTGATAAGAAGTCATCATACAGATCTTAAAATAGAATTTACTTGAAATGTTTAAATGACAAATATATATATCAAGTAGTCATTCAATAACAATTTTTGTTGCTTTATAGCAACTGTTTAGGTATGTAAATATGGATCTGAGTCATATTTAATTAGCTATTGTGCAAGGAGGTGGAAAATTAGATGGTCTAGGTGGCTAGATAGCTAGAATCCAATTTATATCCTAGTCAATGACAAAATGCAATGGAATATTTTTGCAAAGAAACGAGGAGAATAAGAGATTAAAAAGTAGAGAGAGACAGTGATTTCTACCCTGTGAATGCCTCACAGAAAGATTTAAATACCATAACTGGGATATCTTGACCCTCTGTTTTTCTTTGTTGACTTACAGTTACATGATGTCAAATGGGTATAAACCTGCCCCTCTTGATCTTTCTGAAGTGAAATTGTTACCTTCTCAAGAATTTCTAGTTGACAAACTAGCAGAAAATGCTCATAATGTCTGGGCAAAAGACAGAATAAAGCAAGGATGGACCTATGGCATTCAACAGGTAGGAACTTCTTTACATGCATTTGGAATAAGTAAAGAATGTGAGATTTTTTTTTTATTATTCAAGAACATCATTTGGGAGGGAATGTTAGTTAAGATGACAATTGCTGACTGTCCTGTGATAACTGGAAAACCCAGAGGGGGTTGGGAGCAAGAAAAGTCCTACATATAAAAGTCTCCATTGTCAGACCTGTATGGTTGGAGCTACTGGATGTATGAGAATATATTTACATCCTTCTCTTTCATTCTTGTATTTAGGTTTTCAGTGTTATTAACAGATAATTAATTGAGCTTGCATTCATAGAACTCTTCTTCATTAGTGCTGCTTCTCTTCTGTAATCATTACATGATGCCAAAGTGCATTCTGTCTCATTATTCAAAGTTTTGTGATGTCTAAACAGACTTTTCTTCTTCTTGTTTTTTATTATCCCTTTTAGGATCTTAAGAACAAACGTAATCCTCGACTAGTGCCATATGCATTATTAGATGAACGTACTAAAAAATCAAACAGAGACAGCCTCCGTGAAGCTGTCAGAACATTTGCAGGCTATGGCTATAGTATTGAGCCACCTGACCAAGAGATAGGTATGTATTTTCAATAAGAATAATGGCCTTTTTTAGTGACGTTTATAGTTTCACTTTATTATTAAAAGAGGGTTTTTTTTTCCTCTGTTTGTTTTTCCAGCTGATCAAACAGTGGAAAAAGTCAGCATTGACAAGATACGATTTTTCAGAGTAGAACAGTCCTATGCAGTGAAGTCTGGGAAGTGGTACTTTGAGTTTGAAGCTGTGACAGGTGGAGATATGCGTGTTGGCTGGGCCAGGCCAGGCTGTCGACCAGACATCGAGTTGGGAGCTGATGACCAAGCATTTGTATTTGAAGGAAGCAAAGTCAGTACACCTTTACCTCTTTTGATCTATAAACAGGCTAAACAGAGAACAATAGCATAGATTTCCTCTATGTACTCCACATCAACTACCAGAATGTTTTTGATTCTTATAAAGATATCTCTGAGCTCTGTTTCACATTGGATAGTACCTCCATTTTGGTTCTGGTCATGAGATTATGCTAACAAAGAAGTCTTGGTTTATATATATCTTCCTAGGCTATACCCAACTACAGTACAGAAATCTGTCATAATTATGAACAAGATACAGCATTCACTTCCATTTTTTATAAGTGGTGTTTTGCAAAAATTAAAAAGAGCTCCTTCATTAACTGAGAACAACAGTCTGTTTTCCTTTTTCTGTTTTTTCTGCTTTCTGTGAATCCTTTCTTCCCAAGCTTGACTCCTAAACCTCCAGAAGGATAATAATGACCCTCTGTGTAAGAAGTTGAATCCAGTAAACAGTAGTTACCAGGTTCCTAATTACTGAAGTTAGGGCACCTTAGTCTCTCTATGTCCCTGTTATCTCTAAGACAAAAGTCATGATCAGTACTGTTTGCAAATGACTTTGAGATCCTGGAAAATATCTGAGTTTCTTTATTTATTTTGTATTTAATTTTAGCACTGTATTTATTTTCTTGGTTTAACATTTAGGGCCAGTGTTGGCATCAAGGCAGCGGATTCTTTGGACGAAGCTGGCAATCAGGAGACGTGGTTGGTTGTATGATAAACTTGGATGACAAGTCAATCATCTTTACTCTGAATGGAGAGTTGCTTATAACCAGTAAAGGTTCAGAACTTGCATTTGCTGACTTTGGAATAGAAAATGGTAACTTTCCCTTTATAGTCACATGGTTATTAGAAGACTAAATAGTGCAACAAACAGAAAAACTAGCTTGTCATGACTCAGTGAGCTGAGAAATCATATTTCACTGATATGAGCCTTCAGACTGTGCTATATATTAACTTCATAAAAATTTGTTTTGAGACTGCTTGTGTGGCACAAACTTAATTTCTTTTCTCCTTTAACCACATTAATGGGGTTTCAGCAGTCAGTGGATAAATTTTCTCACTGTTGCTAGGCTTTCTCTCAGGACTTCAGTGCTAAGAAGAAGTGATAATAAATAATCATCCTGAAAAATTTCCAAAATCTGAAAATGTAGCCTCTGGTAATCTCACTGGAGCATAAATATAGAATGTTCATATCTGTGAAGGACAAAATGAGTACTGTGCAGTGAGAGTCTGCATCAAAGGATCTTAGCAACATAACTTTTGTCTATTTTTTTCTCTGTTCTGTTCATTGCTTATCCAAATATCCCATTTTCCTGGGATATTTTTCCTCTTCTGTTTTTTGCCTTTTGGTTTTTCAAAAAGTAGTATCTACATGACTGTAGTAAAAGAGTTGGGGAATATTTTCAAACTGGTTTGATTTATGTTTTCATTGACTTTTTTTTTATAAGTGTATCTCCTCCAACCAGTAATAGCTTCATACTTGTTAGTAATTACCAGAAAATTTTGCAGTTTCTCACTGCTCTTCTTTGATCTTACCATTTATAGAGTTTTTATAAAGGTAGAGAATGAGGGACTGCCTTAACAAAGCTGTACTGAAGTCTCAGTTTAGGAAAGAAAATCTCTCCTTTAGAGGTTGAACTGTTGGCTTTTCCCTAATCTTGCTCCAAATTCTTGGGGAAATGGTGAAAGAAGTCAACAGCCTTTCATCCTTCTGTAAAGGTATACGGAGGTTAAAAAGTTAAGTCATAAAAAATGCTAGTATTGAAGGCGTGTGTATTTGTCCATTGTGAATGATGGAGGAAACAAAATTGTACCTACTGACGATAAAGTAAATTTTAAACAAATGTATTGAGATACTTGAACCTCATCTCAAGGTCCTTTTGAAAATTTGGCACCCTCAGAAACCATACTTAACTTTTATTAATAACTTTGATCTAGCCAAGGTTGGCTTCCAGCAACCATCTTGTATAAAGCCATGTTTATTAGTCTAAAAATGAGAAAGATAACAAATTAAATGGGATGCTGCCTAAATTCGCAGGGGTTTTGGTAGCAATTATATTGAACTTTGACATTAGTATTCAAGATGGCTTTAAATCCTTGTTTTTGTCATCACTTCATGTGCTTTACTTATAGGAGCTGAAGTTTAGTTCACATTAGATGGATCAAAAATAAAGACTGTCTGGTTTTAGACTAAATAGTTTTAAACTAAGCTATTAAGGTTTTTTGTTTGTTTGTTTTTTTTTTTTGTTTTTTTTTTTTTTTTTTTTTTTTTTTTTTTTTTTTTTTTTTTTTTTTTTTCCAATTTGTGCACTGGGCCTATCTCAGATTGGTCGCATGAACCTTGGAATGGATGCCAGCACATTCAAGTATTACACGATGTGTGGCCTCCAAGAAGGTTTTGAACCTTTTGCTGTTAACATGAACCGAGATGTTGCTATGTGGTTTAGTAAACGTTTACCAACATTTGTCAATGTGCCAAAAACTCATCCTCACATTAAGGTAACATTACATGTCAGAGAGACACCTGTTCAGTGATTGTTTGTTTAGCAAGCTGAGACATTAAACCCTTCTTAATACTTACTGTCATCAGATAGTTTGTCAAATAACTCAATTAAGTAACTCTTCGATAATTCCAGATGATATTGTCTATCTTCTTTTTCATTTATAGTAGTATGGATTCCTATAAATATACCTATTGGGTTTATTATATGATTTACTAATATATGTTGGGGTTAGCTACTGGAAACATGTTAGTTATGGGGTTTATTTATATTCTATCTTACATTTTCTTTCACTTTTTAAACCGTCTCCACTATATATTTTTCTTAAACCTGAAAATAGTTAATCTGAAGTCTGAGGACATTTAAGTGTACCTGTGGTGTCAGAGATTCTTTCATTATGATGCACCAGTGATAGGAATTCCAAAACTCCCTAACTAATCAATCCTAGAGCAGAATAATATATTCTGTCTTTTCTATAAATTTTTCCTTACTAATATATTCAAATAATATAAGTTTGATAATGATAAGTTTGAGTTCCTGAGGAGATTTTTTACTATAATCTCTCTAGGCCATGTACTTTAATATAAGTGTAGCCAATTATTCTCTAATGCTTGTCTCTGAATATTTCCTTCTTAAGCAAAATAAATTTCACTGAATTCCAACTAAATGCTCCCAGCATTTTTTCATTTTATCAGGATTATTTAATCATGATTCCTTTCTTTAAAATTTTTTAAACTGTTCCTATGACTGTGTTTGAAAACACACTTTTTCAGCACAAGGAAAGTAATATCATACTCAAAGTCCATAATGACCCTCTGAACAATTCTAATTGATATTTCTTCTCATTGTGATGGAAAATTACTCATTCTTGTGATGCAATTTTTCAATGACTTGTGTACTCTAAGTGAATTAGTTCAATAAACTATATATATATATATTTAACTCTCTGAAGGAACATCTTGAAAATATTTACTGTAGTCGGGATATACTGAATCTGTGGCTTCCCTTGCTCTTCAGGTTAAATTCAGTGTCAGAGAACAAAACTGCATAGTTTTGAAGATAATTAATTATGAAAAATTTAAGTTTGCTCTTTTGATTTACTCATTCTCTAGTTGCTTAATGGAATTTTTAGCATTTTTTTGGATAGAATTGTTTAAAAATATTTCTGTTATTTTTAGATATGGAGAATTGATGGGACCATTGAGAGTCCGCCTCGGTTGAAAGTTACTCACAAAACATTTGGCACACAGAACAGCAATTCAGACATGATATATTGTCGTTTGAGTATGCCCGTTGAGTTCCACTCATCATTCAACTTCGGCATGGGTGTGGAAAATGCCTCATCTGATGTTTTCCAAAAACGGTTAGACTTGGGATTGGTTATCCTATTTCATGCTTTCATGCTTACATTATCCTTTACTATTTTATAATCAAAATTTCTGTCACTAGATTACCATAAAATGCATGTTACTCAGATTTTTTTTTATTCTTGATGGTTTTATAAGTCACCTTTTATGTGGAATGCTGTGTCCAGACAAGAGAGAACCTCTTCTAAATAGGTGCATCACAAGGCCTATAGATTCTGCCTAAGCAGCTCCTTGTTTTTCTGAATTATTATAATTTGCAAAAGCTAGGCTGGAAAGCCAGTTCAGAGTCTTTTGTTTGCTGGATTATTGCTCATCAACATCGTTGCTCAATAACTCATTGTTACTGGAAAAGTGCTTAATTCATTAAAAGAAAAAAGATTGTGGGTCAGGTTTTGAAAAATACCAGCTTTAATGGGTCATGCACCTTTCAGAGTTTCCTCTATCTTTATTTAACTGCTGTAAATCTGCCTCTTCTCTCACTCTCTACCTCAACTGCAATCAATTATTTTACTTGTATATTGGTATCCTGTACAGTCTTTGCTAATGCATACTCAGTACCAGGCAAAGCTAGTTAGCTAGTTAACTAACTTGCAGTAGTTAGCTTTTAAGTATTCTTAGCCTAATAACGACTAACTTTTTTACTGCTTTTTAAAAAATTCTTTACTGATTTTCCTTTCTCTGTAGAAAGCACAGCCAAGAAATTGCTCCTCCTTCTACTACAGTAAGTAAATATACTGAGATGCTTAGTTCTAATGTTTTGAATTAGATTGATTTGTGGCAGCATGTTCATTAGAAATTGATCTGTTGAAAGAAGCCTTTTTAATAATTTTCTATGATATAACACTGTTTATAAATAATGTCCCGAGTTGCATGATTTGCAACTTGTGTAAACATAAACCTCACCAACTTAAAACACTGGTCTATTTTTATAATTTAAAAGTATTTTAAATTACTTATTAGAAGAATGTGAATTGCTATTATTAAATTTTCATATATAGGAGACTTTTTTTTAATCACTATTTGATTCTTCCTTGATAAAATACTTTAGATTTCCATTACTAATATGCTCTTTTCCTCCTTACAGTATTTTTACTCACTACGGATATTTGCTGGCCAAGACCCAACTTCTGTCTGGGTTGGATGGGTAACACCAGACTATCATTTTTACAGTGAGAATTTTGACCTAAATAAAAATTGTACAGTGACAGTTACTTTAGGCGACGAGAGAGGCAGAGTTCATGAAAGGTATGGAATTATTTATAGTGTATTAAATATTTTACTTTAATACTGTTATTTAAAAGTCAGATGTTTGTAAAGTTGATGGTATTTTAAATATTAATGTAAACTAATAAGAAAATTGATTATGGAGTATGAGTTTTCTGCGCCCATTTATGAATGTGTTTTCTGCACACATGTTAAAGTGAATTTTTCATTAATGTTCTGTTGCAAAGAAAATTTATTTTGGAAAGAATTTTCAATGAAAGATGCTTCTTTAATTCAATGTCTGTATTTACTCCCTGTGGATGAAGCAGTTTATTTTACTGTAACTAACAAGTGCACACAGAAGCCTGTGAAATTTTTTGTAACTATAGAAAAGAAAAAAAAGTGTATTTAGTCTGATCCCTTACCCGCAATGATGCTGATACATTATAAAAATAAAACATTTGTTAATGAACAAACTAACAACATAATGAGCACCTTTGAGGATCTCTAAGTATTCCTCCATTGAAGAGTTTATCTCCACCAAGTTCAGTGTGACCTGTGTTTTGCTCCTGTTGCTCTTTCAGTGTGAAGCGCAGCAACTGCTACATGGTTTGGGGAGGAGATGCAATTGCTAATTCCCAGAGATCAGGTCGCAGTAATGTTGATATAGAAATTGGATGCTTTGTTGACCTGGCTACTGGAATGGTGTCATTCACAGCCAATGGAAGAGAGCTTGGCACTTGTTATCAGGTATTATCAGATTTTCAGGAAGCTATCTAGTAAGATTCTTGTTCTGATGCTACTTCTCTTTTCCAGAAATCTAATTGCACACTATTTGTGTGATAACGTGTTTTCCTATACATTCTGGTTTATCCTTCTTTTTCTCACTTCTTGTAAGGCTGTGTTTTTTGAGTTGTTTCAATGTGTTCAGATAAATATTTTTTTTGCATCTCAGTTTGTGTGGTTCATAATCTTTATTAATAAAGTTAATTCGTTAAATTATTTTTTCAACTGAATCTGTTATACAATAAAGGGGAAATAAATATTTAAACTAGAAGAATGTCAAAATTAGACTTTAGATATATTTTTTATATGAATTAAGAAGAAAAATTTAGTTCATTATTACCAGGGTTTGTGCCTTCTGCAGATAGCTGTGATTTGGTGACCTTGTGATTTGATAAGTTTCAAAACATAAACTTCAAATATGCATTAACGCAGAAAACCAAAATAAGTGGGGTGTGCCCTAAATGCTATTAATACCCTCAAAACATGGTGTCATTTTATAAATGGATCAGTGGTTGACAGGAGTTTTCAGCACCAGATTATTAAGATTTCCTCTCAGCAAGATCAGTTGTTCACAGTAAAGCACTCACTGTGGAAGAGGTTGCCCAGTGTTAGCAACAATTCATTGCTTTTTTCTATGTCAGCCCCTCAAAGGTGTAATACAGGCAAAACTGAAATGTTGTTTAACTAAATTTAAATGGAATTTCTATACTGACTCCATTGAAGATGAATGTGGCAGGCTTGCACACAGCCTGTTAATGGGGGTGGGAGGTAATCTAGTGATTGTGATTTTGGAATATTTTGTAGTAGTGGTCAGTAACTTCAGTGCCATGCTGGGAGAATACTGAATATCAACACATTGGCAAAAGAAAAGAGGTGATTAAAGAGCTTAAGCCCTGCTTTGTTGTTTTTCTAGCCAGATACAAATCAATACAACTGCCTCTAAGCAAACCTATGAAACTTTGGTGTGTTTCTTTGCAGTGGGTGTTTGTGGATGTTTTCATGGTCAGCCTTTAGCTCTTCTTATCTTGCTAGAGAATGTGTGAAAAGACAGATACGGAAGATGCAGGTTATTGAATTTAGTGTAAATAACACTTTCAGGTTTTTCCTTATATGATTTGCAATTAATATAACTATGTTTTCTGTACTAAATGTAAAACAATCTCAGAAAATACCATTATTTGTCCTGTGTTTTTTCTTCTTTTCATGGAAAAATACCTGAAGTTCTTTTAGGAAATATTTTTTCAATACACCTGTTACAACTGGTCTGCTGAAAAATGAAAATATTCAGCATTTTCTATAGATTTAAAATAGTATAACCCAAAAAAACTGTTAGAAATAAGGGTGAAATATTTTTTAATTTTAGCATACTTTGAATAATTTATTTTCTCTTTTTTTTGAAAGTAATGAAAATAAAATAATGTAGTTTTCATTTCCACGTCTCGAATATTTTTACAATAAAGGCCTTTAAAATATTTCAATAAATCAAATCTCACGCTCCAATTGACACAAATAATTTATATTTGTCTGGTCTAGGTAATTATTCTAGTCCTACAACAATTTGCATGTACTTTTCAGTTTTCTTAACTGAAATAGAAGGACAATATTTGTATGCTGTTTTCATTTTAAAAGGCCTGTACTTCAACATATTTAAGAGAGGAAAATAATTTTTCTGTAGTTCTTGATCTAACTGTTGAATGCCATGATGATATTCAGAAAAAAACCCAATACACCAAGCAGAACAGAATGCCTTTTTTTTCTGGATTTGGGGTTGTGGTTTTTTTAAATTGCCAAAAAGTTTGGGATGTTAATATCTACTCTTAAATTATTTTATGTATGCCCATAGTTATAGTTCTGAGAAAACAGTATTTGATAGATCTTTATCCTCAAAGATAGGAGTTGCACTACTTCACAGCACAAATACTGAAGTTGTGCTTACTATGTACATCTGTACATTATACACAAAATGCACCATGATGTTAGTAATATATTTAATTGAACTTCTGAAACTTTGGTTTAATTGTGGAGATGTACTTTTTCAGCCACTCTGGAGTACTGAATTTTTTAAAATAATATGCTATTCTATGATTATATTTTTAATGCTTTATTTCATGGCAGTGGTTCCTCCTATTGGTGTAGAGAGCACATAAGGCTACAAAACACCAGTCTCAAAAATTAGGTGGTCCTATAAAGATAACTGCAAATACTTTACTATATTATGGGTAGACACTATTCAACACTTTATGTAGTAAAGCATATAAATTATTTGATAATGAAATGTAAGGTATACAGAATTTATTTATATCATATTCAGGGAAATTAATTTTTTTACTGTTTTAAATTTTAAAAACATTTACATCTCATTTCACTTCTAGGTTGAACCAAACACAAAGCTTTTTCCAGCAACTTTTTTACAGCCTACAAGCACTAACTTGATTCAGTTTGAACTTGGTAAATTAAAGGTAGGAGGTATTTTTGTGTTCTATAGAAAAACAATCTTTATGTAAATGTGCTCTTTTAAATCTCTTTATTTCTATGCAAATTCCTCTCAGTTAAATTTGTTTAAGAAGGTTGAATGAAAGGCATGACTTTTAATTTGACTTCTACATTTACTTCTGTAAATGTTGTTGATATATGCAGTTAATTGATTATCTGCAATTGTCACAATAAATTAATATTGTTTGAGGATAACACTGTTAATGTTGGGGGACTTTAATGGATTCTGTTTTTTGCAATAACTTCTACCTTTCTATGATTTCCTTGTTATTTAAAAGTTATCCTTCCTTTTGGTGTCATGGGTTTATTCATAATTGCATATTTCAAAAATAATTAATACATGTGTTTGTTTCAGAATACCATGCCCTTATCAGCAGCAATTTTTAAAAGTGAAGAAAGAAATCCCATTCCTCAGTGTCCCCCTCGCCTTGATGTACAAACGATTACGCCTGTTCTGTGGAGCCGGATGCCAAACAGCTTCCTCCGAGTAGAAACTGAGCGTGTCAGTGAGCGTCACGGCTGGGTCGTGCAGTGCTTGGAACCTCTGCAGATGATGGCACTTCATATCCCAGAGGAAAACAGGTACGTTGATAATGAGATAAAATTACTTGATGTGGACAAAATACACTGAAAAAATATGTCAGCATATTGATTAAACCTGCTTTGCTGAATATTTACCCTGTAGCTGTTGAGAATTTCTGATTTTACCTGTCATATCAGATATTATTATTCATGAAACTTAAGTAAATACAAGAGACTGGACTTCAATACCATGTACCAAGTTTAGCATGCATAAAGGAAAGCATGACTATTTGATTTTATTTAAATTAGTGTCTCTTAAATCTGTAGGTCTTTCAACATAGAGATTTTTCTTAGCTTGAGAAAAACAAGCCTAAAAAAATGCAACTAATATTGTGCCAGTTTTTTCTTTTATAGAAGCCATAATCTCTTCTTGTCATCTGCACTGAGTTTACATGAATTAAGTTCTTATGTTCCTATTGACAAGATCATGCTTTTCTTTGATTTTCATTGTTTTATCTTCAGAGTGAGAATAATAAAGATCTATCCGAATGTCGAATGTCATAGCCAGTTAACAATCAAACTCTCAGCAAAAGCATAGCAGAAACATAGCATCATTTAACAGCTGTACTTTTGTTATTAATTTTAAAATTTCTTTTAATGATTCAAGACTCAATTTTATTTATTGTTAATAAAACTGAATTCTAGGAAAGAGTGAAAAACACTGGGTCTTGTGGAAAAAATGAACCAACAATCCTGAGTAAACTGCAAAGGCACTGTTTAGTAATGGTAGTAAAGCAGATTTTCAGCATGCCTTATGCACCTTTTTAAAAAACAAATTCTAATTTGTAATAGATTCCAAAGAAGCACTTTCTTCTTAGATTTTGGGGTTTTTTTTTCCCTATGGAGTACTAATTTTAAACAGTCAACAAATTATTTCCACCATTCACTGTGTTTTAATGATGCACATACTAAGATTAGTTAGTATCAACTTTAATATTAGTGGCTTGAATAGGAACTGACCAAAATGTTCAGATATTATAGAACTTCCCCTTTTCAAAGTCTTTATTCATGGAATTGACTGATGTTCTGTTTCTTTATTTCATAACAGATGTGTCGATATTTTGGAACTATGTGAACAAGAAGATTTGATGATGTTTCACTACCACACTTTAAAGCTCTATAGCTCAGTTAGTGCTCTAGGTAACACTAGAGTTGCTTATGCACTTTGTAGCCACGTGGATGTATCTCAGCTATTTTTTACAATAGACAATCAATACTTACCTGGACTTCTACGTTCTGGATTCTACGATTTGCTCATTAGTATTCACTTGGAGCACGCCAAGCAAGCCAAGCTCATGATGAGCAATGAATTTATCATTCCAGTTACAGATGAAACTCGTAATATTAAATTATATCCCGATGAAACAAAGAAGCATGGTTTACCTGGAGTAGGGCTTAGCACTTGTCTTAAACCAGCCTTCAATTTTTCTACTCCATGCTTTATTACAACCAGCGAAAATCATAAGACATCCATCCCAGAGATACCCCTGGAGATACTTAAATCCAAGGCCATAAGTATGTTAACAGAGGCAGTGCAGTGCAGTGGGAGTCATATACGAGACCCTGTGGGAGGACAGGTTGCATTCCAGTTCGTTCCTGTTCTTAAACTGATAGCGACACTGCTTGTAATGGGTGTTTTTGATGATGATGATGTGAAGCAGGTGTTACTCCTCATTGATCCCACTGTATTTGGAGATCACAAGGAAGAAACAGAAGAGAGGACAGAGAAGGAAGAAGTGACACAAGTTGAAGAAAAAGCTGTAGAAGCTGGGGAGAAAGCAATCAAACAAACAAAAGCTCCTGCAAAGGGCTTGTTGCAGACAAGATTACCAGAATCTGTTAAGCTTCAGGTGACCATTTATATTCTGCTTTTGATGTAAAAGGATTGTGCTTTTTGTCTGTTCTCTACTTAATAAGATTTGAAATTTTGAAGGCCTTTAATTCAAATTTGCCTTAAAACCTCAAATTCATTTAAAAAATTGATGATGAAGCAGTTATTTCTACATCTATCTTCACTCAAATGGATTTGCGAATGCATAATTATTTCATAAAAACCAGAGGCTTAGACCAGGCAATATTTAAAGGACCCTTCCAAGCCAAACTAGTGTGTGATTTCTAGATATTTTGAATACATGGAGTGAAAGATTGTGTGTGCAATATATTATCAATCAGATAATAAAACTACTATTTTGCTTCCTTCGCAGTGTTGAAACAAAAATATGGTAGAAATGCCTCTCATTTTTACAGTCTGATGCAGTGTATAATATGTGCTCAAGTTCTACCCCAGAGTTTGTAAAACTGTTGAGATTGTCTATTATTTTCTCTACCCTAGATGTGTCATTTACTCAATTATTTTTGTGACTGTGAGCTACAACACAGAGTGGAAGCAATTGTATCATTTGCAGACCGTTATGTATCAAAATTGCAGTATAACCAGAAATACAGGTACAATGAACTCATGCAAGCCTTGAACATGTCTGCTGCATTGACTGCCAAGAAGACTAAAGAATTTCGGTCTCCTCCTCAAGAGCAGGTAATACGAATTAAAAAAGAGATTGAATTAAATAAAGATTATAAAATATTCATTATGATGACAAAATAAAGTCCTGACTCACTGGAGAGCCAAAATGAATTTCAAAATAAATTTATTCCGTGCCACAGAATACTGAATGTCAGAATATTGAAACTTGTGTTTTAGAACTTAAGCTTAAACTTAAACCAAATGTATAAACAGGTAAAGTATGGCTGTATAGTAGAATATGTCCTAGGCTATTTCAGTGTTTTAACTGTGTTTTAAATCCCTTAAAGATTAATATGTTGCTGAATTTTCAACTGGGAGAGGATTGTCCCTGTCCAGAGGAGATTCGAGAGGAGCTATATGAATTTCATGATGATCTTCTGATTCACTGTGGTGAGTGGCAAGTTGTTGATACAAGTTTTGTTTGTCTTTCTGGCACTTGACAGATCAGTTGAAAAATACACTAGCATGAGAGGTTTTTTTCATTAGATGTATTACTGCCTATGGAGTGACTTTACAGACAAACTTCAATGTATATTACAAGTATATGGGAAACCTGTGCATACTTTTAAGTTTCACTGTTAAATCTCTATTAAATATTATCTAATATTATTCTATTGATATACCAGTTTTAGACTTACTGTGGGAAAAAATAATCCAAACAAGAAGGTTGGCTTACCTTATGAGTACAAGCAGATAAAGGTATAAAGGGAACACAATTAATGCTAAGCTGAGCATCAGAAATTTAATTTAAAAAAGCAGATGTGCAGTTCTCTGCCTGCTTTAGCTTAGTTTCCTCTTGTATGCATCACTGTGAGAGACAGTCATTATAAAACACTCTTGCACTGCATATTATAGTTTGAATTGCCCCTACTCATTTAATTTGTATTTCCTGTGCAATTTTATGTGGGTTTTTTTGATATCCATCTTTTTGTTAGTTTATTGAGTTTATTGAGATCTTAGTCTAATTCAGCCAGTCATGAAATTAACATTTGTAGTCTGAGTCATCTAATTATTACTGTTCATTGCCAGCAATTATGCAGTTAAAACTGAAATAAACAAGCTTTTTCCATCTACCTACTTGGTAGATATATTCATAGTTATTCTCCCAGTGTGTTGCTTAGGTCTATGGTTTTCAGCATCCATCTTGTTCAAAAAGAAGGGGGCCAATGTCATTACAGTGAGTTGACAGGATCTCGCTCTCTTTCCTGGAAAGAGCATGATATTCCTAATGGTTAGTTCTTCCTTGTCCACCTTCTTGCTTGAGGTCATTATCAAATGTTTACCAACACAGTCTGACAAATCTTTCTTTGCTGGTTATGCCCAAAGCCAGTGTTACCTGGTTCATGGAATTGTACTGTTTTAATTACCTGTAATTAAGTTTCTGTTTTCTGTTTGGAGACATGATGGCTCCTATACCATTCTGTGCTTGTATTGTTAAGGCTTCTGATGTTATTTTTCACCACTATATCTGAGTACCCTCTTAGAATCTCCAGCAACCAGCAAGCTGTGATTTCATGATGAGTCAATTATACTTTTTCAACTACCTCAGCCTTAGTCTCAGCCAAAGATGAGTAGGTCTGTGGGTATCTAAGTTGTGCTCCATCAATTTACTTCTGAGGGTGTTGTACAAGGGAGTATTAAAACTCCTTGAAATCAAGATTTGTGTCTGTAAGGCAGAAATTAATTTGGTTTAACATTATTTGTTTTTCACAATCCTCTGTTAATTGTTATTCATCATTGCTTCTAAGTGCTTACCAAAAACTGCTTCTTTCATTCCATCACTTTTCTTCCAAATGTTAAGGTGAATAGTTACTCCTCCTATTTACTCATCTTTCTCTCTGTTTTTTATTACATATATCATAATAAATTATTACAGCCACCTCCATTATTCAGTCACTTAGCCCTTGATCTGACCTCTGGTTTCCAAAGGTAATGCCCATTTGGCAACACAGAGTACTCTAAGAATACAGGATGGAGATTATGAAAGCCCTACAATTCACTTGGAAATGTCTTAACTCCACAATAAATTGATTTTAGTTTAAAATCTTGTGTCTGGTATGATCATTGAGTCAGTTTAGCTCCTGATCACTCTTCATATTTAATCAAGCAAAATACTAGTTATTTTATACATTGAGATTTTCCTTTTTAGGGATGTACATTTGTTTTTTGTTGACTACATTGTAAACATGTGTTTTGAATGAGAGTTCAAGATAGAGAAAGCACTGTCTCATGGTTAAAATAGTTTAAAGATCCTCTGGATTCTCTGCAAAACCATATTCATTACTTTTCACAGATTATCAGAGGTGGTTGCTGTGGATAAATGCTCCTCTTATCTGTGTCCTGGCTTGGTCCTGAAAATCAGTAATAAGCAATCACAGCTGCAGATTAAATGAATACGAGTTCTGCTTGGAATGTTTAATCAGCTTTTTAGTACTAAGTATACTTCTTCATCTAAGTGGAAAACTATGTATGCAATTAAGTAATTAAAGGCTTCTTCATAATGAATATAAGCAAATAGTTACTCAGGCAGTCTTAATCCTAGCACGTTGTAACTGGGAAAATAATTGTCCTCTATCATATTTTTTATGTGCAATTTTTGATTATTAAAAACCAAACAAATTTACAGCATATTTACAGCATCATACCAAACTAACAGTTAGCTGGGTTGAAACCATCACAGTGCACAGACCTCTGCCACTTGAAGGAAGCAATTAGCCAGTAGCAACGTGAGACAGTCAGCTTGTGAATGGATTGCAACTATAAGAGGGTGGAGAATGAACAATTAATGATATGGAACAGTAAATGAGACCCCATCTGGAGGAGTCACAGACCTCATTTACCCCAGTCCAACACAGTCTTAACTCATGATCCCAGTACATTTCTTCCTGTCTGTCCCTTTCAGCTTCTTCAGAGTCCCTCTCCCAGTGTCATTCTCTTGTGTCCGGGGCTTAGCTAGGTTTTATTTCTGTGCCAGATATTTTCTTGCTTTAATACCCTTGTCTGCTTTCTCTTTGCTTTTATTGCTGGTGACATTTCCTGTTCTTACTTTTTTTCAGACTGACAGTATCCCTTCTTCATTCTTAACTTTTCATTTTACCAAGCCAGTTTCACTTCTCCCATTTCTTAAATTATATATTTACTGTCCAAGTTAAATTTTGATTTCTTTCAATCCCTCTCGGTGCCTTTGAATTTTATCACTTCATCATTCCTAGTTATAATTTTTACTCCCCCTTTGTAGCTGCCAGCAGCAAAGTTTCTCCAACTTGATACCACGTCTGTTCTATTTTCTTTCTTAGTTAATTGTTCAGGACCAGTTTTAGTTACTGCAGTTTATTCTTTTCCCCTCAGCTTCAGGTTCTCGGTCTAGTATCCCATCTGAAAAATTTTTACTTTTCTCAATTTCTCTTTGACAGGCAAACTGCAAAAGTTTACGTTTCAGCTTGGCACAGTCTCTGATCTGAAGGGAGCCTGCTTAGTTGTTCCTTGTTTCTGCACATAACACATGTGTTGTCTGGTGATCACTAAGAGACTTTGAATGGTTGTGAAGCAATGTAGTGAACTGAATTAAACTGGCCATTTTAGCAGGTATTAAACTGCCTGGTAAAATGACATCCTGTCTCATTGTGCACATTTTCATGAAAAGCATGGATTACCCACATAATCTCTGGAAGTCTGCCTTCTTAAAGTTTTAAATTCAGTTAATATATTTGTTTATGGCTGCTAAATATCTCTACTGAAAAACTGTACTGTATTGTAGGATACAGCCATACACTTCTTTCTTTAGCCTACAATCTGCAATATGAAACAAAGGATCACATATTTAATCAAATAATACCATGAGTCATATTTTGTTTCTAACCAGTTGTATTTTATGCTAAGGTATTCCACTAGAAGAAGAGGAAGAGGAAGAAGAAGATTCCTCCTTGACTGGCAAACTCCGTTCATTAATGTATAAAATCAAGGGTCCACCAAAGGCAGAAAAAATGGAGCCTAAGGAAGAAGAAGAGAAAGCTCCTAGTAAGTGTTCTTTTCATAGAAAAGCTTTCGTGGTGCAAGTGTTAAAGTTTTACACAGTCAACAGGAGTGTATTTTCTAATAAAATTTTATAAGGGACTGAAGAAGGAGACTGCCTGTTTAAAGTTTCTTCTGCCTCTTAGAACTATTCTGCATACTGAACACCTCAGATGCATTTTTAAACAAAAAAAAAAATAAATAAAATGAGTGGAAGATTTTGGATCCAGATCATTAACTCTGGGGTTGAAAATTTACATATTCTTTATAATACTGTGACAGGCTAATTATGGCACAATAATTATGGGAAGATCTAATTTTTATGGGTTTTTTAATGTAAAAATTCTTCTTTAGAGCTTATCTCCATTTCCTTCTAATACCTGTTTTATTACCTTTTCATATAAATGCAAATACAGAAAAGCACATAAACCCCCCAAAACACTTGTAATCACAAACTTCTTATTCTGAGCATTATTCCTGCACATATCCATTCCCATACCATCTTCCTTTAGATGCAAGGGGTGTTCATGGTCTGTATGGGTAAAATTGGTTCTCTGCTTGCAATTCCTCAACTGTTTGCATAAGCTTTCAGTTGAGCCTCTTCGAAAAACTCACCTGATTCTCACTGGCACTGTGCTCACATGCCACATGAGAATTCAGTGAGAATGAATGAATCTCACAAACTGTCTTTGCTGTGATAGGAGTTTTCAAGCCTTAGTAGTGACTAGGGATGGTAAGGAATAAGCAAGGCAAAAAGCCAAATTCTTCCAGGTCTTCCTTTAGGATATGTTTTTGCTGAGGTTTCTTCTTACCTTTCTGAATCAAGATCAGGTTTCTAGCTCTAAATTTCTGTAACACCATACAGATATCATGTGCAGGATTCTCCAAGTGACTTCAGGTTGATCAAGCAGTAACAGTTACTTCTCTTTTTTTCCAATTTGCTCAGTTTGTCAATTGGGCCATGTACAAAATTGGAATGGTTAATTTATTTCAGGCTCAATAGTTAAATCAAGAGCTGTGTTGAGATTAGGCAGCAAAGTTATTTTATAATTCATGATACTTCTTACATTATCTGCTTGCTCTGGAAAGCCCCTTAGAGTGTTTGTCCTGATCTGAAAGCATATTTTGGTCTGTTAAGCTTGTTACTGTGTTTTAAGTACATTAAATCTTGTAACAATCTGATATGCTGCATGAAACAGGGCTTCATTCTCCAGTGACTCATCTGTTAGCATCTGCTTTCTCTTTAATGGTAGCAGGACCTACTCAGTATCTGGTAATATCATTTCTTCTCCAGGTTTCATGTGGATTCTATTGTCATGAGTCAGGAAGTATTCACTCCAAAAGCCTCAGGACACATGGTGTTTGGTCCTTGGAACAGAGCAGTTCACTTATTTAATGTACCAGAGTTTTGGGTTACAAGAAATGTAGGTTGGAAAAGGATCCTACAGCGTCTATTTTCTAGAAATATCAGATTATTTCTTCAGGTCTGAGCTACTCCTTGGAGTGATGCCTAGTACAAATATGCACATGGATCAAGTCATTCAAAGCATGATGAAAAATTATTTATATATATATATATATATATATATATATATATATATATATATAATATACTTGACTGTAGCTGGACACTCTGAGATTTTTAGTCCCTGTGTGCACTTCCCCTTTTTGCATCAGGAAATTTGGAATTCAGAGGTTAAAGGAAATGGATGTCAGAGGTACCCCCAATCCTCTTATGTGCATGAAGAGGTGTGGTGACGTGCATGATATGTACCTATTTCCAAGGTTAAAATCTCTGGCCTTGAGTGTCTTGGCTTTGGTCATACATACTCAGTGTGAATATTCATAAGAAGGAGCTATTTGCTAGAAATAAATCTTCCTTTTGTCTAAACTTACATTCATTTCTTATCACAAATGAGCTGTTACCCAAGTGAGGAATGCCAGCAATATCAACTTAGTATGATGAATCAGTATATTTTGTATTTAAAAACAAGTTAGAACTCTGAAAACAAACACATTGAGGCAAAAAAAAGTAGCATTAATATTGATTATAGGACTTTTGTAACTATTAAGTAAAAACTGAGCTAAGCCGTGACATGCCACTAAGAGTAGGGCTATCTCTGGAAAGGTCCCACATGTTGAAAGCCTAATTATGGAACAGAACCTCAGAATTAATGATGGGTTTGTATAAATACAATATGAAGTACGCTAAGAAAGAAGTGTTAGCAAGTGAAAGAATAGCATGACACCCCAATGGATCTACACTGCAAACACTTTAGTGATGGAAAGTGAGAAGAACTGGGAGAATTGGAAGAACTTTGGGAAAGTCAAGGGGTGTGTTTACTGGTGATAGAAGAAAGAAACTTGCATTGTTTTAAGAGGTAGGGTGGTTATTCCTCTTCTGCTTGATATCAAGCATGAACTTTATTGGAACAAGGACTAAAACATGTGTCTAGTTTTCAGGTAAATTCCCTAAACTTTGGGCTCAGCAAAACTGTTTTCAGCATCACTGGCTTTGCAATGTCTACAATACAAGTGCTTCAAGCAAGATTTACTCTGTATTTCCAAACAATACAGTGTTTTTAGAAAGTGCACTACCAAGTGACAGTGAGTGGATATATAAATAAGAAATAAATTAAAAACATTTAATTTACAAGGATGATTCTTAAAATCTTAAGACTCAAAATCAGCTTAAAGGTTTTCATTGTCAACAGTGTGGACTTCAACCCTAAGTAGATGTTTATTGTTTTCTATCTCTCAAGAACATTACACTTACCATGAAAGATCTAAAAGTTGCTTTTCCAATTTAAAAACCCTGTTCACTCTGCTTGTGTTTTGTTACAACCTCTTTGTTGTCAGCTCTTACATAATTGTACTAGAATACATGTTTTTGATATTTTCTGTTGGAAGAGCTAGTGACATGCAATGTGTTTCCTTTTAGCTACCCTGAAGGAACTCATATCGCAGACAATGGTGCGCTGGTCCCAGGAAGATCAGATCCAAGATCCTGAATTAGTTCGGATAATGTACAGCCTCCTTCGTAGGCAGTACGACAGCATTGGGGAGCTCCTGCAGGCCCTGAGGAAAGCCTACACTATCAGTGCTGCCTCGGTGAAGGACACCATCAACCTGCTCGCAGCACTGGGCCAGATCCGCTCGCTTCTCAGTGTGAGGATGGGAAAAGAGGAGGAATTGCTCATGATTAATGGATTAGGGTATGGAGTCAATGGAATTTTCTTTTTCAGTTGGTTTGTTATATTAGTGAATCCTGTAACTTTTGTTCCTAAATGAAAATCAATGCTGTACTGAAGCGTAAATAGGTACCAGATTTACGCTTTCACATATGTTTCCAATGTGATGCCAACTATCACTCTAACAGTATTAAAAGGGTCAAAGTTTCTGTGAACTAAGATATTATCTAAAGAAAATGGACTCATTTTACCACGGTTAAGCCTGATGCTTAAACCCTAGTCAAAGTACATGTTTTAGCAGGTCTAGAGAAAAAGATCACTAAAATTTTTGCTGGTGTCTATTCATACTGCATTCTCCTTAAACTTAAAGCCCATTTTATATTTCATATATGAGTGGATTAACTTGTTGGTGTCTTTTTAACTGGAAATTCAGAAGAAATTTCCTTTATATAGCACCAGATGATGTGAGAATATTTTCTGCATCTTTGCTATAAAATTACCTCTGTTGCACTGTGGTATTGTGGTGCATTCTTGCATATTTGTTATTCCTCTTGTGTGACTAAATGCTGGTTGGGACATTTAATATTGTAAGGGAAAAAAAATCACAGATAATAAATTACTATGATTAAAATGGTGCATTTAGGGAGAAAATTATAGTATTGTTACCTGAGAACTATATTTATTTGTTTTTCTTCAGGAATATGAAAAAAACTCTCCAACAAATGCAAGAAAGTTCCATTTTCAATATAAAATTTATACAAATTTTTTTTGTATAAATTGCAAAGACTAATTTCTTTATTTGAATTGATATAGCCATGGAAATGACTCATTAGGCAGTGTGTGACAGTATTACCCAATTTGTCCTTGATGCTGAGTTTGTGCTGAGAATTATATGAGGGATTAAGGATAAATTTTTCCTAAACATGGTACAGATATAGGCACCTTCCAAGAGGTTCTGTATTGAGACTTATCCATTCTCAGTTTTCTGTTTCTTTAAAGCAGGTATGATTCATGTTATTTGCCATGTGTTTTTAACCAGCTGTCCTAAAATTTTAGAAATCCCTGGGTTCTGTTGAAATCTAGTCCCTGGATTATTTTGAAACACATAAATTGTCTTCTGGATTATGAAACAAATACAGCAGATTCTAGAAAATATTGAGACAATAGTGGGCAGAGTGAAAAAATTAAAATAGTCCTTCATAATGGGCCTGTATGCCACTTGTGACAGAACATGAAAATATGGATGAAATACATGTAGCAGAATAACCTTAAATACTAAGTCTATATATTGTCTTTACTTTGTGAACAGAGGAAATTAATACTGCAGAAATATGATTGATTTGATTTCATTTTCTTGATCTGTGTTCTCAAAACCTAAGAAAACATATTCTTTTCCACTTAGAACATCACAGATTTTTTTTTAAATTTAAACAGGACAGATGGTAGGAGCAATTTAGAGATGAAGAATTGCCATCTCAAAATAATTTGGAAGTTAATATTCTTCTTATGAAGAATCTATGAGAATTAGAGGAATGACAACATATTGAAATGTGAAACATTTTGTTTGCAGATGCTTTTGTATTATGCTGAATTCTAAGAATTTTAAATTATGTTAATACAATGAATGCATACTTCTGAAATATCAATACTTTGACTTAAATTAATTTGAGGTTTCTTAAAAGAAATTGTCTTTCCTTCCATTTTAGGGATATAATGAACAATAAGGTTTTTTATCAGCATCCTAACTTAATGAGAGTCTTGGGCATGCATGAGACCGTTATGGATGTGATGGTAAATGTGCTTGGAGGAGATAAATCTCAGGTAATTTCACCACAATTTGTTATGTGTTTTGCATTTTGAACCTTCCCAAAAATGTATTAGGATGTCTAAGAAGTGAACAAAAATATATCTCATGTAAGCTAGATTTTGCTTGTCCAAATTATAGTCTTCTTTAATGAAAAAAGTGGAATAATTTTTATTTTACTAGAGGGAGAAGCCCAGTAGCCTAGCCTTGATTTTTAAAACCTGAGATGTTTTAGATGTTTAATTTTTCTTTTAATAGGATTGTAAAATGTTTTGTTATTAAATATATACTTGAACTGCGTTTATTGGAGGTGTAGCTCTGATAGGAAAATTTACTTCTTCATCTTAAATGAAGTGTTACTACTAATAAATTATAATAAGAGTCTAAACCCTGTTTATATTTTAATTCTCAAATTCATGTACTTGAATTGAGCAAAAATTTTCTTGCAGTGTTGTGTTCTCCCTTTCCTCTGTGCTATGCTTGAATATATATACATGCTATTTTAAAGGCAGAATGGCATAAATTTTGAAAAGCCTAACAGAAAATTTTCACTCCTGAAGAAAGTGAGAAATGAAGCATGCATATTTTCCTTCTCTTTGCTCATGCCTGTTGTTCTTAGCCTATTTTGTCCACCCCAAAAAGAGAGGTCTCCTCTGATCCCAGTATTCCTTATCTAATATCCTTTCACCCACACTCATTTTTCTTACATATTTGGAACAATTTTCAGCCTAATATTCTACCTTTTGCTTATCTTTTCTGTCTTCCAATTTTTCATAACTTTATTGGCTTCTATGTGCAGCTGCACCACTCTTTGCCTCTTTAATCATATTGCTCATATAATTCTCTTAAGTGCTTATACATTGAATCTGCCTACAGCATTGCAGTTTCACAAAGTATTCACATACCAATTTTAGTATTTTTGTTGCATTTCTAGGCAAGTTACAATTAATTATAAAATTATTAGTACTTTGCTAATTTATAGGTACTACAACATCCTGGTTTTGCTACAACTTGTACATAGAGCCAAAGGTGATAAAAACCCCCTGAAACTCAAAACAATTACAACCCCCAATGACTTCTATTTTTATTAAAAATGTTTTCCTAGAAAAAGTTAATAACACAGATCAACAAAAATGCTTTACAGAAATTACCATGATACCCTTCAAAGGAAATGCAGACTTAGAAGACTGCTTAGTAACCTGGTGTTGTGCTGTTAAATGTGCTTGGCCACCCAAAGTAACATATTTTATGTCTCTGTCTTTATGAATTGCATGTAGACAGTACGTACCTCATTAATATTTCTTACTGTTCAATGTAGTAGCTTCAACAGATGGAATGAGTAATCATGAAATGTAGTCTGTGGCTTAGGGATTGGGCATTTTTCTAGGTTGTGTCAGCAGATTTCCAGCTTCTTTGAATAAATGATTAATCATGAGGCTGTATTGAGACATATACTGTCTCTGAAGGAATGGTGGGAATGATAAAACTTGTCAGTTAAAACTGGTATGCCACCTGTAGTTCTCTAAAAAATGATTTTTCAGCACTTATTGGCCTAATGAAGTGAAAGTTAAAGGGAGAAGTGGGTCCTTTCTTAAGTTAGAACCAAAGTAACTGTCAGTTGCTTATTACCTTGGTAACTTCACTATACTTTCCTTGTGAGGAGTGCAAGAAGAAGAACTGTAACAGATTGGTAATTAACATATTTCACTGCTTTGTCAACTTTCGTCTTCAGCAGATCGCTTTTCCTAAGATGGTGGCAAGCTGCTGTCGGTTCCTGTGCTACTTCTGCCGCATTAGCCGTCAGAACCAAAAGGCCATGTTCGAGCATCTCAGCTACTTACTGGAAAACAGCAGTGTTGGACTGGGTATGCCATGTAGCTTCAACACCTAAAAGAAAGAGTAGGAGCAACTGTGATATCACAAGACATTTTTCTGTTCAAAATAATTGTGGTTTGAAATCTAAGATTAAATTGACTCCTTATGGTGCTTGCCTGTTTCATCTGGTTTAAATTTCCTTGCATCTACAGTTTAAGCTACTGAAGTAAATTTCATGTTTTTAATTTGAACACTGACTATGTTTTTTAATTCATGTGCATTAGATTTTGTAACACAAGGAAAATTTTATTGGCTAGATAGATGGCTATAATAATAAGATATGTCAAGGCAAGATAGCCTGTGATTTCACAGTGATTTAGCTGTTCATGTGTGCTTTTGGCCATAATAAACACAGAAAATTGGAAAAGATTAAAGAAAGAAAACAGGTAAATGAAGCTTGAAATGTCTCTTTTTGCTGAAGACAGGCATGTTTTAAAATTTTGACTTGATAAGGCTGTGTAGAATTATGTAGTTATATGTTGGTCTCCTAAGGAAACAGTATTCCTGAGATTTGCTGTATTGTTAATACTAATTTTTTTTCATCTGTACTTAAAACCACTGTGTTTGAGTATACTTATAGATATGGATGTGAAGTCAGAAAAAAAATTCAGCACTTCTATATTATTTAAAACAGTTGACTGTGTTATTTGGATGAAGAACTGCCCTAAAACGTATTATGAATATATTTATGTTCTAGATTCCAGTGTGATTGCTACCCTCTGCTGCATGAATGTGATTACTACAGACTCTATTTAATTATTATGTATTAACTTTTTTCTGCAGCATTTCCTTCAATGAGGGGTTCGACACCGCTCGATGTGGCAGCAGCCTCTGTGATGGACAACAACGAGCTTGCTCTTGCATTGGAGGAGCCAGATCTTGATAAGGTGGCTACTCTGACCTATTTACCTGTTTATTAAGTGGTGTATTGTGCTAATAGGGTTTAAAAGGGCAAGCTTGATCATAGTAGTTTTTGAATATGTTGTCCTCAGAAATACCCGCTCTAGGTATGTGTTGTTTCAAGGTAAGGTTGACTGAGCAGTATTTTCCCTGATTTTGCTTTATGCTTATCAGGGTCAGAGCAAAAGAGATTTATTTCTATCTTCTGCATCCTTTCACTATTGTTATCGGGTAGAAAAGGTGACAAGAAAAAAGACATGAAACAGGAATATCAAAAAGTGTTGTTTGGGGAGGAAAAAACTGAGAATTAAGAGAAGAATGTTAAAAAAAGGACACAGGTCTTTTGTCTTAAATTATAGAGATTTGTGGGGATGGAGGTTAGAGCTAAGAGAATGGAAAGATGAAAGTGAAACAAGATTTTAAGCGTAGGATCAATGGGAAACTGAATCCAGAATTCAAGTAATTGGCAATTGTTAGGAGTAAAGGTGAGTGTGAGGAGAGACAATATGAGCTGGAAAATCTGGTGAAATGTAAAAAATGTAAAAAATTACAGGAGGAAAACAGATTTAGAGATGGAAGTGCACAGTCAGAAGAGGAAGACAGTAGGTAATTGAAGATAGATGTGCTAGCAGAGCATTGTGGTACAGAAAACAGAAAGCAGGGTTTAATAAAAATGGAGAGAGTAGTTAAACATCTAAATGATAACGTAGATAAAATCTCTGTCCAGGATGACAGGCTCCTGTGATGACAGTGGAACTCGTGGGACTGTTTGTGATTAGTACATGGTGTGGGAGAGGAAAAGTTGTGAAATTGGAATAAATGGGCATATTACAGCAATAGCTGGGGGAAGACAGGCAAGAATATGAATGGAAAGGGTGTAAGACAGCACAGCAATATACTTACTAGGCAATATGCTGTTGAGAATAATTAGCAATTCTCTATCACCTGCAAAATTGCTGAGTGCACTCTGTCCTGTCATTAATAAAAAATTGAAAGGTATTGATATCAATCCTTGGAATACAACACTAGTGACTGGAACACTACCAGTGACTCTTATATTTCCATGGAAACTACTGTAGAGGAATTCACTTAAAGTAAATTTCACTGATGACCACATTTCTCATTTACTGATTGCTTACCTTGAAATACTTGGCGCATTTCTTAGTGAAATACTTGGCACTGTACAATTCCTGAATATTCAAACAGTAACAGATACCAGCTGTAACATGAGCAGTATTTTATGCTGAAAAATCAGGCTGTATGTGCCTCAGACTGGGCTTCACAAATTCATTAGTCATTTTAGCTGTAAGCATCATAATGCATTGGCTGCAATGTATTACCTTTGGTGAGACAATAACTTTATCTAGTGCAGTATGTGGAGGTTATTCAGTAAACGGATCTGTATACTAATAACTAGAATAAAGGAATACTCTCTTGATATTATTTGATGGATGTGACAGACACCCTATTCACAGAGTGATACAGCATTTCTATGTGACTAAAATTTATATTGTAAAAACTGTGTTCAAAGCAAATAAATTACATGTAGACAACTTCACTTTTGAACTTTTGCCATTATAAATTTAAATTCTGTTTCATATAGGTAAAGCCTTAGAAAATAAGGGCCTTGTTACCCTTGTAAAATCATGGCTCAGGCCTGCTACTTTGGCTAAGCAGAAAAGGACAATGGGAAAGTGACTCAGCTGAATAAGCAAGTTATATAACCATTACATGCTCGCATCGTGGTGTATGGTGGTTGGCTGGATTATGTTTGTTATAATTTAAAACTATGTAACTGCTAATGGGCTAACTGATTAAAAAGGCCGGTTTTTTTTGCAATAAAGCAGCTCTCCTTTGCACCTGCCTGGGGACTCTGTGTCACTTTGCTTCATACAAAACTCTTTCTACTGCAAATGTGTGACAGTGTGGATGGTAGAGGATTGCACAAGAAATGTATCCCATTCTGTAGTAAACTGAATAGATTAAAACTATATGGCTTGGTGGAAACATTGTAAAATCTTAGAAAAGATTTATTCTACTGGCGCTCTCACATTTTTTATGAGCTGCATTTCTAGACCCCTGCAAGTATGTATTCACTTATATCTTCTGAATAAATGCTTGAAAACTGTCACATCCTGTTGGGAATTATATACTTTTTCCTCATAGTTATCTGAGTAACTTCCTTACTTCATACTGAGACAAACAAGTTTTACATATCAACCCATTTTTCCACTGTTGCAGCCTTTTGGTGGCAATTTGTATACTGTATTAGCGGACATATAATTCTTCCTAAATTCATAGCTTTTCTTCTCTTAGGATACTGGATAATGACTAAGTATAATCTCTTAATCTACCTCCCTTTTGCCATCTATTTTGGCTGCTTGCCATTTTAAGAAATTATAATTTGTATCTTTTTTTACGAATTCATGGAAGATTCTTCATGGTCATTACCTATTTTAAGTGCTATAACCATGCTCATGTGTTGTCCTTTGCACAAACATATGATTTTTTATTTTATTTGAAATGCACAGTTATCTGCAAATTTCATTTTAGATTAATGAGGAAATTATTCTGTAAATATTTCTGAAATTCAGTTTAATATAATTAAAGAAATTAATCATAATTTCTCAAAGATTTCCCTCAAAGATACTCCTCTTGATAAGAAACGTTGTGTTAGAAATTTTTGTAGTACCAAAATTTTTTAGTCTTTCTGTTTTCAGACTTTTAAAACTGTTCATTGATATTTATAATTCTTCTGAAAAATTGTAATGATTTTCATATCCATTAAAATTAGAATTACACTATATAAACTTTTGATGCAATCTTTATTTTGCTATTGTAGCAAATAAACCATATACAGTTATTGATCTGATTTTAAAGCTGTTCAGTATTTTAGTTGTCGTGTATGTACTGTCAAAAACATATGGTTATGCAAGACTTTATTCTATTTTTCACATTCCACATTCATTCATATTGTTGTATTTGTGTCATCATATAATTAGGTAACTTCAGAAACAAAGAGTGCTAGCTTTTTTTCATTAAAAAATTCCCTATGACTGATAAAATAGTCACCTATGTTGTTAGAGTTTTAGATTAATTGCTTAGAATATAAAAAATCTTGGAAAAAAATACTGTGCTCATTCTGGTTTATAGCAATTTTTAGAAACATATTTCTAAGCATATGAATAAATTATTATTTCTGTATTGCAGGTTGTTACCTACCTGGCGGGTTGTGGCCTGCAGAGCTGTCCAGTATTGCTGGCTAAAGGATATCCAGACATTGGATGGAACCCAATAGAGGGTGAACGTTACCTGTCATTCTTACGATTTGCAGTTTTTGCTAACAGTAAGTCTAATTTCTTGGCATCCAGATTCCATCAAAAGGTTTCCTTTAATTTCCTAACCATCAAAATATGTTAAATCTGAAGAGAGGTTAATCCATACTCTTCTCATTACAAACACAAGACTATTGGTGTACGCTTATTATTGTAATTTTTTCTTTTTTGATTCTTCATAGTTAGCTGTGTTTTTTTTTTGCAAATCACATAGTTGAGTAGATTAACCTGTAGCCATGGCAGTGAATCATGTTAGGAATTCCTTGGCACAGGAAAACCAGGAATGGTGATTACATCAATACATTCCTGCCACTTCTCCAGAAGAGTCTTTCCTGTGCTCTAGTGTGGTCCCTCCCATGGGAGACAATCCTCCACAACCTTCTCCAGTGTCAGTCTATCCCATGGGCAAAAATTCCCCACAAACTGCTGCAGTGTGGGGCACTTTTCCATGGGGTGCAGTCCTGCCAGGACAGGCTGCTCCAGTGTGTGCTCCACTCTCAGCAGGTGACTCTGCCAGGAGCCCGCTCCAGCACAGGTCTCCCATGGGTTCCCAGCCTCCTCTCAGGCATCCCCCTGCTGCAGTGCAGGTCTCCTCCATGGCTGCAGGTGGATCTCTGCATCCCTGGGGGCCTCCATGGGCTGCAGGGGTGCAGCTGCCTCATCATGGTCTGCACCACGGGCTGCAGGGGAACCTCAGCTCTGGCGCCTTAGGATGAGGACTTGATTTATATTTTGTAACAATTAAGAGAAAACTTCATTTTCTTCTGACTTAAGAATACCTTTCAGGAGAAAATACATGTAGTGTTTTTTTGGCCCTCAGGTGAAAGTGTTGAGGAAAACGCAAGTGTTGTTGTCAAGCTCCTTATTCGACGGCCAGAGTGCTTCGGGCCAGACCTTAGGGGAGAAGGAGGAAATGGTTTGCTGGCTGCTATGCAGGAGGCTATCAGGATCTCAGAGAATCCTAGTCGTGACCTTCCTTCCCAGGCATATAAAAGAGAAGGGTAAGTAAATGGGAATGCTTGTTTGGCAAATGACAATTTAATAGCTGGTTCAATCATGCTTGCAGTATGGGATTATAGACCCTGTTGTGTAAGGCATTATACAGACAGAGAGAATTAGAGATTCACATCCACAAGCAGTTGTCATATGGTATTCATAAAGCATTAGCTACATAAAAGTGGAATAAGAATTACAGAGAGAAAAACCCAAAGGACAAAACAAATGAGAAGACTGCTGTGGAATGAAGCTAAAGTTAAGCTAAAGTAAAAGAGGAAGATAGAAGGCTCATGTGAAGTCAGCTATTACAGTTAGGCTGCATGTTTACCCTAGGGACAAAATCCTTTTAGTCTGGAGGCAAAGGGATGAGTATGTCTGGTGAATAGTCTCTGGATCATATCTCTAGCTTCAGAGAAGAGCTATAAAACTTAGATTAGCACAAATGTTCACTGTTATTTTTAACTTTTTAGTGATGAGGAGGAAGAGGAAGAGGAGACTGTGCACATGGGAAATGCAATCATGTCATTTTACTCAGCTCTTATAGATTTACTTGGACGCTGTGCACCAGAAATGCACGTAAGTTCATTTTACTACTTAGAAAATGTAAGGAGATTTGTAAACATAATTGTACGTGCCTAACTATACCTTTCTCTATTTGAAGCCTTCTTCCCTTCAAAAGGTAGACTTTATGATTTCTTGCTGTATCTAAGTAGATACAAGCTACAAGCTGTTTATAAAGAACCATGGTCTTTTGATTCCCTTGTGCTTTTATATTTATCTAAAACTATGGTAATTTTTACATGAATATGGAATCAAAGCAAATATGAACTACAAGTGTTGCACAATTAAGTGACCAGTATAATAACTTCTGAAACTGACCCTTTATTATTCTCTAGAAAGTCATAAAATATTTTTTGTAAGAATATGATAGAGGACTGCTTTTTGTGTGCATTGATGAAACATGGTGCCCACACCTTGTGAATACATGGAAAAATGTGTAAAATAACTGTTTCAACAGTAGCACCTGTGACAGCCACATGCAAGACTTGGACTGATGGTTGCTTGTTGGTGCTTAAAATTCTTTAGTAGCTTAAAATCCTCTATTTCTCTCAATACAATAAGACGAAGAAGTTTGGCTTGCAACCTCCCTCCTTACACTTACAAAAGCTATTAAGTTTATTAGCTCTATGTGTCTGTCTATTGCCAGACACAGTAGTTTCATGTTATGAAAATTACTGGTAGAGATTTTCAGACACAGGTTATGAATACCTGATTTCTGCTAGAAATTGAAAGGAATTGCTCACCTCATTGTTCTAAATGCCTTTTGAAGATCTTTACAACATAGAAATACTAGAAAAATGCATGGCTACGTCACACAGTTCTGCATCCCTTTGTAGTGTAAAAAAGCAAGCTCAAAATTTGTCACCATGGGTTCCCCAGATAATATGGACATGTCATAAATTTTGGTTTCATCACCTTATCTGGTTGGTTTAGGAATCTTATCAATGTAGAGGTTTTTTGTCTTATTGGGAATTCATGATATTGTAAAATCATTTATATAAAAATAAGACTAGATACAAATGTAGGAACAGCTGAATTTGGCAACTTCATTCTTGGGTAAATTGAATTTCTGTACATTTTCTACCAGTGTTTGAAAAAAAATCATATTTACACTAATACTTTGAGGAAAACTTTCTCATGTCCCTCAATACTAAATTTCTTAATTGACAAATTTTTCTAAACAGCTTATTCAAAGTGGAAAAGGGGAAGCTATTCGAATCAGGTCAATTCTTCGATCCCTAGTGCCAACTGAAGATTTGGTGGGGATTATAAGTATACCACTAAAGTTGTCCACAGTTAACAAAGGTAACTTCAATTCTTTCATTAGACCATTTATCTTTTATGAAAGTCTTTTGCCACATTAGCCTTTAGATGAAAAATAGAGCATTTTTGTTAGTTGAATGTAAGCAGAGAACTGTTCAAATTTTAATTAGATCTGCATCAATTAGAGCTGCTCCAGTGGCAGAGTTATTTGCTCCTGTAGAGCAGAGAATGTAAGAATGTAAGAAATGCTTGAAAGGATCACACCAATGGGCCAATACTTTGTCTCCAGCAGTGGCTCTAGAGATGCTACCTCTTTAGGTAAAATGTTTAAGCTTGGGCTCAGTCCCTTTGTATTTCCACATTATCCAATCATTTGTAGAATGTTTACCATTTATTTATAAGCTTTCATTTAAGCGTGAAAGATAATTAAATTGCAAAATAATAGGGTTTTTTTTAATAATAAAAACTTACTTTCTAAACAATTCTTTTATAACATAAAGTAAAACTGATCAAGAATGTGATTTTCTTTGAGTATGTGGTTTTACATATTAAATGTAATAACAATGTCTTTAATTGCCATGGTGTTTCTTGTTTTATTAGTTATCTACTATTAAAAAGTGCATTGTATGTTTGTGTAGATGGCACAGTAAATGAGCCAGACATGTCTGCCAGTTTCTGTCCTGATCATAAAGCACCCATGGTACTCTTCTTGGACCGTGTCTATGGTATTAAGGACCAAAGCTTCCTCCTTCACCTACTTGAAGTTGGATTTTTACCAGATTTAAGAGCTTCTGCCTCATTGGATACAGTATGTATTTCACTACTGAGTTTAGGTGAAATGGCTGGATATAGTGGCTCTGTAAGCGTAAAAAACTGGAATTTCAAGTCAAAACAGCCTTTAGAAAAAGGCGTTATAGGCTCACTATAAAACAAAATCACTTACTATTAATTTACAGTGCATAAGTCTGATTCAAGCATTCAGTGTATGAAGTGTAAAAGTAGTTCAAAATCTTTTGATACAGGCTGTACAGTAAGTACAATTGAGTATACTGCAATAGGCCTAATGATTGCTTTTATTTCATGTTTGTTTTCAATAATTACACTGAAAATCCAGGTGTATGAAGAAATTGAGATGCTGAGTGTTATTTAATGCTTGGTGGGATTTTCTAACCTGTTTCAAGAGAGAAGCTACATATTCTTTTCTGATGCTATTGGTTCAGAGTGCAGGGATGCAAGAGATGGGGCATAAATAAATGGCTTGAATTTTCTCCAGTTGAAAAACAAATATCATTAGCCCCAAGCCTCTCAGGAGATTTAAGGACTATTACATTGTTATGTTTTATAACCTTAATACTTAGTGACCTTTACCCAGTGTGGTACTAAGGCTTATTTACTCCTTCATTCAGGTTTCTCTAAGTACCACAGAGGCAGCTCTCGCACTAAATAGATACATTTGCTCAGCTGTGTTTCCACTGCTCAAGAGATGTGCTCCCCTCTTTTCTGGAACAGAGCATCATGCCTCTCTGGTTGACTCCATGCTTCACACAATCTATAGGTTATCCAAGGGACGGTCCCTCACAAAAGCTCAACGAGATGCCATTGAGGAATGTCTGCTTGCCATTTGCCAGTACGTATGATACCTGTGTACAAATTAATTTCTTTTGTGCAGAGTAGGTATTTTAACAGCTTCTTTCTTTGCCTGTAGTGTAGACCTTGGACTGTTTTATTCTTGCATTAAAATAAATGACCAGTGTTATCTCGGGAACTGAAATGTAGATTTCTCTGTTCACTTAAGAGGGTTCAGAAACAGCACAATGTTCTGTGCTATATCCTTCCATAGGTAGAAAGTGAGATTCCTTAAGCACTTAGCATTGTTTTTTCAAAATAATTTTAATAAGTGTTTTGCCTCCCAATAAATTGACTTCAATTTTTATTTAATTTACACTTAACTTATGAATTTTGCTGATAACATCTATTTTTAAAAAATACAGCCATTTGCGTCCCTCTATGCTACAACAGCTGTTGAGAAGGCTGGTTTTTGATGTGCCTCTGCTCAATGAATACTGTAAAATGCCTCTCAAGGTAAATGCTTTATTTTCTGTACAGACATCCAGCATAAAACTTCAAAAGAAATTGTTGTTGTCTTGTTTTTAAAATCAGAATGGGAAGGGTAAAGCAATGTAAAATTACTTCTGAATGGAAAATAATGTTATTGTTTTGTAGTCTTTCAAATTAAACGTACTGTTTGAAAAATTTTTGAAATTGTGCCTAATGCAAAGAGTAAGGGGGATTATACTTTGTATAGTGAACTGTTGACATTTCCATTGCTTCAGCAAAAGAGTATTTGAATGTATCAATTTAACTGTCAGTGTTATATTGAGATTTCTTCTTCTGCTATATGAACTAAAATAACTCTTGGTGGGATGTATGGGCCAGGAATGACTTCTGAATGAAATCTAAGAGACAGGATGCAGGGAAGAAAATTCAACTTTTATTTTTGAATAATCTGTAACTGAAGTTTCATCTCGTTTTATCTAGTTTTCCTTTTTCTTTTAATTTTTTTTTTTTTGTTCTGTAAATACAGAATTACAATTCTTGGATTTTAAATAAATCTTATAACTATTCTGTCAGGTTTGATTCACTTCTTTGTTGGTATAAAACAGCCTGATCTTAGGTCTGTGTCTTTTTCTGAAAGAATTGAAATTTTATCCTATTTTAAAGCAGAACTTCCATATTACAAACATACTCTGGAACATCATTAATTTTTGATTAAAAGTGTGGTGTAGAGGGAGTGTTTGGTCTGTTTTTTAATTATTGTTTTTCTTCCTTACACAGAACTGAAAAAAATCCCTAAAATGTCAAGATTCTACTCTGATACTAAAAATTTTTTTACATTTCCATGGGATAAGAATTTTTAGTTCTACAGAAGAAACTGTTAGAATTTTGAAGTTATGTGGAAAGTGCATCAATAATCTTATATAGTAGGCTCTTTAACTGTACAGATTTCTTGTATCATAGTTTTTACTGTCAGTTTTTCCAGAGCTGAGCAATAACAGCCAAGAGTGTGTACTGCAGGTGTCTTTTGCAGTGTTTTGAGTAACACTAAAGCAACTGCAACTGACAGGAGTTAAATCAATTTGAATTTGTAAAACTTTTCATGAGAACATATCATGTCCTGCCTTATACCCATTTCATTGTCTCTGTTTTTGTCCTGTGAGCTAGTCTGTACTCAGATGTTGACAATTCTGAAAGTTTGCTACTCCCAGTAGCCATTGAGAATCCCACAGCAGGAGCTGGAGATAATACAGGCTTTATACTTTCACAATATGGGCTCTGCTGCTCTTCCAAAAAGAAAAAGAAGGAAAAAACATTATTCTGAGCCACTGGAAATCAAGAGACAGACACAAATAAAACTACTCCTGTAACTGTTTAACATAACAGTTTTTTATTTTGTTAAATAGCAATGTTTCACAAGCATTTTTATTTCTTGAAAACCTAGCTTCTGACAAATCACTATGAGCAGTGCTGGAAATATTACTGTCTGCCTTCAGGAATGGGAAGCTATGGAATTGCAGCAGAAGAGGAGCTACATTTAACTGAGAAACTTTTCTGGGGAATATTTGATTCCTTGTCTCATAAGGTAATGGCTGCAATTCACATTGCATTATGGGCTGGGTATAAAAGCATTACAGTGATAATTTGCTGTGCCAAGATGAGAAAATTCCTGTTTTAATGCTTGTTTCATCTAATATGGGAGATACAGCAATGAGTGCTTTTAATGAAGTGAAAAATTGAACACTGAATCTTGAAAGATTGTCTCCAAGCTAATGAAATTTCAAATCTTTGCTTGATATACTTGTAAGCTTTACACTACTAATGAGAAGATATGTATGTGTGTGCATATATATATATATATATATAAGTATACACACACGTATGCACATGTAGTGTTTAGTTCTCACGGCACTAACATGTCAGCGTTTTATGCTCTCCTATCTTGGCTCTACTAAACATTTTAAATTAATTATTACTGACATGAAATTCATTTATATATATATATATATGCACCTACTTATCAAATTGTCAGTATATGCAGAATAAATTTACATTGCCTGTCTTCAAATATATTTATATTTCTTTAGTTTTCCAGCTATTGCCCAGCTGAAGAGATATGATGCAATATACTATGAAATAAATACTTTTCCATTTTTCTGTTGCAAAATGTGATATTGGGACTTTTTAACTTAGTTTTTCTCTCAGTAAGAAAAAGTTGCATTTCTGATACAAGAAATTTCTTCATGAATAAACACTTTTTGTGCTTGCTTGGGGTCAAAATTCAGCCCAATCAAATATCAGTTTTTGCTTTAGAACAATAAAAAAACATATTCATTGGGTCTCACTGATTTTATGTTCTCTTTCTAAGCTACAGATTTAGATGATTGCTCCTCTAGGCATTCTGATTTATAATATGAAAATAAAAACAGTCTCTGCATTATTCTGAAGTGGCTTTTTAAGCTTTATTTGTATTTGATTTTTAGCAACATTTTCCCCTCTCTTCGTACTTTCACAAGTGCAAACAGTGTCATGAGTAACTGATACAATCAAATGTTTCCAATTAGTGCATCTTAGATTTTAACAGATGAATTAACATTATATGTTTCTGCCAATACTGGTGTCTCTCTATAACAACATTTTTATTTTTCTGTAAATGGTTGTTAGCCCAATGGTGGTTAGTGAAAGAAGAGTTGTGTAAATCTGATCTGACAACCTACAGTATTCTCCACCATTCTTTTTTGTTCTAAACTATTTGCAGGTTTGATGTTATTAAAAATAATGAAATTACTTTGCTACTGTTAATCACTATTTCCTTTAATGAGCATATTTTAAAATGAAACAGTACAGGGTGAAAGAGAAGCAAAATGACTATGTCTTCTGCTAATTCTTCAGGAATTAATAACTTTAGAACTAAGGCAGGGTTTTACAGATGATCATATTCTGTACCTAGGCAAACAAGCCTTGATCCTCTCTGTACAGGCCTTCATGTCCAAAGCAAACTCGAGTTGACCTCATATTGCATACACATAAAAAGTGTCAGCACATTCTTATGTCAATCTGAGTAGTGTTAAGAATATATCAGGTTGATACAATGCAAAATAGATGTCATGCAACAATAATTTTGCTCCATGTTTGAATTTTAAATGTGACTTACTGTTTGTTTGCATCTTCTAATATTTGTACATGGCTATATGGCTGCTTGGATTTCACTAACATTTTGCATGTTTTTCTATTGGGTTTTCCAACCAGTTCCTATCTCTCCTGCAGAAGTATGACCCAGAGCTCTTTCGAATGGCTTTGCCTTGTCTAAGTGCTATAGCTGGTGCCTTGCCCCCTGATTATTTAGATACACGAATTATGTCAACTTTGGAAAAGCAGACTTCAGTGGATCCAGAAGGAAATTTTGATCCCAAACCTGTCAGCACATCAAAGTGAGTAATGTAATTCATAGTGGTTTCCTTCCCTTAAATTTTTTTATGCTATTCCTTATTAACATTTTTTTTATCTTCTGTAGGGAGAACCGGCTGGTGACTGACATGTTAGTGGTATTAGAACTTTCAGAAATAACAGAGGGATTTTTACTTCCTTCTGCCAAATACTTCACTGAAACCTGTCATGTTTACCAGACATAAACCATATCTCTCTCAGCCCTGAACAGATGTTAAATATTTCCATCTTATGTCTACAGAGAAAATAGTAAATTATATATTTATTATGTACCTTATTGCCTGATAGTTCAAATGTTTGGGATAGATAAATTAGAAATTATCATTATTTTACTTATGACAATTGGTCCATCATAAAAATCTGGTGATTCAATTGGTCTGTAGTCCAATTTTTATAAAATCTTTATGTCACAAAATAAGCAGATCATGCAGGATGATTAAATAGAGATTTGGCTTTTCCTAGTAATTTTTTGCTTTTAAAATACAGACTTTATATTCAGGAACTGAGGATCAATAGCTCAGTCTTGCTATTAAATTCTTATCCTTCCATCATTATGCATTGTGAAACATCCATGTTAATATTATTCTTTATTAAGAATTAGCAACAATTTACCTGTAGATTATGGTGAAGCAGGTTTTTGTTTCTTTGCATTTCAGGTGCTAAAAAGTGTGACTGTTATGTATTTAAAGGTTCTCTGCAAATGCCATTATAGCTATGCCTTTTTTGTGGCATTTCTTTTAAAGAGTAGGGAATTGCCATGCCAAATGCTCTGCCTTCATTTGAAGGTGGAGCATTTTTGATTAGTCCTATATTTTGCTGACAATTTCTTCATAAATCAGACTGCAGTAACTTATGACTGAATGACCATAGCCCTCTTTGCTTACAGCCTTGTACTTCCTGAGAAGTTGGAGTATATTGTAAGCAAGTATGCTGAACATTCCCATGATAAATGGGCCTTTGAAAAGGTAGGAGTTATTTTAAGACTGGCAACTATCCAGGACTAGTAAATAATTCCTAGGGTGAATACTGAAATTAAAACTAGACAGTTTAACTGATAACCCCTTGTTCAGAGTCTACATATCTATTTTGGGAAGAAACCTCTTGCTTAGGATAATGCATTGTAATTAGTTACTTTTTCAAAGAATTTATTAGAGACTTGAGGGGACTGAAAAAGGGGAGTTTGGTTTGGATTTGGCGGTTTGTCTGGGGGTTTGGTGGGTTTTTGTTGTTCTTTGGGGTTTTTTTAAAAAGTTTTAGGTAAGAATAGATAGGTAAGATGCTCTTTTGGCATCACTTTGCCTGGTAATTGTGCTTTTTGTCTGGGAGATTCAGTTTTACTGCAGCAGCTCTATGATCTAAGAAAGTACAGTCTAATGTAATTTTTTATTTCAGATAAGTTTTAGTTGTAGATTTTCTTTCTTAGCTTTAGGAAGCCTGTTATGAATTGAATTTCTCTATAATTTTTCAAATGCTCTGTCACTATGTCATGTTTCTGTTTCATTATTTCTACAAAGCTACAAGAAAAGACAACGAATTATTTGATAATTTATATAACAATTATTACAAATGAATAGCAATTTTATGAAAGAGTTCTATAAAATAATTCTCTTGGGAGGGCCTATATATGCAAATTTATGTAAGAAGGTACGCATACATATGTGTATGTAAATATACACAGAAAAATTTCAAACCATAAATTTCAGTTACTCCTCTGTAAGGTAAAGGATTCATTAGTTACGTTCTCCGGTTCTTGATCTGTTAATGTTACGTATTCTTCTCAGTGTTTCTGACTTTAGGCTCTCAGAGTGGGACAGTGTATTTATTGTATTTTGGGACAGTCACTTTTGTCTCAATGCATGAGAAAGGGGCCGGTGTGAGTTAGGCTCAGGACTGGTATCACGGCACGCGCTGCTCACAGGGGCGTCCCTTCTGTCCCAGGCATGTTTTGTGTCCACAGATGGATGCACGCTCCTCTCCTGTAGCACTGAGCAGCTCTTGGGGTGGGTTAGCAGTTTGATGTGACAAAGGAAGCTGGCTAATTTGCTCTCACTCATCAATGTTGATCTCATCTTATTTCACTGGGGTTTGTGGTTGTATTTTTTTATTTTTCAGACTAATAGTGGATGGAAATATGGAGTTTCACTGGATGAAAACATGAAGACTCACCCATTAATAAGGCCTTTCAAAACTTTAGCTGAAAAGGTAATAGAGGAAATTTCACCTGCATCAATATGAAGTAGATTGATTTGTGTGCCTTTAAAAATCAATTTCAAATGTATTCTGTTAAATGTCAGGCAGACGAACCAACAAGAATTCTTACAGTTAATAGGTACAACTTTATGTCGGAGTGATTTTCAGTTAATCTTACACTGAGTCTTGTATAATTTACTTCCATTAGGCATAATGTTAAGTGTTTCTTCATAGGCCTGGGCAAATTTGAATTCAGTAGCACAGTTTTTTCAGGCTTCCATGGATGCCGAATGACTGGCAGAAACTCCTGGATGTTAATGAAAGTGTAATTTAACCTACACTAAGGCAATTTTGTCTTCCAGAAAAATAGTAGAAAAATGCAAAAAATGTGTAGGAGATGATTCAGTTGAAAATGCAGAAAAACATTTAAAGTATTTTGAATTTCTTGACTAGGTACAAATGTCTTCTAGTTGTCAGAACAGTGAAGGGAATTTTAATTCTGTTACTTATTTTTGTAATGATTCACTGGGAGACACAAGTCAATTACATATGTCCCTCTTCACCATGTATTTCTTGTTCAGAAAATAGACATGACAAGAATCAAGAGGGATTAAAGAGGTTGAGTTTCCTAATGTTTGTAAATCGCTTTGGAATCTTTGGAGAGGAGCTAAAGCATTGTTGATTGTTATTTAAGCAGTTTAAAAAGAACTTTCTAAATTGTCTGAAATTAAAACTTTTCAACATAAAAATCAGGATTATACCTAAAAGCTGTAATTTGGAGCAACTAGTTTATGATACAACCTGAAGTACTGTTATTTCATTGATTTGAAAAGTCTTATTATAGCATACTCAGAAGTTTGCCACGGATTTTCAGACTTTTTCTAACACTTTTATTTTCCAAAGGAGTGCTGGAATATGGGCTGTTGTCTATTTTTATTGGTATCTGTGTTTTTATGAAGAGGTGTATAGTTCAGTAACCTTCTGTATCTGTGAGTGGATATAAATATAGGAAGACTAAAAAAAGATCTTGAGTGTTTGATGCATTTGAAGATATATACTTGTTTATCTAATTTTTAGCACTCAGAGTACCATAATTTCTTTTATTATTTTGTGCTGGTAGAATTAATGAAGAAGTTTTGAGGTCCAATCTACATTATTACTCCGGGGCTCATTGCAGTGCTGTTAGTTTCTAACACTTATCCCAGCAATAAATGCCACTAAAACTATTTTATTTTTTTAATTGTAGGTATTTCAAAGTTCTTCTCTTATGTAAAAAGAACTGTATTTTGTGTTCTAAAATACAAATTTTCTATAATTTTGTGGTATGTGGCACTTAGAGAAGGACGGAATATTTTTGTTGTGCTTTTGCTACTTACTAAATACAGAAAAAAATTTACATTCTTCAAAGGAAAAGGAAATTTATCGTTGGCCTGCCAGAGAATCATTGAAAACCATGCTGGCCTTGGGATGGAGCCTAGAAAGGACCAAGGAGGGAGGAGAAGCAATAATACATCAGCGTGAAAATGAAAAGCTTCGTAGCATATCTCAGTCTAGTCAGGTAAGGTAGAAGACCTTGATTTAAAAAAACAAAAGGTCTGTTAATTTACTAATAAATTATAGACAATTATTTCCATTTTATATTCCTTCAGTGAAAAGAAACTTTTAATGGTGGAGTTCTAAGATTGGAAGTCATGTCACTATAATAAACACTGTGCTACACTAAAGAGGGGATTCCCAAAAGCATTTAAGACAATGAGGATATAAGAGACCATAGATATTAATTATTTTAGAAGAACTGAAAACCTTTTTAATACAGTCATTCAAATAAAACTGACAAAGCATTTAAAGTCTTTTATTTAAAAATATATACAGCATTTTCTTTTGTTTCGTCAAACAGAAGAGCCTAACATGAGCTTTTGTCAAGATTATGACTGACAAATTAGATTGCATATTTGATACAGTTTTGGTTTTTTTTAATCTACAGGCAAAATTTTCAGGTGATGATAGATTATTTTTTCCATTTGTAGATTTTTGTCATCACATGTTGAGGCTGCTGGTCTATATGTCATGGAGGGGGAAAGTTGTTTAAAATAATGGCAGGTGTTGGGGAATTGTTATTGTACCCTTCAAGGTGAATTACACACATTTGTACATAAATATAGTGAGTGTTAAGAAGCAGTGCATTGGGCACAAGTCCTGGAAGGAGTATGCAAAGCTGTGTCATAAGCTAATTCCTTATGTACAGTTGCACCAGCACTGATCCTGTGAGTATCAGCACCTGGCACCTTAAGCTGTGTTGGGCTCCTTCTCCATACCACTATTTGCTTACCAAAAGGGGCCCCTGAGCACTCAGTATTTCTTATCTCTTCAGCAAACCTCACTCCCTTACAGGAAATTCTGCTGTCTCTGGAATCTTTGCTTCCAGCCAGCTGAACTTGTTCTGCAGCTGGGCCTTCTTGTCCAAGAAGATGCCTTATAAAGACATGACAGAGTAGAGGTTTTCAGCACATAATTAACTTGAGTACACGTTTGAAATCACTGATTTATATGTAACCATTCACATTTACATGCACCTCAAACAGGATTTTGAACTGGAGCTTTCACTTTAACCAGTTGAAGATTGTGTTCATAGATTACACTCCTGCTTTTTCTTAGTCTTTAAATTCCTCAAGAAAATAATTTATCTTTCTGTTGTGTTTTCACATCCTTAGTACAGGGCTCATTCAGACTGTTCCCACATGGTTCTGTCATGTTTTGAAGGCACATCTTGTATGTCTCAGGATTGGTTTCCTCCTAGGCTAAAAGTTTAGTTCTTTGCAGCTTGCCACCTATTGTGAATAGAGAGATCTAATCTGCAGCAACCTGCATGCTTCCACACTAGCAATCCTATTCTCTTAATCATCCAGTGCCTTCAGTACATTGCAAAATAGGTGAACAGTTCCTACGAGTATAAAATTGGGAATGGTGCTACTCTAATCAAGTCAATAACAGTGATGTTGTAGTTGAATATTTGGTTCTTTTATCTGAAATGATTTTATCTGAGAATAACTTTCTTTTCCCCTGCAGGGAAATGGGTATAGCCCAACACCACTTGATCTCTCTAATGTAGCACTTTCTAGGGAGCTTCAGGTTTGTATTTGTGTTTTGCATATATTATGCTGAAAGGAATGGATGTACTTGATTTCATTATTATTTAATGAGTTGAATTTTGTTAGGTTAGGTTTAATGAGTATATTTGTGACTGTAGTTATGATAAGGTGTTGTAGAAAGGGTGCATGCTATTTTCATAGTGAAAGATTAAATTTCCACTGTTCATGCCATTGGTGCTTCCTGAGTTCCCAGAAAAAAATTAAGCATGAAGCTAGGGAAGGGGCTGTCAGTAGCATATTCTATTATGTGTATTCTGTGCTTGTGCTGACTCAAAGAACAGCTGAATATAAAAATTCCACTTAGCTATGTTTCTTTATCACAAGAGTGTAGACTTAAGACTGTGAAATTATGTAGCATTACAGAATTTTTGATCATCACCTAATCTGACATATTGTTTTTTCTAATGCTAATGTAGGGAATGGTTGAGGTAATGGCAGAAAACTACCATAATATATGGGCCAAAAAGAAGAAAACGGAGTTGGAAAGCAAAGGTAAGCCACAATCCTGCAAACCACACCAAAAAAGACAAGAATGTGGGAGAAAAAACAATCTGAAAGATGTCAGTGTAAGACAATCAAAAATGAATAGTTCCTTTTGTACATGAAGCAGAATAAATTCTAGAGTAGAAAAACTTACAGTTCTTTCAACTTACTAAAGGTGGAGGTAGTCATCCTTTACTGGTACCTTATGACACATTGACAGCCAAGGAGAAATCACGGGACCGTGAAAAGGCACAAGAGCTGTTTAAATTCCTTCAAGTCAATGGTATAATCATATCTCGGTAAGTTGCACATTTTTTCAGATGCTTGCTTGCATTCAGTGCCCAAACCAGCATGTTAATCTTATCTCACTGCAGGCTGGCAGTTACTAACATAATTACTCTTCAGCACGTCTTCTATGAATCAGAGTTATTTTCATGTTCACAAGGTCTCTTCTAAAACAGCATGTTCAGGCAGCATTTTTAATAAGTATGTGATGAGTGTATGTGTATAGTAAATACAAAATGCACATAGGGTAATTAAACAAGAGGATAATTTAAAATGTCTAAATTAGCAGCCAGCCGCGTCAATAAGGATCATGAGAAAATGAATCTGAGGTCCGATACTGAAACATATCTATGTAAAACTGGTTTTAATCCAGTTTTTGAAAAATATTGCTTCGAGTTCTGTAAAGTAATAAGACAAAGTGGTTTTACTTTGTGAGCACTAACGTCTACTCTAGCAAAAGCATAGACATCCTTAGTTTTACTGTAACTTGAATTGCTGTCTTAAAGTAAGCTGAGCTGTGAGGACCTCTTACTCTAGTATGTGGCTTTATATGATGGAATTGTGAATTACTGTATTATAACTCTCCTCTTTTATTGGATGTGAAACATCTGAATACATAGGAAATCTCAATTTTCTGGCATTCAGCATTTTTGTGAACTAAATTATATCCATTAATAAATTTTGCTGTACATGCATAGAGTCAGATCTTTCCTGTTTTCATTTACTTCTACTTTTCAAGTATTCGGCTCTATTGAAATTATACAGAGAAATTTATCAAAATCCATTTTTAAGATCTTCAAAATTTAACTTTATTCACTTTAACAGTATTTCTAAGAGATGAGGAAACAGTTCTAAGTACATTTCTGTATTACTACAGAGAAAAGTTCCCTCCTGCCACATATGTAGGCTCTCAGCCTGAACCCAAAATGTAGGTATGATACCAAATATTTTTATAACCTCCATGGTTGCTTCAGAGCCATTGAATATGAAAAGCTGGTCTACTTACTGCAAATGAATGATCTTCTGAAACACCAATGGAAATGCTCACATTTCCAGCTGCATATGTTTGGGTCAGGAAATCAAATTTTTCAGTGTTATATCAAGGGACAAATCAACTTGAAAAAGCATGTTCAAACTCTTCCTTGATAAAGGCAAAGATTTTGCAGTGATTGTCTGTATCAGTATGAATCAAGATTATCATCTTTTCAGTGTTTTCTTCAGATGAATATATGCATATATATATAATCTTTTGAAGTACTCATTGCAATGATCACATTTCAAGATGTCATTCTTGAAAATATAGGACTAATCATTAAAACATACGAATTGCTTATAATTGGAAATGTATAGGCGGATCAGCATGTGTACTTCACATAAACCATCTGCTACTGTTTTTGGGTTTTTTTGCTGTTTGCTGAGAACATTTTTGAAACACTTTGTGTGTTTATGACTTGCAGATAAATCTCTTAGGCTTTACTCAAGTATGTATTAGAAACAACATAGTATTTTGGTACATATCTTTAAATTTCTGCAAGGTATTTGGATGTTGTTTTTTATACTTCACAGACCTATCAACATCTTTCAATAGGAAAATATATGTAATTTCGTAGGAACCAGGACTTCTTATAAACTCAAAAAGAAAATATTTACATTGACCTCACTGAAAATACAGATAAGTACTTAGTCTCCTCTGTGAAAATGAGGCAGCAGAAGATGTCTCTCAAGCATACATAGCTGTTAATTCATACTAAATAATTTGATTGCATTATTAATCGTGATAAATTAATAGAGAGTCGTCAAAGTAAGCAAACTAGAACTCTTAAAATAGATTTTGGCTTTTTTTTTTTATTTATTTTTTTTCCCCCACAAATTAAACTAAGATGGTAGGTTAGAGTCCTAATAAGTTTGTGTTTAAAATGGGATTGAAATGTCTTCCTTAGTTCTCTGGCTGGGTTCCCCTAGACTATAACCATTTCTTTCCTCTTAACTGTGTTCTGACATGATCAAGAGCATATATTTTATTATTAGATTTTTTTTTTTGTTGCTATTGTTATAATTTCTGCTGCATCAACCTTCTTCCAGAATTACTTTTTTTGCTTGGATTTTTTTCATAGCTGTTTTTAAACTGCTAATCTAATATTCCGTTTTACCTCCCTAATTTACTCCCATACCAGTGGTAAGGACTCTCAGTACAAAGGATCATTTTCTTATATCACAGAAGTGAGTCCAGCAAATTTCCTTTTTTCTTGTTCCTTTCTTGCTTTTCCCACAAACTACCAGTTCCTTCCTTCTTCCCTACTTCTGACGCACTGGTCAGCTCCTCAGTAGTCTCTGCATGTCCTTTGGCCAGGTTATTTTCTCTTAACTGATAAGGGCTGAGTCTTCCTATCTGCTAATGTTTGAAGAGGCTGTACAGAAGCAGATGAAGTAGCCCTTTATGATTAACCAGAGCTTTTTTTAATGTCACTCAGTTACTTCCTCACTTGATAAAGCAGTTAGACATCCCGGGTGTAACCCGCTATCTACCAATAGAAAATCTCAATCAGAGTTTAGTTCTTTTGATATTGGAGGTCTTTTGGCTATGAAGAAGTTGCAAACTAAACAAAAGTATAAGAGAACCTCAAGGAAATGAAGATGAAAGAATTCATGACTTGTTAAACGAAGTACATTTGAAAACAGAATACATTAAAAATGTAAAAAATTAAGTGACTTGAAAAAGTTAACAAAAAAAAAAATCCTGTTCGTGTCCTGTATGCCAAGACAGAAAGCATTGTTTGCAGATTTGTGGAATGAACCCTTAGCAATAAATTGGAAAGTCTGGCTACCCTTCAGAGGAGCTTTGATAGCCTGGAGAAATGGGCTGACAGAAATCTTATGAGGTTGATCAAAGGTAACTACAAAATTCTATACATGGGATGGAGTAATCCCAGAAATATAGGGGAGCCAAGCCTGAGAGGAGATGTACAGAAAAAGCTCTTTGAATTGTTCAAGTTGAACATGAATCAGGGATATTTCTCTGTGATGATGAAAGCTGTGTACTAGGCTTCTCAGCAAGTGTGTTCTGCAGGTTGATGGATCATGAGATTCTCTCAGGAATATATTGTCCCGTTTTTGGTTCTCCAGCACTAAGGAAGACGTTGAGAACAAAGTCACTCAAGTGGGAGGCCACTGAGATGCTCTGTGGATGGATGCCAATGTCATGCCAGGAGAGGCTCTGAGGAGTGGCTGGATTTTTTTCAGTTTTAAAACAGAGAGCTACAATAGGATCTATGTTTGTCTTCAACTATTTCATGCAAGGTTATAGAGAAAATGATGTCAAACACTAACTCCACAAAAGTAATAAGTTGTTACAAGGAAAATGTCATATAAATATATATATAAGAAATATAAGAAAATATTTAATCATTATTTTTTCATGGTGAGGGTGGCCAAATATTATAGAGTCTTCAGGGTCCTTATGAGATTTTGATCTTTGAACCTACTCCTTCCAACCTTAATTTGTGTGTGATCCTAAATTGTAGAATTTCAGTCATGTAGGTTTCATTTGTACTTAAAATCAAATCCAGTATTTTCAATCTAGGCCCAGACAACCACATGTATTTTTATTGCTCTTTAATATTTTGTATGATCAGCCATGATTTATGTTTATGAATTTATCCTAAAGAATAAATAATACATGCCTAGAAATTATTGTATTCTGTTAAAATTTTTCAAATACTTTAATAATATAATTGTCACATTTAGGTTTTCATTTAGTAGCTGTAGGATTTTTGGCTTTGTTCCTTCATAAAATTAAAGGAAAAAATAAAGTTTAACAGTGATTAAGCAAATGAAGGGTATACTTAGGGTGACTTTGGAAAGATGCAACTGCTGACTTCCGAAACACTTAGAATACAAATGTGCAAGCAGTGGAAATTGAGTGACCAATGCATTACTTTATTAGGTTCAGATGCATGATGGCTTTGTTTGTGCAATAAGGTAGCACTCTAAAGTTCTTATGCTAAAATACATGTATTTTGGATTCTTTAATCATAAACTATTATACCTCTTACTAAAGTCAGTTATTTTTTCTCTATTTCTTCCTAGATAGTTGATAATTAACATGCTCATTATCTTCTTCTTATGAAAATTTACCATAATAAAAAAATAAGGCATGAAATGCTTCATAGTACTGTCATCATTTGTACTACTGCCATCATCAATGCTACTTCTCTTAATAATTTTCAAAACAGGGGCCTGAATGACATGGAGTTGGATGCTTCATCCATGGAAAAGAGATTTGCCTTTAAGTTTCTGAAGAAAATTTTAAAATATGTTGATTCTGCTCAAGAGTTTATTGCACATTTGGGTAAGTTGCAGATTTTATTTTTTAAATAGTTAGAATTGTTGAAATTTGATTATTTGATTGATGGACTTACATTTTAAGTGATCACTATTTTTATTGCATGTTAGGAAATTAAATAATGTCTTTTAATTTTCAGATTAAATTATTGAACATTTGGAACTAGCTAAACAGTTTGTGCTGTTTTATTTTTGAGTAAAACTGATTTTTCAAGTCTATCTGAAAAATATATTGTGTTACTTATGATGAGACAGCTTCTTATTTGTGTCTACCTTGATTGTATTCTTGCAGAAGCCATTGTAACCAGTGGAAAAACTGAAAAATCTCCACATGACCAAGAAATAAAATTCTTTGCTAAAGTGAGTGATTATTTCATGTTCATATATGTTCCGCTATAGAGAGTATGTAAATTTTTGATGTTAGACTGCTTTTCACATAATAGAAATATATCTTTTCCATTTATTTATGATAACTAATCAAACTATTATCAAATATTTTTGACATGTCTTCAGAAATATCTCAGTAAATTTGCTGGATTCAAAATACTTCAATATATCTCTTTCTGTATGAGAAGGAACATAAAATTTAAAAGGCAGATTATTTATTACATTATATTAAATACTCTTCTAGAATATATAAATTTAATCTAATTATTTTACCACAAGATATCACTGAAGTGCATATCGTCTAATTAGAGAAAGAAATACTCCTCTGCAGTATTAGATCCAAAACAGATATCTCTATGGAAGTCTGTTTATTATTTATGTAATTTTGAATAAAATGTTAAGACTTCTGTTTGTAATTTACATGAGCTTGTGTTTGAAATTACAGAACTAAAATTATTTTTATGAACTTTGACCAAGCAGAGACAATTTACCATTGTGCTCTGAAAAAAATACATTTTGTGTCTATATTTCTTAGGTTCTTTTACCATTAGTTGATCAATACTTTACAAATCACTGCCTCTACTTCCTGTCTTCTCCATCAAAAACCCTCAGTAGCAGTGGATATGCATCAAATAAGGAAAAGGAAATGGTAGCAAGGTAAGTACAAAAAAAAAGTTATTAATTGTAGATAACTAAAGGTCTCTTCTTAGGTTGTAGAGAAAGACAGATAGTTCGGAAGCTTATTTTCCTCACCTGGCAAGTGAATATTTTATTCTACATGAGAGTGGCAGTGAGTGAATATAATTCCTCATCTTTGTATTCTTTATGTTATATATTTAAATTATTTATATTTATATACACATAATTAAAGAGTTAATTATATATAATAACTTTATTTTACAATATGTAATTGTAGATGATAGCATCAAAATACTAGTAAACTATTCTGTGAGCAATGGAATTACTTAGTTTCTTATGGGGTTCTGTTTCATTGTGGGTAGCAGTTTCTGGTTAAAGCTCTTTCTGTGGTTGGTTCATTTAAATGGTCTCACACTTATTTAAATTTTCAGCTACCAAAAAAATGTTAAAAATACCACAAGGTAACATTTTAGGGGGAAATATGGATTCTATACAAAATTACTTCTGCCCCTGCACAAGTATTACCGGAATTTAATAGTTTTTGCATGTTTTTACGGTTAGGATGGAATGAGCCAGTTGACACAAAGTTATTCTAGAACATTCTGTTAAAAATAAATGCCTTTTAATTTAGAATGTGCTGCCTATATGAAAATAGGAATTCTCTTTCTTGTGATTAAAATGTGAAAATAATATTAAATAACATTTACTTGTTTTAAAATTATGTTTTCACTATTGTTTTAATAATTTGCCAGGTTTTTTTCCATCTCCTTGAGGTGTGCTGCCACTTACTTTCTTTTGGAAATTTTGTATCGTAGGATTTCAAACTGTTTTGCTCTCATGCTTTTTTAGTTTAGTTGTCAGTTTCTCAGATTTCTTTGACTTTCCTTCACTGCATTGACCAGTTAATTGTTTTTTCCAGTGGAAAGTAGATGTAAAATTTGAAAGTAAAGGTCATGTGTTACTGCATATGATCAGGCCTAGGACTCAGCTTCCTCTCCAGTTTATCTCTCAATAAATTTTTGCATTTCTTTAAATTATTGTTTCCCTCTATTTCCATCTTCTTTGTGAGTGGAAGTCCTTATAGAGCAGTTGTGTGTAAGAGTGGTTAAGTGCCCAAGATTCTGCTTTACTCAGCTCTCAGATATTTACAAACCTGCAAGGTAGTTCTCCAGGAGCTGGGAAAGGCAGCTCAGGCCCAGGAGGATGGAAGTGTCTCTTAATTTCATTTCAATTTCATGCTTCCTCTCTGAGTACTCCTGTTACTTCTCTAAAGTCAATCAGGTCTTAAAGAAGGTAGAAGGATGCACTCTAGAGCTACAAAAATGGCTTTACAAAGACACATGAAGAAGTTAGGTGTCTAGTACATGTACCTGCTAGTATAATTGCTGAAATACCTTGTAATTCTTTGTGCATCCTTCACTGAAACAAGTGACTATCTGCCAATTTCATCTTATAGGAGGTGTAGTATCTCCTTACCATTGTGAAGATAACAATAAAAATCTGTGGTTAGTATGAGACCATACCAAGTCTTAAGGTATATGCTTCATTTTGTTATGCCCTAATTCCATTGGTAAAGTATGGTCCAAATGATATGCAAGTCTGGGCATAAATGTCTTTGTTAAAGTAACCCCTTTAATCTTTAGGGTGTTGGTGCTGTATTCTCTTAATTATCTTACCATTTTGACAGGTAGGTTGGATATGCAAGTATCTGATATACTTGCCAGAAGCTCTTCTAGTGTGTATATATTTAGGATTCATATTATCATCATCAGAGTGTAAACACAGATTGATTGATTGATTGATTTACAAAGGACATCCTTGCAACTTATTTTAAATAATAAGAAGATTTCTAACAATCATTTCCTGCACAATGCCAAGTAAAATACTAAAATATTTCTCATTATTTCTTGTCCTTACAAATTTTTTTTTTGTTCTGAAATAATAGCCATTAAGAATGACTCAGCCAAATAGTATGCAATTGTTGAAAACCACTGTCAAAAGAAAGTTTTAGATTTCAAGAGACCTCTGAAGTGGTGAAGTATAGAAAATTAAAGATCTCAGGAGCTTCAAAATGTTACTCTGCTTAAAGCAGTTAAACGTTATCATCATGTATCACTCAAAGTACACTTTTCAGGAGTTATGGTGTGTTTTCTTTTTCATATTCCTACTATTCTTTACCTTCTATTTTAAATAAATCTTTCATCTTTGTCTTGTTTTGCTCTCTCTGTTCTTCTCTACTTTAGCCTGTTCTGCAAACTAGCTGCTCTTGTTAGACATAGGATTTCACTTTTTGGTAAGTAGTTAAGAAAGAGCTTGATAAAAAATTAAAGAATACATAATCATTGTTTCTCTCTTATCTGAAAATTTTCACAACTCTACCCAAAATTCAATTAAATGCTTCATAACCTTCTAGTGAAATTAGTGAGGGTTCTGAAGCTAACAATAAAAAACATAAAGTGTTGAAGCAGGAAGAAATAGCACATTGTCTTATCTCAGGCTTCATGAAAAAAAAAAAATCGGTGCTTTGTAGTTACTTTTAACTTTTCAAAAGTAATCTTACACTGATTCTTTTGATTTCTGTTATCCAACTGTTGAATTCAATAGACTAATTTCTCAATAGATAAAAGGGTATTTTATGAAAAATAATACACCTCCTACAGAGATATTGGTAAAAAAAAAATTAAATATAAGTGCTACAAGATACAGAGTCCAGAATGTTGCAAAGGTAGTGGTGAAAATGTGCCCTAAGTAGGCATTAGTTATTCTGTTTATTTCTTATATGGGAATTGACTTGAAAAAATTAATATTTCTAGAACCAGACTTAAGACCATCTTCAGTGACCTAAGGTGGGAGACTTGGGTAATACCTTGTTTAAACTGTGCATCTCCAGTAAGGACATTTTGGATCATTACAGGATGCAATGTTTCCTGTGCTGTTGTGCTCTCATAGTATCTCTTTCTCACCAGGAAGTGATTCTGCTACAATGGTGAACTGCCTGCACATCTTAGCTCAGTCTCTCGACACACGGTAAGTTTGCAACTTTTGTACCAGCTGCAATCTACTAAGGTTTCACAGAGCTTTTCAGAAACAATTGGATTGCTTCTGTATTTTTGTAATCTTTATTTGTAATCAATGATCTTAAGAGCATCAGCAATTCAGATATTGCCCTCCATGGTAGCAAATTTTGTCTGAAGTGTTTCACATACATTTTTCTGCTCAATGTCTGTCATTCAAACAATGAAAACACTTGTGAATCTTTCCACATTCATTTGAAGACTTTATGGGGAGGTGTAAATGGCATGACCATTGGACCTGAAAGTAGTGATACCTGCAGATATTAAGAAAGTTTAGTGCATAGTGTAAAATTTGTCATTAGAAGTATGCAGAGTATATTCATAGATGAACATAATTATATTTGCTATCTTCTACTGCTTATCATTGAGGTGATTGTGTAGATTAAAACAGAGGCAAGACCAATTTTCGAATTTGAGCTGTTTTTTGGCCTGGTAAAGTCACACAGCAACCTGATAATGAACTTACTGTGAACTTCTTGTGAACAGCACTGGCATCTTCATTAAGGTGTCAGAGAAACATGCAAAATGTCAAGGAACAGGACTGTGATTCTGGTATTGCAGTTGCATTTTCTAGATTTAGGGGCTTTGAAGTAGCCTGACTTACACATCTAGTTACTGTGGCTCCCATAAAACTATATGGATTAAGAGTCTGGTGTTTTTGAGCATACTTCATAGAGAAGCTTTTGCATGACTTTTGACATTTACTGAGAAGGCATTCTCTTATTCAAATGCAGACCACAAAAACTTGGAAAGCCAAGACTATGGAATCAAGGTCTTTGTTTTTATTATTTTGTATTAAATACTGAAAGAAAATTGTTGCCCATGCTGCTATTCAGATGTAAGTGCCCTTTTCTGTTCATAATGTGAAATTCCTTGATACGTGTGGGTATCTTCAACAACGGACAGAATGTGACTGACATGTACATGGATCTCTATACAACTAAAATATCAAGGCAAATTTGATATTTTTTCTGTCTTTTTTTTTTTTTCAGAACTGTTATGAAATCAGGATCTGAGCTTGTTAAAGCAGGATTGCGTGCCTTTTTTGAAAATGCAGCTGAAGACTTGGAAAAAACTTCCGAAAATCTTAAACTGGGAAAATTTACTCATTCGCGAACACAAATCAAGGGTGTTTCACAGAATATCAATTATACTACAGTAGCATTATTACCAATTTTAACATCAATTTTTGAACATATTTCACAATATCACTTTGGAGTAGATTTACTTTGTAAGTATTTAATTTTAATTTTTAATTTAATTGTGTGATAATGCTAGAAATGATTTTTAGAAATGACTGCATGGATTCAGAGGACAAAATTCTGTTTTCAGTAACATGTACATTTCCAGAATTAATTCTGAAATTAGCAACATAGTACCTTATTTCTAGTAAATGTTCAAAAATAATACTCAATAATCTTGATTATGTACAATATTTCTTCAAACATTGAGAGGGAAATTAAAATATCCCTTTAAGTACTCTCTTAACAAATGTATGTGTGAGACTAGTTTTCTATACAAAATTAGTGTTTCATTATATTAAAGGAGACAACTCACTGTAAGTTCCCTGTGGATTTTCCCTTACATGGGAAAACCACTGTAGGTCTTTGAATTCAAATTTTCCCTGGTTTTAGCATCAGTTAGTCTAAAAATACTGAAATGACTCCTTGAGATTCAGCAATATGCTGAATGATTTTATTGCATTCTAATGCTTCTAATGTCTGTAATTATGTTCCAAAATTTTGTATATATTTAGGTCATAATTAAAAGATGGATAACCATGAAAATAATTTCTTTAAAAATGTGGTGAAGCTTTAGATTATGTACTTAAGGGTTAGACACACACACAGAGAGATGCCATTTAGCTTAAAATTGTACTCTGCAAGTGTGATAACTTGGAATATCTTACTAGCAAGTGTCTGCTGTCCTCTTGGAATATCTAATGATCTGGTAGGCTTTGGAGTGAATGAATGAATGTAGGTGATAGACCAGGAATTAGAGACATTGAAAGTAAATACCATGTGGAATATGGACAGTCAGAATGTTCAGTGATATATGTGCTAAAAGTTTTAGATATTATTTAAGGTATTGCATAAACAGATATTTGATATTTGAAAAGTAATCCTTAGCTCAATAAATACTAATATGCATTTTCATTTTCCTCTAGTGGGTGATGTACAAGTCTCATGTTACAGAATTCTTTGTAGCCTCTATTCTCTTGGGACTGGAAAGAACATCTATGTTGAAAGGTATTAAGTGTAAAACTCAGCATGCATAATTTTCTTTAGGTGTCACTTAGGTAATAAAGCAGTTTGGATGAAAGGTGAATTTGAAAGAGTGAGAGATGTTTCAAAGACACTTTTCCCTTGAAAATAGTTGCAATACTTCAGCATTTAATTCCACAGGGGGAAAAACACTCAGCAGAAGTAAAAACCTTATTCTAAATATGGCAGTGTATCTGCATAGAGTCTATTTTTCATATAGGAAAAGCTAAATTTTTTTTTGGGTTGCCATTAGGTTCTCAAAGTTTTTCTACCACATATTGCTGTGATAAGTAGGCTGAGTACTAAGTAGGAAGCATCTGTTTCACACCTAAGTCTATACCAGGTTCTCAAAGAGTTGTCCTGAGCATAAAATCCTGAGAGATGTCTACTCTGACAACCATTAACTCTACAAAGAAAACCACTAGTTACTTGTAGTTAAAAACGACTAAGGTCTACAATTCCTTTAAGCATCTAGTTGCTCTGCTATGTTTCAAGCCCTTTCTTCCGATAGAAGGGGATCAAATCTGTATTTGTTAGTTCAGAAAATAGAACCCTAATTGCTTGTCTGTCCTAATACTTGTGAAAGTTTTAGGCTAGATGATTTTAGCTGCCTTTCTTATGATGAAAAGCTTAAGATCCAAAGGGAGAGAGACTAAACTGGAAGAAATTCAAACCTGTAGTCTGGTTGGAATAGGCTTTGCCTAGTGTGAGGAATGCTGATCTCCAATCCCTTCCTTACAGAGTTTAGTTAGAATTCTTTAATTCAAAATTCAAGAGATGTTTGGTGGACAGATCTTTCCTCCCACTCTGCATGCATGCACGTGTGCACAAGCTGTATGTTCTCATTCAGGCATTTATGCATCCATCTCTAATCACAAAGCTATGTTCTTCTTTTTCTTCTCTTTCTGGGCTTCAAAATCCTAAATACTCCTTTACATAGATCTGATAGGAAAAATACGAAGTGCCTTACTTACTCTAGCTAGTAGTCAGAGTTTCCTCACAGAAAACGAAACATGATTGTGTTTGAACTACCTTTCAATAAGAAAAGCTCAGAGCACAAGCCTCCACTTGATTGGCAAAATCTGTAAGCACTGGACATTTTCCTTAAACCTCCTGAAACTAGCGTCATCACCTTTGCCTGCAGCAATTGTTGTCTTAGAATGGAAAAGTGATCAGATTTGATATATCCAAGGAAACTAATTATTCTCCTAAGGCTGTGTGAGAGGTTCTCAACTGCGGATTTCATTTAGTTTGTTTTTCACTATTCTGAGAATTCTAAATTACAATTTTAGGCAGACATCAGTGTCTAGGTGGGAAGTAGGATTTCAAACACAATGCTCAATGTTTCAGAAAACTTTGAAGTGAGTGATTGAGCTGACTTGAACAGTTATTCAAATTAAGCAATGTTCAGTTTCAGGATCAAATTGCACATTTTTCTCCTACTGAATTTTGGCAGGGACATTAAGAAGTTTAATCTTTCATTGCAGAATGAGTCATAGTGCACTTTTCATAGATAAATATCTCTTTTTATGGCTGAAATAGTTCTGCTAGCTGCAGGGGCTTAGAACTAATTCTTAATCCAATTGCTGCAGCTACCCTGTTAAGACAAACTTCAATTGTCAAATGTTTCATCCTTTGTACAAAGACTGTTTTGCTTCTTTAGAATATTGGAGTTGTTTTTGATTTTTCTGTGAACATTTATTCTCTAAAAGTCTCCATGATTCATAAATGTTGAGAACTGGATGCAAAAGCTGTAGCTCTTGATTACTTTGAGCCCTAATGCTCTAGTAACTTGATACCTTTCTTCATGGTGTTTCACTTGTCTTGATGCACTAATAGACGATCCTTGAAAAGATACCTTTCCCTCACACTTGCCAAGGGTTTCCCCAGTCCCTTTTGCAATACCCACATCCCAGGATAGGGATCCCAGATCCCAGATGCTCAGCTTCACTACCATCCAATTTCATATTGTGGGTCACAGTATCTCAGCATTGGAGCAGTCAGAGCACGAGGGGCTCACCTGACTGGTGGATGAAATCTATTCACACATCTCACAGCTCACCCAGGGATAGGGAGCAGGTGATTATTTCTCACCCTGAGTCCTCCTCCTTGTGAGGGCCCTATTTCCTCTTCCTCCCTTCGTAAGCAAACTGATTTTGTCTGTCTTGTATTTTTTCTTCTGTGTAGGGTTACTGCTACTGGCACAGGTTGTTCCTCTGGTTCAGCTGCAGTTTGAGTGGCCACAAAGCATTCCTTTCCTCCTCCCCCTGAGGGTGCTATCTAGTACCAAGCAGTGTCCAAAAATAGTAGCTAGAGCCCAGCATGTTGCATAACTTTGCACTTCCCTGAAACTGCCATAGCAGTTTTCCTTCAAATATTCTGCCACTTTATTAAGCACTGTAGTTGCTCTGGGGTGAACTTAAAAACCATTGGAGCAGAATCATCCTTCAAAGGTCAGCTCATTTTCTTCCACCTTCCATACCACTTGTGACTATCCAACCTTGGGGCAGATCTCTGAAATAATCCCTTAAAAATCTTTTGAAACTTCATGGTGCAGACCAGAGTGAGGGGACCCAGCAGACCAAGTATTGGTCAAGACCTTGGATATTTCCTTAACATCCAAGGGAAGTTCAAAGTCCTCAAAAGCAGTGGTAACAGGCTTGAAGGAGGACAAAGGGGTGAAAAGCTGGGCAAAATATTCACCCTCCTCTTCCCACAGGCTGGGTACAATTATCAGTTCTATCTACTTCACTCCCTGAGGTAGTCCTCAAGGTAAGGGCAGAAGAACAAAAATGAATACACATCCCAGATGGCCTTCACTGTCCTTGTTATCATGTCATAAGCTGAAATTACACAGTGCAGCAACAAAGCAATCCTGATCCCTCTCCCTGCTCTGAAAAATCACCATGAGGAACACATATTGCATATATGAGAATGTATACAGGGTTAGGTACCACAACCACGTGAACAGACCAAGCAACATTGTGACCAGTGGCTCTGGACCCAATACAACAAATGCTTAGATCACTTTTGCTTTCTACCACTCTGGTCATATCTGTTGTTATCTCACCCTTTCCTGTCCTACACTGAGTGCCAAATAAGGGTGTTGGTTTCAAAATAGTATTCCCTAAGTATTTCCCACAGAAACACTCCAAACTATGTGCCACTTGCTCAGTCCCTCCTCCTCTGTCACTGTGGTGGATGGAGGGAAGAACTGAAGACACTAAAGGTAAGTATCATGGGTTGAGATAAGAGCAATTTCCTGGAAACAGCAACAAAATAAGGTAATGAACAGTAAGAGCAACAATCCTAACATTGGTGTACAAGAAAGAGGCAAGAAATTCATGCAATTGCTCGCCACCACACTGGACCCCTGACAATGTCAGACCCCTAAAGAACCCGGTCCTTGGCAATGACATGAGGTGGCATAGAATAACCTCTGGGTCCTGTCCATGCCAAAAATTAACCCTGTCCTGATCAGAACCAGAATATTGGAGGAGATGGGGAGTTTAAAATTGTTTTTCTTGCACCACTGTGATCTCTGGTAGTTCTTTTCATGTGAGAAATCAATTTTTTCTTAGTTGTCGGGTAGTTCCTAATATTTAAAAAAGATTTTTAAAATCAAATATAAATACTAATACTTATTTCTATCATGTATGCTAGTCACTGAAAGCCTAGTGAAACTCTCTTCCTCTCAGATGACTTTTAGTGTCTCTCATATACAGGCAGCGTCCCGCACTTGGTGAGTGTTTAGCATCTCTTGCGGCAGCCATTCCAGTAGCATTCCTTGAACCTTCCCTCAACCATTACAATCCACTGTCTGTTTTCAACACAAAAAGTGCAAGAGAAAGAGCAAGTAAGTACTGTTCCTCAAAAAAAAAAAAAAAATCAACCCAAAAAAAACCTGTTCACTCCACTGCAACTAAATAATAGAAGCTGTATAATGAAAAAGTCCTGAATGTATGCCTCAGCAGAGAGCTCCTGCTACTGATGTTTCATTGTTTTCCATCTTGCTGTTTTTGTTGAAACTGTGTCAACAATGTTCTCTTTCTCCTAGTATTTTTTGATATTTTTCTGAACATAATGTTTAAATACTTTTCTAAACATGCATACTGTAATATTTTAAGCTTAATTGAAGGTCTACATATCTACATTACAAAAATTTTTGGCAAAATAAAGTTGTGTTCATGTAGCAAAATGCAAGAGGTATAATATCTGATTTAAGTGATCAGGAAAATAATTTCCATAGTTTTGTTGTCTAACCACTGATCCAAAGCAGCTTGGTATAGGGAACTCCCAGCAGAATATGATTATTCCATGAAAACTTGATGAAAAAGAGACCTCAACAAGTTGGACACATGGGCAGAGAAGAACTACCTGAAATTCAACAAAGGCAAATGTAGGGTCCTGAACCTGCAGAAGAATAACCCACAGACCAGTCCAGGCTGGGAGCTGACCTGATGGAAAGCAGCTCTGTGGAGAAAGGTCTGGGGGTAGAGGTGGACAACAAAGTGTCCCTGAGCCAGCAGTGTGTCCTTGTGGCCAAGAAGGCCACTGTGACCTGCACTAGGAAGAGCATGGCCAGCAGGTCAGGGGAGGGGATCCTGCCCCTCTGCTCAGCCTTGGCGAGGCCTGACCGACCCTAGTGAATGCTGTCCCCAGTTCTGGGCTCCTCAGGACAAGAGAGACAGGGAGCTCCTGCAGGGGATCCAGTGAAGGGCAGCAAAGATCATGAGGGGACTGGAGCATCCCTTTTACAAGGAAAGGCTGAGGGAGCTGAGCCTGTTTAGCCTCAGGAAGAGAGGATGAGAGGGGACCTCATCAATGTATACAAAATATTTAAAGGGAGGGTGTCAAGAGGATGGAGCCAGGTTCTGCTCTGTGGTGCCAAGCAATAAGAAAGCAGGCAACAGGCAGAAACTGATGCACAGGAAATTTCACCTAACATGAAGAAGAACTTTCCTGTTTGGGTGACTGTGCATTGGACCAGACTGCTCAGAGAGGTTGTGGAATCTCCCTCACAGAAGACACTCAAGAACTGTCTGGACACAAACCTGTGTCATGAGCTCTAGGAATATCCTTGCTTGAGCAGGACCAGATCATAGAATAGCCTGAGCTGGAAGGGACTCACAAGGATCATTGAGTCCAGCTCCTGGCCCTGCCCAGGACTCCCCAGCAATCACACTGAGTGCCTGAGGGTTGTATCCAAATGCTTCTTGAGCTCTGTCAGGCTGGTGCTGTGACCACTTCCCAAGTGACTAGACCAAGCTCCTCATAATGCTTTCCCTTCAGAGCCTTCCCCATCCTTGTGGCCCCCCTTTAGGTACTCTTTAAAAGTTTAATGTCTCTTTACTCTTCTGATGCCCAAAACTGCACACAGTAGGTAAGGCTTCACCTCAAGGTGAGGCTGCCCCAGCTCAGAGGAGAGGGGACAGTCCCCTCCCTTGTCCTGCTGTGTTGCTGTGCCTGATGCACCCCAGGACAGAATTGTCCCTCCTGGCTGCCAGGGCGCTGCTGACTCATAACAAACTTGCTGCCAAACAGGATCCTAGGTTCCTTTCCATGACACTGCTTTCCAGCAGTTCATTCCCCATCTACACACACAACACCACAATGGGCTTTACCTATTCTCTGTTTCTATTGAAAGGAACATGAGTCATTCTGCATTGAGTTTCTTTGCTTGCTCCCAAATTACTCTTGATGGACTATTATCTTACAATATTTGAGCATTTTCCTCACTGATCCATGAAAGAGTCACTACCTGCCAAAATCATTGTACTTTTAAACAAACAAACAATGCAAATAAATACAGGTAGATTGATTTTCTATGCTCCGTAATGTTTTTTCCATATAAAAGCAGTTATGGAAAAGCTTCTGCTAGCCCTTCCTCCCTATCAGGTCTGCTTTATAGGAACAGTACTATACCATTACCATATCCAGAAAGAGTTGTTAATTGCTGAATTAGCATCCTTCATTTTCTAATACAAGCATATGATAACTAGAGTTCTTTCCTGGCATATTTGTTGGCAAATAGCGAACTAAGTACAGTTTCACTTTAACCCCTCCTATAATTTTAAATTGTTTATTTTCCTTTCCCCAAGATGGATTTAATCTTTGGCAAATCAGCATAAAAATTGTGAATAATTATGAATACAATGTCCAGAGTATAACCAATATTAAAATAAGCTTTCTCTTCTGCACTTTTATGTAGTTCACCAGACAATTGCAGGACACCTTAGGGTAAAGCCATAGCTTAATAGCAGCTATTATTTACATTATTGCTGTATGCACATCATCTGTAAGGCACTATTTATTAAAGGAAATACTCATGCATGCCCCAAAGTGTTATTGCCTGTCCAAGATGGTGAAGGAAAAAAATCAGAGCCATTTGTGTTTAGGGTTTAAACACAGATGTTCTCTTTCATTTTGCTAATTAATATTTTGGTTTTCTATCCTTACTTGCAGTTTTAGGTATGCCTGATACAGTAGAAGAAATGTGTCCAGAGATCCCTCAGCTGGATAGGCTAATAAAGGAAATAAATGATTTAGCAGAGTCTGGAGCAAGGTATACTGAAATGCCTCATGTAATTGAGGTGATCTTACCCATGCTATGCAACTATTTATCCTACTGGTGGGAAAGAGGGTCTGAGAGTGTTCCTCAAAGTGCTGGGCCTTGCTGTACAATGATAACATCTGAGCATCTGAGCATTGTCCTTGGAAACATTCTAAAAATCATTAACAACAATCTGGGAATAGATGAAGCCTCTTGGATGAAAAGAATTGCAGGTACTGTAAATATTTTTTTAACAGTATTTGTACTATTAATATTTAATTACTTTGCTATGCTTTACCTTATTGCCCAGTGATATAATAAAAAAATTATAACTAAAACCATCAAGAAAGATAAAGAAAAGTAACAATAAGATAAATGTATTTTATTATTAGCTATATGCATGCATTGTAGCATTACTGTAAGTAGAGAGCTTTCTATTCACCATAAGAAATTTTGAAAATCTCCTTCTCTGCTCTGTGCACTGTATAAAATTTGAAGTAGTGAATTCCATTGATTTTCAAGACACCTGAGTTTCATAGTAGAATGAATTATGTTCATGAAACATCAGGACAGAATGGAAAGAAAGTGTAAATGGTGAAATCATCTCAGGAATAACCCAAGCTCAAACTTAGTTGGTTTGCCTGAATAAATGTATGAGTTATTAAATACGATGAAAGTTTTTTCAAAATATCATATAGGATACAGTATCTATCCTGCTAAAGAAGTTTATCATATCCAAATTTTATCATTCATATTATATAGTGTAAGAATATAATATGCAATAACATAGTTCAAGAAACTCTATGTAAATGTGATAATTTCCTGCTAAATTTGAATAACAAGTATCCATTAGTACTGTGTTTTTGGTATTTTAAATGCTGGAAGGTCTTAATAATAACAAGAATTCCATTAAAATTTAGTAAGAAGTTTGCTGCTTAATTGTAGAGAGTGTTTCCTGCAGTTTTGTGCTGATTGTTCATCTACATAAGATGATAACATACTTATATTGTACTTGCAAGGGTTTTTGACTTGGGTAGTTTGCACTTTATTACTAGTACAAAATTGATCTCTGACTTTAAATTACTCACTCATTCTCTGCATTTTAACTAGCCTAAGGCACAGAAGTTGCAGAGAAATAAAGGAATTCTTCCAGAACACTATCTTCTGGTGGTTTTCTGACATTAGATACAAAAAAAACGTCCAAGACTCAAAAACCCCCAAACAAAACAAAAAATATTTTTCTGAGGACTTTGTGTCTCAATCCTTATTTTGCTAAGGTTCTTACTTAGAGATATGTGACTTCCCAAAACCATGATAGTTTAATTTATATAAAACTGAAATACTTATAATCCAAATCCACAGTCTTTTAATCTCTCAATACACAGTTTTTATAAAGCTACATTCATAGCTTTATCAAGAATTTTATGTTGCAGAAATTTTTGAAGTCCCATAAACTTTATTGTTTCTACAACTTCAGCATTCATGTTAATATAATGAAAAACACCAGTTATGCATAAATAATAGAATTATCTATATTTTCACGTACAGTTTATGCTCAACCTATCATCAGCAAAGCCAGACCTGATCTTCTCAGATCTCACTTTATTCCAACACTGGATAAATTGAAGAAAAAAGCTATGAAGATAGTGATGGAAGAAGAGCAACTGAAAGCAGACAATAAAAATGACACCCAAGAAGCTGAGCTACTCATTCTTGATGAGTTTGCTGTACTTTGTAGAGACCTTTATGCCTTCTATCCAATGTTGATACGTTATGTAGACAACAACAGGTAAAAAAATCTAATAATGAAACTCATATTTGTTACTTAAATATACTGGAATCTATGATAGGACAATCAGGAGGAACACAGTTCAGTTCACTTAATCTTAGGGTGAGAATCTGATCCTTCATGTTTTAAGATTCTTAAAGCTTAATCCTGAATAATTTAAGATTCTTAAAGAATGCTGTACCATGAATTCACACCCTTGGCTCAGATGCAAATTCCTAGATTAACCAGAAAAATATTACCTGTTTTATTAAATAGGGATCATTATGTTAACCTGTCTTCTTTTAAGTATCTTCTTTTAAATGTCTCTTATTTTTTTAATTAGAGCTAATTGGCTAAAGAAACCAGATGCGGATTCTGATGAACTCTTTCGAATGGTGGCTGAAGTTTTTATCCTGTGGTGTAAATCACACGTAAGATAAAATGTGCTCTTTTCCTTTAATTTCATTCTATTTTTAAAATATAACTGTTGTATATGCATATGAGTTAAACCTCTGGTGATTTATTTTTTCTTTAGAATTTTAAAAGAGAAGAACAAAATTTTGTGATTCAGAATGAAATCAATAATTTGGCATTTTTAACAGGAGACACCAAGAGCAAGATGTCTAAAGTAAGTTAATAAAGAATTGCGGATCAGGTAAATCTACACCATATGTTTAATATGTTGAAAGAAGGCTCTGAAAATCTACTCAGCTGTTCTGCTGTTAGAAAAAAAAAGTTATGCTTCTTGATGACAGATGTGACAACTAATATGCAAAATATAGTCTATGTACCTTAGAGTTACTAAATGGCTGCTAATACTTAAAGACACAAGATTAAGATAAGTCTTGATTTGAAAAAGTTGCACATATAAGAAATATGGGCTGTATTATAAAATATGAGTTATTGTACATTTAGGAAAGAAAAAGGTGGACTATTTTATAAAAGCAAGGGAAGAAACATTGCCTTATCATTTTTATACTATATATTACATATTTTTAGACTCGGTCTGTATTGTTCTGTCAGCTCTGATGGAGCACAGCTGTCTTTACATATACCTCTGTATTTATACATATAATGTGCTACATGTGCACCATTTTTCTTGTCTCCTATCAATTAACACATTCATTTATTTTTTGCTAATTTTCAATATGACATGATGCTGATATGATGGCTTCAAAGTTCATCTTGTTACCTGTACAATAGAGAAATTGTCAAGGTAATTGTCAAAGGCTGCTTTTACCTTAGCTGAGGAAATTAACAGTCAGCTAAAACCAGATGAAGCCTAATTTCAAATTAGTGTTGGTAAATATAGTGAAGAAACACTTTCTTTTATTCATATTTATAATGATTTTGGAGTAATCCTATTCTGAAGGTGTAGCAGAGAAGTGGAATTTAAAGTTTTGTATTGCACTGTATTTTGGTTGCCTGCACCTAGCTACTGTAAATCCATTTTCAAACAATAGAGAACAAGATAAAATGTACTGTTCCATTTTAAAATTATTTTTAAAAATGTGTTTTCAAATGTGTTTAAAACCCACGCTTTTTTTCATTTTTTTTCCTATGAATTTTTTAAGTTTTGAAACCTGACTAAGCCAAACCCTGATATTGGAATTTTTACAAGCAAAAATACTGTATTATCTGCTTCCTCATCATTAGTTTATGACTGACACTGAAAAACAAATCCAACTTTATAAAGAGTTCTGTATTTGGAGATAAGGAAATGTCTAACTTGTTTGCTTGTTGTTAAGGTGCAGCTTATCAAAATTGTTTGATAGAATTGGAATGTTTGTATCATGCCTATTAACAAGATAAATAGTGGGCACATAAAGACTATTTGAAGAGCAGTTGCACAATATAACAGACTATTATATGTAGCTCTGTACTTTTATCATATGACAATCATTGCACACATATTTATTATGTGTATTTTAACATTTATACGTTACAACTAGACTGAAGAGACAAAAATAGGTGTAGTTTCTTCTTTTAGACACCATAGATTAGAAAGAGTATATTTAATCTAAATTGTGTCCCACTTCAGTACTGATAACAGGTTAATATGAAGTCTTAGTGTCATATTTTTGTCAGTCTGGCATGGCAAGAATAAAAGACAAGTCTGCAAAATGAGAAATAGGTAGGTCTCATACTGCTCTGATTTTCATAAAATCCCACTAATTTAACATCAAAAATCTCTATTACCCAAATCTTATTTTGAGATTATATTTTCAAATGCCTGTTGTATGTATTTAAGTATACAAATATTCTATGTATGAATAATTGTATGAATATATTTGTAACAGAGATGTAGATGCATATGTAAATACATTTTTATTCAATGGGTATACAGTACAGAGAGATTCTGGAGTTTTTTGTATGCATATAATTTTTTGTAAGCAAATTAATGTTAACTTATGGCATTCCAGGACACTGTGCATGGTTAATGCTAATAAAGGAAGAAAGAAAATACTGTATTGTTAATGAGTGAATATTTTATTAATATGGTACTGTAATGATAGGCATGATTGCAGAACAGCTGATAATTTAGGTATTTTTTTCATGCTGACTTAAATACCATGATAAAATATATGAAGTTTCTTTTAGAAGGGCTATATTGGTTTTATATATATGGTTTCTAATCATGAAATTGCTAATATTTCGTAATATAAAATGTGGTCTAAACTCAGCACATCCAATAAATTATAGATTTACATCTGTTTTTTGGGGTTTTTTTAAGACTACATAGGTTAAAAGAAACAAGAAATTCTCTAAGTAAGTGAATTTCAGGTTTTCTTGCAGGTTTGATATTTATTTCTCTCCTTAGACATTGATCAGTAGAGGACATTACATTAGGGAACATTATCTCAAAAAGTAGCAAGTTTACTGAATAATTAGCCCTTTCCTCTCTATCACCTATTCCTCTTTACTCACATTATTTCTAGTGGAAGCAATCTTATCCAATATTTATCAAGCACAAAAAACTGAATATAAAAATTGGCTATTGACAGTGGGGCCAGGACAGAACATTTTGTGGTCTCCCAAAAATGATGAAAAATACTGGGATTCTCTCAGCGTGTAAGGTGTATATCCTGTACAAAAGCTTCTACTTCCTTACATGCTATTTGGAAGAAGAAAAAAAGAAAGCAGAGTAGAAAGGAGTAACATGTTACTTATTGGTAGCTAATATCCATGGTAACAAATGATTCCTGATTACAATCAAGAAATTCATTAAGTACCCATTGTATTTTTATTAGACTATATTAACTTTGTTGCTAGTTTTTCAAATAAATGTATTAACAGCTGAGAATTTAATTTTTTTTTTCTAAAAATATGGCAGCAGAATGCTCGGAGGGGAATGGTAAGTTAGAGAACTTTCAGTCTGAGAGAGACTGGTAACTTAGATCACGTTGAAATACCAGACTTGTGATAGAGGTGTTCAAATAGAGAAGTTAAACACAGTCAGCTCCACTAATCTGTTATTTTGGACCCCTTCATAGATTTCTTGATAAAATAGCCTTTTGGTTAAGAGGAAATGATGTCCTGCTGTGTTTTTCAGTTAATTGGAATAAAAGACTGAATGTATACATATGTACATAATAATTGTGTAATATGTATGTGGGCAATTTTTCTGTGTCAGTTCTGGAATCTAAATGAATGTGTGGCTGGATATACACCCTCCATTGCTAAACATTTCCATAGCCTCCTGAAGTTTTATTTGACTTGCCCTCATTAATTTTTATAATCCATTCTTAAGAATAGATTGAGTAGACCTATTATAGAAGTTAGAGGCAGTCATAAAATGCAAGTTTGTATTCTGAAACAACATGGTTTTTTGAGCCCATCTGTAACATGTAGTACATGTTGTTTGCAGATTTACAATAGTTTTCATTTTAGTGTTTTCTGCACGAATTTTAGCTCTCTTCTTTGACAGTAATTCAATTGCATAGAATACATTTTCTTTGGATATACTGAGGTAAATCAGGAGTGGATTATTTTTATGATCAGCTACAATAAATTAAATATAATCAACATTTCCTTACCTTTAGTGTATTCATATACCTGTATATACCTGCTGAGCCATGTCTATGCAGCATCTACATATTTCACAGCACTGAAATCTTAAAGTTTGCTACTTGTCTAAGGTATTAAATATTATAAGCTGCTAAGATTATTTGAATATTAGTCCTTTGCTTGTCTTTACTTGTATCTGCTTTTCTTACTATGTGATATAAATCGAGTAGGTTATAAAAAGACTGACATCATTTTGAAACTTATTAATGTATCACAAAAAAACAAAGTTACTTTTACGACAGAATGACAGAAGTGAGGGCTTGTGTGTGATTTTTTTCTCTGCTTGTTTTTAACCAACAGCTTTCTATAGTATTTTCCTATGCCTGGTTGAGGATTCTTTTCAGTAATAGTTTATTTATGGCTTTGTTGTTATTTTCTTAAGATTTCCTGACACAATTATAATATAATGTTGGCTGTGGAATACATATTTATTTGAGTGTATTTATGGTATTAATATAATAAATGGGAAAATTTGTATGTATGAGAGTTACAGCTGAGTTTATAATATTCTCAAAATGGGTACTGCTGAGAGATGCAAGCTAAAGTTTTCTCTCAGGCTGTCTTCAAAAGAGTAATTAGCTATTCAATGGGAAAATAGATCTGTAAATTAAGTGCTAGACCTTGCCAGTGATAATTTGATTTCTAATCAATGTTTTTTCTCAAATATATTTAGGAGGGGAAGAGGTAGAAAAAGTGTTTTTTTAAAAAAATATGAATGCTTTCCATTACTGGATTATCCAGAGTTTCAGACACCTTTCTTCTTTTAGCAAAATTGGGAAGAGATGCAGTAAACTGTGTGTTGATAGGTTAGCTTACTGGATGTCCTTATATGTGCAAGCAACAAATGGAAGTGTGTGTTAAAAGAGCAACAGAAATTCAGAAGTTCAATTATTCAATAAAGATTAAGCTGATTTCACTAAAATCTCATTTGGTTATGCATTCACACTCTATTATTTTAGCTATGAGCTTAATATATTTTTGCTGTCCTCATAAAGCTGAGTAAGTTTGTAAGTAACTTGTAAAATTATCATCCTTTCATCTCTTTTACTTATGCTTTTTTTCCCCTTTATTTTTCTTTCATACAGGCCATGCAAGTAAAGGTACAGGTCAAAGTGCATGATGTGTTTTTGTTTTAGATTTAGAGATTATCAGGCTCCAAGCACTCTTTCCATTGATCATAGCAGTGGCGTCACAAAGTGAAGCACCAGGTTCCACCTACTAGAAATTTTGTCCCAGCTAAAGTGGCAGTCTTTGACCAGAGCAGATGAAATTCCCTTTGGCACTCCTAAATATTACTTAATGTGAAACTGTCTAAACCTTTTTAAAACTATTTTAGATGTACATTCTGCCTCTGCTGTTCTTCTGCATTCTATTGTTTTTTTGCTAAAATAGTAAAGTAGACATTGTAAAAGAAATGTCTAAGTAGAGTCATTAGAGAGATGTATTTGCCTTATGATATTCAAGAAGACTATTTGGGGAAAATGTGCTATAACCTCTACCCCATCTATAGGTGAATAGAAGATTTTATTAAATCCAGTAAGTTTAAATAAGATATACAGTTCAGATCTTACCTTTTTCCAAAAGTAATATGTTCTTTACTAAAGGTGTGAGGTGTGAAAAGCTTTAGAATAACCCTTATTTCTTTTATGTACTTAAAGTATTTGAAGATTTCTTTTCCTCCAATGAACTATAGGTCACTTTGCTTCATTCATATTCTTTTTTTTTTTATATAAATTTCTAAAATAGATGAGTACTTTCTGACCTATGGTGTATTCTTCATGGATGAAGTAGAATAAGCAGCAAAATGGAGCATAAATCCTTTCATCTTTCCCTTTACCCTATGTACTGAGAAGCACACTTGATGCTGTGAAGAACTTTTAATCAATTAAACTGGAGACGTGAGTTAAAAAGGGAGAAGCTCTGTTAAACTAATAATCTGATTTCATACTTTGTTATTGTCAAACTTCTGCAGGTATACTGAGTAGAATTTAATGACTGCCCTCATAGTAATCTCAAAGAGCCGAAACTCAAAGAGGGATGGAAATACAAAAACTATTATTTCTATAATCTTAACCAGTTTTAGCTGATTTTTAAGTGTAAATGAACTATTTCTTCCTTTGCATTGTGTATTTAGTTATTATTAATCTACTAAATAATCTGTAATTGGTTTATGGTACACAGATTTTTTCAGAAATATCCATTTGACTGTTGAAATTTTTAGAGAAGACTATTACATGCTTTTAGGCAACCAAATTGTATCATGCCTTCTGTTTAGATCCTTTTAGGCAAAATATATCTGATTTAATGCTCTTTACATATGTAATGCAGGTATTGTGTGTGCACAGGCGCATATTAGAACTGAAAGAGACAAAATTCCATTGTCATTTAGATTTCAGTCTGTGACTCTACTTACACACTTAGCAGCTGGAGAAGTGAATTCACAGACAGCAGTATTTATGGCAAAGGCAGAATGGATCTTCTTTCCATATTTAGAAAATTCTCCAGTTTTAAGGTTCACAATCTTATTTATCTCATGAACATAATTAAAATTGGATGTGCAAAATGTCCACTGGTGTAAAAGATGCAGAAACCAGTATCTCTCCCATTCCTTTTTTTTTTCTTTTTAAAAAATATATCTATTACATATTTTGTTATTCCTTATTTAAGCTGCATAGTGACGCCACTGGAGTACAGTGATACGTTGTGGGATTTGTTTGTCTGCTGTCAACGTAGAGTACAAATAATGTCATTATTAAAGCCATTGCATCACTGTTTCTAAGGCACTTTGAAAAGCAAAGCTTTGAGGCAAAGTACTCTCTTGCAATTGTTAGTTCCTTAAGAAAGGAAGCCACATCCATTGCATGTTCCCTCACACTTGCAAAATACTTTACACCAGCTGTGTACATAGAGATTCCCCAACTAGAAGACAGAATTTGGCAAATTTTATCACCAAATAGAAGACATATGGCTGCCTTTTTTCTTCCAGCGCTTACTGTGATAATAGTGAGGCATTAATTGGGAAATAATGAATTGCAATGGATTCTGCTGTATCCTTATGTGGAACTACACAATCTATTATAAGAATAGTAGTTTGTAAATCCTTATTGATAGAAGGAAAAGGATGTGCAGGGTTAAATGAAAGCATTTCTAATTTTGTACAAACTTGGAGGCCTAGTCCTGAAATCTTATCTAAAGCAAAACTCCCCTTGAGTATAGCAGGAGTTTAATCTGGGTACAGAATTCAGAACTGGGCTGTTTGATGTTGTTGCTGTTTACTGTGTGTTCATTAAATATATGGGTCTGTTTGAAAGATTTTGGTTCTCTGTCTCATAAAGGAAATGTGAAATATGTTGTACATGTCTGTCCAAAGAAGATAGGTCAGATGTTACTCTGTTGTGCTGTTTACTTCTGTCTATTTTGTTTTATTTTCCTATTACTGATGCTATCCAGAGATACAAAATTTTAAATTTTTTTGTCCCAAATGTATTAATATTATCCAAAGCCAAAGGGCAGCACTTTCCCAGAGGCACTAATTCATTGGCACTTTTTTACATTGAATCATAGCCTTTTAAATAATACTGGTTTTCAGATGAGACAAGTCAGGCAATATTTATTCATTCAGACCCTGGATAACTATTTTTTTATAAATCTCTTACAAAAATGTAAACATCCTGAATTTGTCTCTGTAACATTGGACAAATAGTGTCCCCTCAGAATGATTAAGCTTTTAATTTTAGGGTTGTTTCTGATTTGAAAGGTAAGATCCAGAAAGTATTGTCAAAATCATATATAAGAATGCACACAAAAGTGTGTGACTTCTATTACAACATTACTGTTACTGCATTTTCTGCACTGGTACACACCAAAAGTATTCCTTAAAATTTCCTGACCAAGCCTTCCTCTAGTGTAGAATTTTGAATTATTTGTACTACATCAGGAACATAGTTTCCTTGGACCACAAGGGGAAGAGCATGTTGGAGAAGTGTGTGATCAGAAAATTATAGTAATTTTTCTTTTTTTCTTTTCTTTTCCCCCTTTTTAAATTTTTTTTTAACTTATAGTCTGGAGGACAAGATCAAGAGAGGAAGAAATCAAAACGTAGAGGGGATTTGTACTCCATACAAACATCCTTGATTGTGGCTGCACTTAAAAAGATGCTTCCTATTGGTTTGAATATGTGCACTCCTGGAGACCAAGAGCTTATCTCCTTGGCTAAGACTAGATACAGCCATGTAAGTGTGTGCTTTTAATAGATTTTAATGCACAAATAAGAAGAACTTTCTAAAATTAATTTTGAAGCACAGAAATATAAGCAGTCAATAGTATTGAATATCTGTATGTAGTGTAAGAAATTATAGCTGCTAATTATTGTGCTTTTTAAAAAAAAATGTGTATATGGAGGTGCATACTTTCCCTGTTATTTTCCATTTGTATACCATGTGCAGTTCTTTATATTGATGTTCTTTTGCACCAAATACTGAACTACAATTAGCTTTAATTCCCTTCAAAGTTTAACCCTTGTTTTATGGCTAAAAAAAGCCTTTGCCTCTTCTGGTATCTTACATTCTCTGAAAGCAAAAGAGGTTAAATTTCAATACTGAAATATAAGCTGTTCTATGTTGTAAAAGTTCTTGTGAAATGAATCATAATCTGAATTGAAAAATTCTTCTACCATTTTACAGAGGGACACAGATGAGGAAGTCAAAGAACACCTACGCAACAACTTACACTTGCAGGAAAAGGTAATATAAAAAAATCTGTCTTATAGATGCTGATGTGCACTTCCAAAACACAGAAGGTGCAACAGTTTTTTATTGTGATACATTAAAAAAGATAATTCAAAAAGCTATTAGAAAGGTTTCAATTTTAAAATTATTCTTTCTGATATTTCATTGCAATAAATGCTGGATTTGTAACTTTGTTTGGTATATTCAAATTTCTGGAAGATCTGTAGAATGGGACAAGTGTGAAGAACTGAGATACTGGTAGTCTTAAAGCTCTAATTATTTAGAATCAACTTGATCCAAGAAGAAAATAAAATTGAAACTCTACTACTTCAGCTTTTCTTCTTGGATCTAGCTTTCACTAATGATTAAATTAGGTTTCTAAAAATATATGCATTTAAAGGGCTATAACAAAATACGAAAAGGTTGTGTCATCTTAGCACTTGTGAGTTGTGCAAGTACATTTCTATTCCTACAATTCACACACTGTCAAAGGTAATACCAGTATGGAGTCCTCATCAATCTGTAAATTAAAAATAATTGCCTACAGTGTTCGAACACAGTAAGTGTAACTTTCTTATCTGTCATGGAAGTTGACTGTGTATTTGCTATAAATTTGTGCTTGCATACATTAAAATGAACACAGAAAGTAATTTAATGTGGTTTTCCTATTTCTGTCTTGCAAGGGAAAAAAAATCCCAAAAACTTTGGCTATAACTTTTCACCTACTGAAACTCCAGCTGTCTTTTCCAGACGCCAAAAAAGAGCTTTACATTCTCAGTACAAAGGCTCGGCAAATTAAACTCAATCCTAATACTAAATCTGCTTCCTTATTTTTAATGGAGTTAAGAGGAATAAATAAATTGCAAGGTTCTTTATTTGGTTTCATGAAATAAAAATACAGAACTTTGCTTAGGAATTGAGTTCAATTGCCCAATTATATAGAATCAATGCCATTTTTCGAGCAGCTTGCAGATGCTAATTTGGTCTGAAAGGGGACTGAAATTGGGAGTATTTATAAGCTTCTTTCTTATACTATGGAAAGAGAATTGGTGTTGGTCAAATTCAGTGCCTTCATTCAGCATCTTACAAATGAAATATATTGGGTTTCAGTCTGATGATCCAGCTGTGAAATGGCAGCTAAATCTGTACAAAGACATTTTAAAGAGTGATGGACCTACTGACCCTGAGAAAAATGTGGAACGTGTGCAGAGGATATCAGCTGCTCTGTATCATCTGGAGCAGGTAAAAAGTCAAATGTCTATACTGTGTTTATTTTTGAAAAACAGATTTTTCCTTGCAGAGATTATTTCAGGTATAATGACTGTCACCATTAAAGTGTCCAGATAAAGCTTAGGTTTTGTACATGTGTGCATGCAAGTACCCATGCACATACAGATGTATATATATGAAAGTTGTCAATGTAATCTGTTGAAGTGCCTCCATTTAGCTCCTGGGAAATCTCAGGATATATTTCTGCAAAACTGCATGAACAGCCATATGAAGTATAGCATGCAAATTATCTCCATGCTGTAGCTGAAAACCACATGATTTTAGGAGGAGGTGTTTCCTTGTGCACTCATTTTTAATATACTGAGTGTAGCCTGTCTCTTATTTCTTCCTCATAGGGTGCTGTAGCAACTTTTAAGTTGCTTGCCTGTTCATCCAATTGATGCAATTTAAATAAAGGCATTTGTGCTCTTCCTACATAAAGTTAATCCATTCCATTCACAAATGATATAGCACAGAAATACATGAACAACTGAATATGCATTGTTAGAAACATACAAAATAACAATTTTTGAAATTTACCAAGTAATCACACACGTGACATTTTCTAGCATCTTGAATATTCTTGTCTGAATAAATGGAGAGATTTATATATAGAAGATCCCTAGTATTTTTCCTTATTAATAAAAAAACATAAAGCCCCAAAAGAACATGTTTTTCAGATGATGCAAAGCATTGGTAACATTTTCTACTTTACTAACTAGGTAACCACTAGCTGTAGAAAAAACTTTTCTATGGAAGTTGAAAAGTTTCCATTGCATATACTAGAAGATATTTTCCCATAGGTTGAACAACCACTGAGATCAAAAAAAGCTGTTTGGCACAAACTCCTGTCAAAACAACGCAAAAGGGCTGTTGTTGCATGTTTCAGAATGGCACCATTATATAACCTGCCAAGGTAAGTGGCTGAAAGGTTTATTTCTTCATAACATTTGTTTGCATTGTTTACTGAGTACAAATACTGCTTGTGTGTTTACTTATGTGTTTGCTGATTGTTAGGTGTATGTAATTTTAAGAGACAAGAATTGACTAGTCATTGGCTGATTTTCACAGTAGCAAAATAGGCATCTCTTGGCAAATCACCTGAGTGGGAAAACACCATAAGAATTACAGCTTCATTTTTGTCAGTTATTCTGTATAGTTCCTCAATTCATCTGTGAAAAACATTAAGATGTTGCTATTTCTGTCCATTTTTTTGTCTGATTTGTTGTTCTGTTTACTCTTTATTCTCCTGTGGGTTTTTGTTTTGGTTTGGTTTGGTTTTTTTGTCATTTGTTTGTTTGTTTGGGGTTTTTTTGGTTTTTTTTTGATTTTGTATGGCTCTTCCTCTCCTCTTGCATGAACACTTCATGCTCTGTAGCTTGTCTGGGCCAATCTTAAGCTACTACATTAGAATATTACATGAATTAAAGCAACTATTGAGGCAGAGCAGTGCAGAAAGCACTGCAGAATGATATTTTTAGACTTCTGTGTTGCTCTGCTTCTTATTCCAGTTGAATGTAGATACCACAAAGTCCAAAATAAAATGCATCCTGTACCTGGATCCATCTACTGCTTTAAGCAGAGTAATAAGATCATATGGCACTAGAGTAACTTCCTTTACTCTGTTTCTTCTCAAAAAATCTGAGTTTTATTCAGATAGAGGTTAACCATATGTTTAATTAGGTTTGCTTCTCTCCTTCTGCAACTTTTCACTTTTTTTGTTTAATATTATTCAAAGATTTCTGGCAAAGTATTTAACTGAAGGGTTGTGTTGGATTCTTAAATGTGTTTATTAAAGCAAATTTCCTCACTTGGTGTACAGGTCTTTAGCTAAAGGTCTGTAGCTGTGCCACTAACACACTGGAAGTATATTAGTTTTGTACAAGACAAATAAAAAAAAGTTTATACACCATAAAAAGCACACAACCTTCACAACCTTCCTTTACAAAAATAAGTAGTTCTAGACTATAGTAACTTCTCCAAGTCATTATGCTACCACCAGGCAATCTTTAAAGAACCCAAAAATGGAGAGGATTAAGTACAACATAACAAACCCTTCCATCTGCATGTCTGGCAAAACAAGAGGAAGTGGCATGAAGAAATACCATTTCGGTACAACCTTTTTGTGAGCAATTTTTTTCTCCACAACTGTATTCTGCATTTGTAAATTCTTAAAATATTTAGAATAAATGCATGACCACCCAAATGTTAAAAAGGCTCATGCTTTTTTTTTGCCTTACAAAGCACCCACTTTTATTTATTATATTTGAGGTTAACAGAATGCTTGCCAAGAGGCAGAGTGGGTAATGAATCTTTAAATTCTTGATTTTTAAATTTTCAATAAAATATGGAATAATACCATATTGAAATGGAAAATTTACATTAGCTGTATTTTTTTTAATGTTTTTATGTTAAAAACTTTTCTTGAGCTTTTTCTTCTCAAATTTTATGGTAGGTTTTGTGGAGCAGTTTACTCCTGATTTGAATATGAATATGAGGCAAATCTACCCAGATGTTTCATTTTTTAGTTGCTAAAAATGAACTCTCATAAAACTATTTTTGTCAATTAATTATGTTCTCTGCATTTCAAAACAGACAAGAGTGAAAACACTCTAAACTTAAAATCCTAAACTTGTGGAAAAGTTTGGGTTGGAATGGACTTTTAAAGGTCGTCTATTCCAACCCTGCTGCCATGAGCAAACTTCTAGGTATATTGCTCAATTGACAGGTTTAAACCAAAGTTTTAAAGTTCACTAGCTTATAGACACTTTTTCTTCCTAGCTAAATCATAGGATCCTGACAGGAAAATAAGGCTATCACACTATTATAACAATCTGCATCATCTAAATTGACACTGTTGCTCAGACATGCCTGAACCCTAGGGAGATTATTTCAAGTGGTTTATGATTTATTCTAGGAGCTATTTAAATCTCTTTGATCCAGAGTTTGAAATTAGCTATCTTGTCTATTTCTTCATTTTAGTTGCAGCTTTGTATTGGGAGTGTTAGTTCTTACTTTGATGCTAGAATCAATTAATTTAAAGGGTAGTAAACAAATATTATGGTATTAACCTTTCATTTATCCTAGAAAAGATAAATCTTCAGCAAATAATAAGCTTACTCTTTTGAAAATTTTCCAGATGTGGAGGTGGCTTTCAGCATAGTTTAGTTTTAATCTCAGAGTTTAAGATGATTTTCTGCAAAACTCACTCTAATGTCTATCAGTTTTTAGGAATTTCAGTAAGATATTTCAGGAACGGACATCTCTGCTAATATGAACAGAGATGTTTGTTAAATCACCAAAAAATTACTTTAACTTCTACCACAAATATTCCAAGAACTCCTTTTGATGAAAAGTCCCCAAAACAAATAGCTATATTTTTTTTTTTTTTAGAATTGTATTTTTGAAAGAATTAAACATCAGTCAACTTAGGAAGTACTAATTCTTCATGTTCTGTGTTTATTGAATGTACATGGCTTTGAAAAAGTATCCTATGTGACGTTTTCTCTGGAATGTGTCTATGTTTGATGTTTTAAGGAAATTAATTTGAAAAAACTTTTGTCTTATTGTCCGTCATCTGTATATGCACATAGATACAGCAAAATTGTACATGGCAATTTTTCAAGCACAGTTTACAATACATTCTTTCTGACTACTTTATTGAATTTAACTTGTGCCTTTCTTCAATGAAAACCTATATGCTTTTCTTCAGACACAAAATTAGCAATTTCTTCCTGAGCACCTTTCAACGTGTTTGGCTGGAAAAAGTACATGAAAAAACTCAGTATGACAGGCTTATACTCAAGTTAACGGTAATGTAACTTGTGGAGAGCCTCTTGCTTATGCGCCCACTTCTTCCTTCCCAGCCATGATTTGATATTATCATAAAAACATGAATTTGTACAATTTTCAGAGGGGATTCTGATTGGTCAGTTTTTGAAATTTGATAATAAAACAGCATCAGTGCCAGCAAGTGAGCCTAAAATGTTGACTCAACAGTTATTCCACTACAAAATACTTATTTGTGTGCATAGTGTATTTAAAAGGTATTTATTGGTGTATATGCAGTGCATTTTTATAGCTTTTTTTTGGTGGCAATAAATGAAAGTGCTGCATAGGACAGCCTTTCTAACCTCATGTAGTGCAACTCAGAAAAAATTTTCTCCCCAAATAACGTGACGATGAAATTATTTTCCCATTATTATGTGTAGTCTTATTGCCATAGTTATATTTTCTGTGGAAAGTTAAATTAATGATTAGTATACAGTAGCATTTAATATGACTTAGAGTTTTCTAATATTGGTAATTTTGTAGAGCAGGTATTTTATATTTCTAACGCAATTTCTTTGAGGACATGCTAATACTGCCCTGATTTGGAACTGGAAGACAAGAAGCTGAGGTTAGGCTTCTTTCTGTGGAAGAAGGCAATGATTTTCTGTAGATATTATGCTGGAAAGCACTTGATAGTTATTTTGGTGTTGATGGCCAGTGTCTGCTGTCTTGATGTTCTAAATCTAGTAATTTGGATTTACACCTTGTAGATGTAAACGTCACTCACTCATTCTCAGTCTGTTCCAGTGTGTGTTTTTCTCATGATTGCATTAAGGTATCAGTCCTGCAGTTTCATGTACAATGTATTTTAGATGTCTCTTAGCCTTCAAAATAAAAAGTAATGTATACATATGTGTATAAAATCAGTAAGAATGTTCAAAACTGCCTGCAGATTTGTTACTGACTGTTGGTTATGGTTTGCATTTTGTTCACTGACCAATCAGAGGATCAGAATTGTACAAATATGTATCCTTACTAACCATTAACCATCTGAGCTGTTATACTCTGTTCCGTTACCCCTCTTGATCTCACTTTCACAACCCCCCCAGGCACCGTTCTATTAACCTCTTCCTCAATGGCTATCAGAACTTTTGGATAGAAACAGAGGAATATTCATTTGAGGAGAAACTAGTTCAGGATTTGGCTGTAAGTACTGACATAACTGGGCATATATTTCAATGCCCACTTCAGTGTGTATTCTATGTATCTATAATAAACTATTTTTAATTTTTGTGTACTGTATGCATAAACTTATATTAATCCTTATGCTTCACAGCATAAGGTAATTTTCTGCTGTGGTCAAAAGGACTATGTTCTTTGATGCGCACTGAAGTGCATTAAGATGATCTATGCCTTCAAGTGAGCTACATGACACTTATTCTTGGGAAAAGAAATGGATTAGATGAACAGTCAGACTATTTTTGTCATTATGGTAATTCCTATGTTTGTATATATTATTTACTGGGGTTTTTTTTTGAAGCTTGATACTACTGATCCTTTTCTCTTTTAATTTTTTTTATTGCATAAATAATTTTAACATTTTCAGCTTTGATACAAATTACTTTTGCTGTTTTCCTTTTTGATGCATCATAAGGACAAATAAATATATGCAGCCATATTCAGCAAAATGTAGTTTACTGGTGTACTTGATAAAAGTGATTGGTAAACTCCAGGATTTTGGTAATGAACATCAATTCAGAATGCCTGCTGCTCTTTCTCTTCCCTCTATGTAGTTAGCTAGTCAAAAATATCTCCAAGGACCTTATCTCTACAGTCTTTAAACACCATGAAAGTTAACATACAGCTTCATGGATCACATACAGATGCATCAGGAAGTGTTATACCTGATATTGTACAGGTATAGAGTGGTTTGGGTTGGAAGGGATCATCTAGTTCCAAACCCCTGCCATGGGTAGGGACATTCTTCACATGCTCTGAACAATTACATGGTCAGTCTTTCTTTGACTTTGTTGCTTCTTGCTAAAGGAAAGAATAAGGCCATTAATCAAAGCAGTGCCTGCAATTCTTTCTGATTTCCTAGATAAGTAAATTGAACTTCTCTAATTACAATAATTACTGTAACTATAATAAATCTACAATAACTAGTAACTGTACAAAAGTGTGGTAACACAAGTAAGGTAAGGGTAATAATTTGATCTTTGGCCAGTTCTACTATGCTATATTTTTAATTGCCAAAAAATATTTGTTTACAATAATGAGAATTAATTGAACCAAGGTTGCTTAGAAATGATATATGAAAAGATTTTAGCTAATACTAGTCTGAATAGGATATATGTGATGATGTTGTTATAAATTATTCCAGTATTCTACTACAAAATAATTGAGCTAGAACTTCCTTTCAATTCGGGTCAACTGGAGATGCATGACTTCTCTTCAATAAGGCTTCCCCAAGATTTTCCCTGTCTCATTCGCAATACCTGGTAATGGAGAAAATTCTAAAGTTACAAAAAATCATGAATAAAAAACATATACTCTTATCTCTTCTAAGTCATAAAGGCCCATAATGTTGCAGGTTATTCTGTAAACTCCTGAATAATATTAATATGGGCAGCTAATACAAATTGGATAGAATAAAATTACTGAAATCCTTTCCTAAGCTTAATTACTGGATTATTTTCTTACTTATGAAGCTTAACTTTTATATTCTAAATCTTGAGACAGACATCTTCAAAAAAAGAAGAAGAGGAGGAAGAAGAGACTGAGAAAAACCATCCTGATCCACTTCATCAGATTATCCTCTATTTTAGTCGCAGTGCTCTTACAGAGAGAAGGTAAAAGAGCTGTGTGGAATAGCCCATTGAGTGAAAGCACACAGTAACTGAATTTTTAGTAACATTACCAAAGTTATTTAACACAAGGGTAGTTCATTATTGTACATGGTGAATACCTTTTCCCCTCTCAGTTTCATTAAAGTTTTCATATATTTGAACTCAGTAGAACCTTTACATTGAGATATAAATATTGACTATTCTGGACATTTTAAAAGCTTGGTAAATACCCAATGCAGAAATTATTAAGCATGACTTCTCATGAAAACACAAATTCTAAAGGATATGCAGGTTTAATCAGAGCACCTTTCCCTGGTCTCTCCTGGTAATAGATGTGTGTTCTTGGTTTTCGTATTCATTACATTTCACTCAGTAAGTCAGAAAAGGTTTTGTTGATGTCTATGAATCTCATTGCCAGTTTCTGTTTTGACTGATTAGAATGATTAGCTTTTTATGATAAAATCTTGCCATCTGACAGTAATAATTATTCTATGTTTCCATATTACTTTTCTGCACCTTCAACAGCCAGTGATGACCCAACATGACTAAGTGGAATGCACATATATACCTTTAAATTGTCTGAGTAAAAATTTAGATATTTGGATTTAGATAAGAGAAGTCATTCAGTACACAATTTTCAAGTTTAATAGCTTTTCAAGTAGACTACTTTAATAAAATACCCTTTAATAAAAAAGGTAGGCATATAAAATCTTTATATTACATCATAAAATAATTTAAAACATTTTTTTACTCTTCACAGCAATCTAGGACATGATCCGCTATATATTGCCTATTCTGCCATGATGGCAAAAGTAAGTACATAATTTCAAGCTCCATCCCTCACTTCCCATTAATTTTAGATGCTTCTTAAAAATTTTCTGTTTCTTACATGGACTACTTGACACTAGTAACTTCTGTATTTTTAATGAAGCAAATGCTGTTCAGAGTTATACATATATGTATATAATGAGAAATTTCCTTTGTTAAAACAACACTATAAAATTTCAGTGCAGGTGCAGTCCTGTTCCTTTCACTTGACACTTCTATTTGCATATCATTAATTCATGAGCAGTTTAAACCCATTAGTTATCTTTATTCTTTGGGTAATTATTTTTGGTTTAATACTTGAAGTCTGTCAAAGATAAGTAAACTTTTGCAATATATTGATTACAGCTAATTTGTGTTGAAAGCATGACTGTGAAGAGAAAGATGGATCTAGAGATGTGGCGCATGATTATATAGCCTGCAATTACAGGGCGTGTATGTAGTTGGATGAATACCCTGAAATACTCACACATTAGGGAATATCAGCTTCTTAGTGTGGATAAGTACAAATATTTACAATTAAGGTTTTAAAAATCTTCTTAATACCTTTAATAATTGCTTGAAAAAATATTTGGCAATTTTTGTAGAAATACTACAGCAAAAGTAATCATATGTTTTTTAATAAGCAAGATCTTGTGATTTCTGTTTTTAACATCAAAAGAGCTGTCAGGAAGAAGAAGAGGGAGATGAAGAAAAAGAAAAGACATTTGAGGTGAGAGTTTAAATAACATTTATTTCTCATACTCTAATGTGGAACCACTTTAAATATGTCCACTAGAACAAATGCAAAAATAGCATAACACATTGTGTGTTGAACACAGTGACCTGGTTTACTAGGTTATTCATATGAAAGAAAGATGGGGTGTTTTGAAGCTTTGGAGTCAAACAACCCATGGATTTTGGAGGCAGATGGTCTTCAACAACTTCAGATTTCTCATCTTCCTATTTTTCCTGGATCCATTCCAATCTGTAGTCTATTTTCATTTTGTTCCCAAACCCAGGAGAAAGAAATGGAAAAGCAGAGAACTCTTTATCAGCAAGCTCGCTTGCATGATCGTGGAGCTGCTGAGATGGTCCTTCAGATGATTAGTGCAAGCAAAGGTAATGCTCTAGGATATCTTTGAAGTACACACAGGTGTGTTATGTCATTATACCTATCATGTATAGGTGTATATATGATATGATATCATCTATCATAAAGTTTATCATACAACACTTAATGAGGCAAAATAAATGTCAGTAACAACTGCACTAAGTAAAATTTCCAGACTGCATTTCTGATTGAAGAGCTCACAACTACAAGTTTTAAGGAGTGTATCCTTGTTTTAACAGGTCGTACAGGACCCATGGTTGTTGAAACACTGAAACTTGGTATTGCTATTCTAAATGGTGGAAACACCATAGTCCAACAGGTAATGCATTTCTAACTTCTGTGAGTCTTGCTTGCATACATGACTTGAGAAATTTTGAGACTTTTAGTGTCCTGTTGTTTAAGTTAATGTACTTAATTTTAAGCCAAACAGTGATGAAATATCAGTGTATTTTTGGTGCAAGAGCAATTATATTATTTTTTGCTAGTGATTTGCATTTCAAGGAACTAATTCAGGAACTTTTGAATTAATATATTTCAATAACATTAATTAATGGTACTTATTACCTTTACTATTTTATTTTAGTTTATAAATATTAATTAATAATTAATTGCTAGTTATTTTTTATTGCATATATTGTTAATGTTGTATTTTTCCCTTCAAAAATCTACAACATGTAGAAAATGCTAGACTACCTGAAGGAGAAAAAGGATGCTGGATTTTTTCAAAGCCTCTCTGGCTTGATGCAGTCCTGCAGGTAAAACCATAAATTGCATTATTACAGGTTCTGTTTATTCATATTCACTGGCTTATTGCTCAGTGCAAGTGGATGTGCTAGATTTAAATTACAGGAGTTGCAGGTTGTAGAACTCTTGTGGGAAAGTTTTGTGAATCACAGGAACAGTCTGATAATCTTTTAGAGTATTCTTCCAAATGACAAAATAAAGCAAAAGACTGCACATGCCTTTGAAGACTTAGTTTGAAGAGGCAGAAAAGTAAAATATAATGGCTCCTTTACTGACCCTAAATCCCTCAAGGTTTTTGTCTGGTAGGTTCCAAGGATGGAGAAGAGTCACCACTAAGGGAGAGGCAGGCCACTGGAACTTTCACTAAGCTTTCAGTTTCTGCACATTTCTGGCGAGTTGCATAATCTATGTCTCCTGAATCCTCTGCATATGTATCAGGCTTTTTAGAGTTGCCATGTGACCAGTGAGACTATAGTAGTCCATTCCCCTGATAAAACAGTTCAAATTAGTTAAGGTAAAGGACTCTCATACAGAAGATGGAAAATTGCTGGTGTTTTTGATTACTCTTACAGTAGACAACCTCCTTTTCTCAGCCTTTTAAAGAACCAGAAGGGTTCTGAAGGAGTACACTGCAAATTACAAGAGGAGGAGCTGTATGAATAGAGGATAAAAAGTAGAAGGAACTGTGACCTGTATTGCAGAACTTATTGTTGAATAGTTGCAGCCTAATTAAATAATATCTGCCTTGTAATTTTTTCATCTATGTAGAACACTTTAGCAGGGATTTCCTCAAACAGGCCTTGCTGTGATATTATTACTAATAGTGTATATATATTGTTCAGGACTTCATTAAAAGAGATATTGATAGAATTACTTGAACATGATAAGAAAATGGAAATGATGCTTTAAGAAATGTTTTTGGTTTTAATGATGTGTGAGAGAGAAACAATGGCAGTAGTCTCCTTTGGTGGTAGGTTTAAATCACCATGAAGAGTAGTATTTCAGGTTCCTTTTCCCTCCTTATTTGTACTGAAACTATGAATGTCATTCTCAGCAGTGAGACATTACCTGAGATTCATTTCTTGTCAGAAGTGGACACTGGACCTTGAGTTGCATCCAAAGCCCATTTATTTAATACGAGTATAAAATAAAATGAGGCAATGCATGTCATAGTGGGCCAAGAGTAGTTGTTGAAGGCCTCTAGAAATTTTGTTGAAGAAAATTATTTTCCATTTCTTACTATAGTCCTTTTTCCTGTTTGTGCTGTTTTCTTTAAATATAAGTGTTCTTGACTTGAATGCGTTTGAGAGACAGAATAAAGCAGAAGGCCTGGGAATGGTTACTGAAGAAGGAACTCGTAAGTAGAATGAAATTTATTCCAGTGGTGCTTCAAACATTATTTCTTTAACTAGAACTGTTGTTTACTGTGGCTTGAGGTTTCTGTTGTTAAATGTACTGTAAGTAAATCTAGGTCTGGGTTCTGAATATGCCTTTTTTTTTACAATATCTTTAGCAATAATTTTTAAGAAAAATATTGTAACTTCCAATATTCTTATCTTGTATTCTTGTTATTTTTCTTTGATCCACAGTCATCGTTCGTGAGCGTGGTATGTTTGGGTTTACAGTTTTTGATACTATTGTTGCAAAACTGTGTTGCAAATACAGAGAGAAATCTCTCATTGCATCTTCTCAGATATCTTTAGGTTTAGCTTTATGGTCTGCAGCAGGTTGTGTGTTTAGCTTGAATAAAGAGTTTGATGCTTATTAAAGAAGTGTCACTCATATTTAAGGCATGATTTTAGTTATGACTAACAACTTATTAGATATATATCCTGTTGCCTTTTTTTTTCAAATTAGTGTTGTTTTTTTAACCATGGATGCATTGGAGTGCTAAATACTTTTGGCTCTGCTTTTTCTGTCTCAGTTTTTCTTTTCATTATTATCAGTCTGTTTCTTTTAAATTGCTTTAATGCTTTTAAATACCAGTTCTTTTATTAAAATTCCAGTTTAAAAGGTTACTGTAGGATATATGTTCTGCATAATTAGTCATAACAATTGTCACATAATCACTGTATTTATATATTTTAAAGGTGAAAAAGTCTTGCAGCATGATGAATTTACTCGAGATCTATTTAGATTTTTACAACTTCTCTGTGAAGGGCATAACAATGGTAAGAGAACTGAATTAATTTTGTAGAAAATTTGTGATGAGTCTGCTCTAAACAGAGTGAAATAGAACAAATACTGATGCTTTTCTCTAATGCATTAAGTTTTTTGAGGGGAAACTGGCATGACAACAATTTGAACTTTGGAGTTCAATTTGATTTTTTAGATCTTAATTTAGTTATGGTATTTAGCTTATTAGTAGTAAAGCCTGTTCCAAGTCACCTGGATAACAATTCTTCAGTTATATATACATTGGATCTAAAGTTCAACTTGTATGACATAAGCATCTGTATCCAACAATATACTTAAAAAGAAGGCATTCCTCCTGAAAATAGAAAAATAATGTTGTATTTTTTTCCTTTGTATACTAACCAAGCACAAATCACTTCTTATTTCAGATTTTCAAAATTACTTACGTACTCAGATGGGCAACACCACAACAGTGAATATTATCATTAGTACTGTTGACTATCTCTTGCGTCTTCAGGTGAGGAAAAAACAGATGAAAATGGAGTATAACATATTGGCTTTCCTTCACTTCCATAGATTCACATTTTGTTGGAATCAAACATGAAAATTCTCTCTAAAGGGATACCTAAAATGAAGAGTTTTTATTTATTTCATATCTTTTTTCCTTTGAAAACAGATGACATTTCAGAATTCTGTGTGAAATCAGATGTTTGATAATGGATTTCATTGTTTGCTTCTGAAGAGAGTGCAAAATATTATTATAATGAGAAATAGATTGACACAGATATGCTAAATTTCATCTGAATTATTGATTCAAGTTTTGTTGATATAAATGCAGGCAGTAAATACTGCACAGAGAATCCAAAACTTGAAAATGTAACATTGTTTTTTTCTTAGGAATCGATCAGTGACTTCTATTGGTACTATTCAGGAAAGGATGTCATTGATGAATCAGGACAACGTAACTTTTCTAAAGCTTTGGCTGTCACCAAACAAATATTCAATTCTCTTACAGAATATATCCAGGTAAACAGAATGTGTTTCTCAAGGTACTAACAGAGAAGTTCCATGCTCACACAGCATGATCATGTTCTTTTGTCAATTTATAAATGCTTTGCACTTGCTTTTTTAAAATTTTGATGAAGTTACACGGAATCACTGTAAAGTGAAAACTAAAACATGCAAACAGCTACATATTTAACAGGATACAATTTGGTATTTGTGCACTAGATACCCAGAGGTCTTTGAAAACCTTCTCATGTAGCTTCATGGCTGCCTGAGACTTCTTTTTGAAAAGATTTGTTTTGGTTTATTTGACATAAATAAAAAATGTGTTTTTCTTTATTTTTAGGGCCCTTGCATAGGTAATCAACAGAGTCTGGCTCATAGTAGGCTGTGGGATGCAGTTGTTGGCTTTCTTCATGTGTTTGCCAATATGCAGATGAAACTTTCACAGGTATTTTCAACATTGTCCCTGTGCACTCACCTTCGCTAAAACCAAACTTGACACTTACAGTTCAATTATACCTTTCTGATAATGAATGTGGCAGTTTGGTCCCTTTCTCCCTCTTGCCAAAACCAGAGGATCTGTCAGAGCAGAAACATCATTAAAAGCACAGCTCCCATGCTGAACATAAGTGGGCCAAGAGAAAAGCTGAGAAAGATCCAAACAGGGAGGCAGTGTGGTATTTGGTCACTTATCCAGCTAATTAAAGACACTGAGCATGGGGGCACAGGCAGTGTTCATTTCACTGTACAGAGCACAGTGGAGTCCCACTCCACAGTGTCAGGATTCTGTCTTCTGTGACTTCTGCTTAATGTATCCATACACTCAAGCTCTGCACTGAATGCAACAGTGCAGAGAGTAATTTCCTTTCTTTTTCAGTGTCTCTGCTATCCTCTGGCTTACAAGATTTCTTCCCACCCTATAGAAGTATATCAGAATTTTGAGAATAGTATTTAAGGCCTTAATGTCAAACACAAATCTACATTAGACTTATAATGTTCTGTAATTAAACTAAACACTTTGAGTGGTAATGCATTATGCTATTAAATATTGCCAGTGAAGTGAAAAAGGATGGATTTTTCTGAGACAGATACTTTCATATCTGTGTAGCAACCAATTTTCTTTGTTTGTTTGTTTCTGCTGTTCCTTACCTGCACCTTGGTACTCCTTAATGTTTTATTAAAGCTTAACTTTATGGTGTTAATACCTCTGCTACAGTAAGTTACATGTTGTATTAAACTTCTGATAGCAATCATAATAAAATGACAATGAAATGTTGCTGAATAATGTGAATGAAGTTTAGCTGATCATCTTTAATACCATTTCTCTCTAAAATTATTTAGTTTTCCATATAAATACAAATTTAAAACAATCTGACAGTTGTTTTGTTTTTTGTTAATAGGATTCTGCTCAGATTGAATTGCTTAAGGAACTTCTAGATCTTCTAAAGGATATGGTAGTGATGCTCTTGTCACTGCTCGAAGGTTGGACCTTTTTTTCTTTATGGTCAAATATGATTATCTCACCTTCCTCGTGTAAAGCACAATTATTATGTTTATCTCTCTAAACTGCTTTTTAATTGCTTTTATGTAATTTTGGGCGAAAAAGACATTCTTCATATTAATTTAAGAATTATTCTGGAATATACAGAGTGCTGAAATAGAGGGCTGCTAGAGAAAAGCATGTTGGAAGAAAAAATACTATTTAGATACAAATATTTTTGTTCTGTTTTCAGCACAAATATGAAATTTCATTATTTAAAATGTAGCTGTCAAATAACTTTCTATTATAACACATTATTTAGGTAACGTTGTAAATGGAACTATTGGAAAACAAATGGTGGACACGCTTGTAGAATCATCTAGCAATGTAGAAATGATTTTGAAGTTCTTTGACATGTTCCTGAAGTTAAAAGATCTGACTAATTCAGATGCTTTCAAAGAGTATGATCCAGATGGTAAAGGAATCATTTCCAAGAAGGAATTTCAGAAATCAATGGAGGCTCAAAAACAATATATACAGTCAGAGATTGAATTCCTGCTGTCCTGTACAGAAGCTGATGAAAATGACATGTTTAATTATGTTGACTTTGTGGAAAGATTCCATGAACCAGCCAAAGACATTGGATTTAATGTAGTAGTATTGCTAACAAACCTTTCAGAGCACATGCCTAATGATCCACGCCTTCAGAGCTTACTTGAGCCTGCAGAAAGTGTTCTTAATTACTTTGAACCATACCTTGGCCGTATTGAAATAATGGGTGGGGCCAAGAAAATAGAAAGAGTTTACTTTGAAATCAGTGAATCCAGTAGAATGCAGTGGGAGAAGCCACAGGTGAAGGAATCTAAAAGACAGTTCATATTTGATGTTGTAAATGAAGGTGGAGAGCAAGAAAAAATGGAACTCTTTGTGAATTTCTGTGAAGACACAATTTTTGAAATGCAGTTAGCATCCCAGATCTCTGAAACAGATTCATCTGAGAGGCCCGAAGAGGAGGAAGAGGCAGAGCCTGCTTATGTAGTGGATATTGGAGATGATGAGGAAGAAGAAAAGTCCCTGGAACCTGCTTCAGCTTTTGCAGTGGCCTGTGTTGCAGTGAAGAAGAATGTTTCCAACTTTTTGAAAATGGTGACTGTGAAGAACTTTAGGAAACAATACAGGAAAGTCAAAAAAATGACAATAAAAGAGATGGTGAAAGTGTTTTTCTCCTTTTTCTGGATCCTATTTGTAGGGACATTCCAAATGTTCTTCTCTATAGTGTGGGGGATATTCCAGATTCTTTGGAGCACCGTATTTGGGGGTGGCCTGGTTGAAGGAGCCAAAAACATAAAAGTTACAAAAATATTAGGGGATATGCCTGATCCAACACAGTTTGGAATCCATGATGATGTTATGGAAGCAGAAAAAGCTGAAGGTGCTGAGCATGGCATAAGAGCTGAACTTGCAGAGTTTGTGAAGAGTGAAAAGGGAGAAAGTGACATAATTGCAGACATTTTTGGCATTCCCACAAAGAAAGAAGGATCAAAACATGGTCATGATGCTGGACTTGGAGATATTGCAGAAATCCTTGGTACTGAGATCCAATCACCTTCGGAAAACACGGCTCAAAAGAAAAAAAGATTACAGGTAAATTAAAAATATTTTGTATTTCTTTAAAGATAATATTAACTATTATAATGACAATCATAAACTACTGAATGTTAATAACAGATTTATTTTATATTTAACTGATTAATATATATTATCAGTAAGAATGTACTTTATAATGTCTACACGTTTAAAGGCCAACAGGAAATTTCAGCCCAGTGTTTAGATTTCAATGCAGTAAATTTTTACTGTTCATTTGAACTTTATTCAAAACATAAACTGCTAGCAAATTTCTAGTCACAGGTTTTGCTTTAAATTATTTATAGTCTTGTTTATTCTGCATACCCCATTTTTTCATAGTATACTTCAAGAACATTTACAACTTCTTCTCTCCATAATAATGCCTTATCATTAACATCTTTCTCTATATGCTTTACATGCAATACAGTATCCCCTTTTTCCTATTATTTGAAACATATTTGCCTGAATTTATTGTCATTTTAATGTTTATAATATAATTATTCTTTACTCTTATTCCAGTTTATAGACAATATATTTTCTTCCACTCAGCTGGACTAAAGAGAATATTTTTCTGTTTAAAAATGGATAGAACTAAATGTCAAAACCAATCTATTTATCATATTTGGAAGGTATTATGTTTCACTTTACACCTCAGGTCTGTTTCTACCAATTATTCAAAAACATCTTTTCTCTCATCATTAACCAATCACTTTATGATATACTTTCCAGATATTTTCAAGGTAAATCTAAACTGTGCAACTTCTTAGAGCATTATTTTCTCTTAATTTGTAAGTTTTCCTTCAGATTCTGGTTCTTGCCTAAATTGAACTAATTTTCTTGCATTTATTTTTCTTGTTTGTTTATTAAATAATTTTTATGTGTGGATTTTAAAATTATAGTATATTAAAATCTTATCTCATCTAGCATAAATATAATGTGGTTGGTATTTAAAAATAACTATTTTAACACAACAATCTTGGTAGGTATAAGTAAACATGTTAGAATTTTCTTCAACAGTTAAAGTAATTATTCAGATCTGAATTAACACTTTAGAATATTCCTTGCTTTACTCTGAATTATACATTTTTTACCAATGTGTTTGATACTACTGATGCAAATGCTCTGTAATTTTTGCCAATATTTTGTGTCATTAATGTGAAGTTTGTTATGCAATTTATCCAGTTTTTACCTTTGATATGGTATGTAGTGAAACTTACCAAAGCAATGTTTGCACTAATTCTGTATTACAGGAATTGCTATTCATCTCACATTGTGTATATAAATGCTCACATAATCTAGTTAGAGGAGTGGATATAGAGAATAAGTGGAGCTCAAAGCAGAAACAGCAGTGTAAGGATCAGAAATTCCCTTCAGGAAGTTACTATGTCTTTCTTAGGCGTCTGCAATGATAAACTTCACACAAATGGATAGAAATAGAAAGGTCTATATTCTGGAAAAGTGTACTGATAAGGTCAGTGACATTTACCATATAGCCAGAGAAACTTCAAAATAACCTATGGAATCATATATGATGATGCCTTTGAGGGTTCACTTTTACTGTAAGGCTCTACAGGAATCTGAGAGTTACGTGGGTTCACAAATTAGAAAAGTAGCAGTGACAGAACAGTTTGCTGATAAATCTAATTAGTGGTAGCAATAAAATCAAGCACTAACTGTGAAGTTACCTTAAACTAACAGCTAAAAATCAGGGAAGTGATGAAGAACAGGAGGAAAATTATAACTTACCTGTAAAATGTTTCATTTTGATCTTATTGTTACTGTTCAAGTATGAAATCTTGGAAATGTAATTGAGTTGTACAACAATATCAGTTGAATGATGATATCAGTCAAGCAAACAGGAATTTTGAATTGTTGAGAAAGGAAGAGAGGAAGCCCCCATAGTATTATGCTCCATGAATCTTAATTTATCTATGTTTTGGAGACCAGGTTCCCTCAGTTCAAAAAGAGTGTGATAAAACTGGAAATAATGCAGTGAAGATCAATGAGTTGTTAAAACTTGATATGGAACAAATCTCACATATGGAATTAAGTAAGTTAAGGTTCTTCAGCTTGGAAAAGAGAAAATTGAGAGAGCATATATGGATAAGATCAATAAGGATTTGTTCATTCTTCTATCACTCCACCCCTTAGAAGAACCAGGCATCATCAAATGATCTCTCAAGTACCCTCCACCAGCTTGAGATCTTAGGGGAGATTCTTTGCCTATATCCTTTTCCCACGTACTTGTAAGAGATAGGCAGCCAGATGAGCAGTGGCAGAAACTTCAGATAAGTGTATATATGTGTTAACTGGAAATGTAGGACCAATAGACAAGTGCTGTCCAAGCACTTCAAGAGAATGCAGAAGAGGATTAAGAGTTAGGACAGGTTTTTGCAAAAGGGAATGGAGACAAAGTTCAGCCCTTTAGATTTCTTTCTGAGCCAGGGTCTGCATCTCTTGGACTTCCATTGAAGCTTAGATACTCAAACTACATTTGAAATGAGTTTACTTTGATCTTGTAGCACCAAGCCTAAAGGTGTTTGACATTCGGGCCCCAGCTTCTTTGCTGCAGTTAGCCACCTGTAAAATTGTGTATTGGTTTTTCCTTATCTCAAGGAAAAGCTGTAAACACACTTAAGAGTGTTGTGTGGTGTGCCAATAAGAGTTTAATGAACCATTAGCCCAGATAAGATAAACAGCTTGAAGAAAACATTGTGTAAGTAGAAGTTGTTTAAGTATTTGCCTGTTTTCAGTTGCATTACTTGATCACAGCCATGTAATTGGGTTTTATAATATCTGATAGTTACATAGATATTTTTTCATATTTTTGATAATAACATTAATATATTGTTTCTTACATACTGAACATTCTTATGTTCTCCTTATATATTGAACATTAATACATTCTTTATCCACTAAGTCTTTGTGGGTGACCTTAGTATCAGGATATGATCTGGATGTAGTTACCTTCATCCTCAGCTGGTCACATAATTTGCCTGATCACTGTGTATAATTAAGTTGTTCAGTCAACTGGACTAGTTAGAGTATTGATAACACTATACAGAAAAATTCTGCCTTTTTCACTGTTAAAATATAGCCTGAACTCCCTATCTTTAAAAAGCAAACACATTAAAAGTGCAAAGTGCTGCAAAAATATTATTAATTATTTTGTTTTTCTTAGAAGACAATAACTAAAGTTACAGAATTCTATTTGAATGGATAAATTTTGACAGTTAAAATACTTTTTGCAGATATCTGAAATTGCAAAAGAAGCTGGAACACAAAGAAAAGCAGAAGCTGAGAAGGCTGAGTAAGTTAATTTTACAAAATTCCTGTTTAACTCCTTGGTACTTCCTAATGCTAAATAATTTGGCCAAAAATAATGCAAGATATGCTCTGTATTCAAAGAATTTTATGTACACTTTGTCTCATCAGTATTTTGAAAATATACTAAGGGGTACATACTAAGTACTTTGCAAATATACTAAAAGATGGCAGACCATGTCACTAGGCAACACAATGACCCTTGACAATTATGCATATATAGATCTGTGGCCATTGTCTTTTTAAAAATTCATGTAAAAATTCCCATAAGTTCCTTCAAAAATGAGCACCAGTCTTAAAAACCTCTGCAACTTACTCTGCTTTCTGCTTTCCCTACTACCCACTACAATTTTCATGGAATTTTCACTTGATCATTAAAACACAAGATCTTACTAACCCAAATGTTTTTATTTATTGCTGTTTTATCAGATCTTGACAGCAGATTCATTCCTTTGTCCAGACATCCTATATATGACTGCCTAAACAATATTTAAAATACCTACTTGGTTTAGCAGCATCCTACTATTAAGGAGCATCCTGTCTGCCTGGACCTGCAGCCACATCATAGTAACAGATTTAAATATTTTGTAGAAACATACAAAAGGTGTCCTAGAGATTCTTACAGATTCAAAAGCTATACATAACTATATTTTTCTTATTTTTTTCCATTTTTCTTCATGTTTAAAATATTTACTTCAGAGTCATTTATCTTTCTCCTCTTATCTGCCGAAGTTAATTTTTTTAGGCATATCATCGAGGTCTATACTTTAAGACAATCATATTGATGCCTCAACATTATGTCACACACATGGAAACCCAGGCTTTGGGGTTTTTTTGTTAGTAGCTAAATTCCTCTAATGCTACATACAGTATAAAAATGAAATTTTAAAGCCAAATTTTATGAACTCAAATTAATTTGAAATGAGTGCATTTACATTTGGCTGGATATTTTTATTTTGTTAACTTTTCTTCTAGCATGGAAGATGGTGAGAAACAAGATAAGGCAAAGGAAGTACAATCTGAGCAGCTAGAAGAGGGAAAAATGAAGAAAAAGAAGAGAAGGCATGGACAAAAAATTGAGAAACCAGAGGCTGTTATGGCTAACTTCTTCAAAGCTTTGGAAATCTATCAAACGAAGATGCTTGTAAGTTTGTCTTAAATTCTTTAATAATTGATTTTTAATTTCTAGAACCACTTTTGATATTTAATGGAGAAATGCCATCATACAGGGAAATCTGGTATGAGTGTTCATTGGTTGTAGTCAGTCTTTTGTGATTTTACACTTCTTAGAGTTATATAATTAAGTGCTTCTGTGTGTAATTTCTGACAGGAAAGATTAGGCTCTTGTTCTCCTTTTTAGGAGCTTACTGTTTCATATAATCTAACTTCTAGAAGAAGTTACTTTCTATTGTTCTTTGTTTTTAAAACCATAAAATGTTGAATTCTCTGAAAACTCTCAAGTAGTTTTTTTCCCAGTATTCTGGAAAATATATTTCCACACTTCTTTCTGTTTCAGTCTTCTCTGACTTATAATTTTAAGGCCATTATTTAAATTCCATTCATCATGAAGAAGGGGAATAGGCTGCCAAAAATGCCCTCGCTTATTATGTGTATGGTGTATTATGCTCATGGTGTATGAAGGCAATACAATTATGTATTTATTGTTTTAAAAATCTTGCTATCTATTTTTCTTCTTTTGATATTACTCACAGGTTACCTTTAATTACTTTTTATTTTTTACTTTCAGCATTACTTGGCAAGAAATTTTTACAACCTGAGGTTTCTTGCTCTATTTGTTGCATTTGCCATCAATTTCATTCTTCTGTTTTACAAGGTAAGATAACACTGTTCTTTAAATATTTTTGTTAGTACCAGAGGATCCAATAATTTAATGTTTGTACTATCTGCTTTTATTTTATTCAGGCTGAATGAAAAGAGATTTATTTATTTTCTCCTTTATAGCTGAGTTTCTAGGCACTTTTTCATTTAATCACATAAGTCTGTTGTTTGGACTTTTAATCTTGTTCTGGGAAAACTGAAATTGACTAAAATAATTCAAATATCAAAACTGTTGAATTCTTTTAATTTGTTCTCAAGTTATTAAGGGGCTTCAGTTATCTAGTTATTCTTAGTTACTTCTTTTTTTAAGTAGGCTACAGCTCTTCTTGTCTAGCTCACTGATGAAGAAGGCTATACATTCACAGTTTAAACCTAATCTTAGAGATTCACCTGAAACTAGAGCTGCTTTAGGTTCTGGTTTAGAACACCAGATGATACAAAGTAGAACATCCTCAGCAGCCTCCACAAATTTCTTTCATGAATCTTCACAATCTTGAAATGAAACAGGTTAGATTTCAATAAAGAGAACTCCCATCCACAGAAGCCTCATTTTTTCCCCTTTCAACACTGAAGAAGAGTTCTGATTTATCTATATTCTGAAATCTGGACCTTTTGATTTTCCCCTTCTAGATATAGAATGGAAGTTGTAATAAGCTGTTGAATCTTGTGTTTTCCAATATTACATATTCTATTACATATTCTGTTACTCACAACCGAAAACTTTAACAACAAAAGGAGCTGGCTGAACATTCAGTCTAGAAATAACTGAGTTCTGTTCTCAAATACCGTGAAATGCAACTCCTATAACACAATTACATTCTTAGATGCACGGCAGGTAAAGATGTAAAAAGCTCTTGGAAACTGGGCAGAATGTATATGCACCTTCCAGGACAAAGATGTCATGGCTGTTTAGGGCTTTCTCCTTGTCTATTTCTTTCTTTCCCACAGGGTTAGAGAAGATGGACTTCAAATATACATGTAGAATTCTGCTTTTGTCTATGCCAGTCTGCTTTTCTCCCCATTCTCTTCTGCTTTTCTTTGAGTCTGGTGGGTGATGACCCGTTCTGTTGAAGAACAAGGACAAAAGTTCACGTCTGTCAGTGCAAGTCCATCTGTCATACATAGGAAAGAGTCAGTGGGAGTCAAACAGGACTGAACAGGACTTTATCTTTTAGATAAAGCTGTCAAAAAAGCACCCCTAGGAATTTTATTTTAAAGGGCAGGTTTTTAAAGTCAGTGGAAGAATTTAGGGCAGTATGTCAGCTGATTAAATACTGTATATAATTTGTAAGCTCTAAACTGAGTCATGAAATACAAAGTTATGAACAGTGTACAAGTTGATTATATTAAATTTTTGCTTCTTTTTAGACTCGAGCAATCAGGAACTATGTAGATTAAAAAAAAAATCCCTGAATTCAATCATAATAGATAACCCAGTCATTCCTTGCTTCTTCCAAGAAATAGTTTTTTGCATAACTTTTTCATTTTTCTCAGGTGACAGAAGAGCCACTTGATGAAGTAGAGGAAGACTCTAATCTCTGGAACTCCTTTGCTGAAGAGGAAGAGGAGGAGGGCATGGTGTTTTTTGTTTTAGAAGAAAGTACTGGCTACATGGCACCTGCCCTCAGAGCACTGGCAGTTATTCATACTGTAATCTCCTTTGTCTGTGTCATTGGATACTACTGTTTAAAGGCAAGTTCTCAATCTTACTGTTTGTTAAACAATGGCTATGCTCCAAGGTGATGCTAATACTGGAATAGCTATATGTACCTAGTTTTTTACAAATTCTCACTTCTCAATAGGGAGATGTTTTCCTTTTGTACTCTGACCAGCATAAATGAGGTAAACTTTCTTCCTAGCAGTGTGTGTGTGTTTTGGATTTTTGGTTAAAACAGTGCAGGTAACAGAGCCACATTTGGTTATTCCTGGACAGTGTTTGCCCAGTGTGAGGGATCTGTCTTTGCTTTACCCACTCTGTGCATCCCTCAGCAGGTATGTTGGGAAGGGCCATAGCCAGGACAGCTGAGCCAACCAACCAGAGGGATATTCCATGGCATGTAACAACATCACGCTCAGCACTAAAAAGCTGTGTGTGGGGGCGGGTTGAGGCTTGACTGCCAAGGTGGCAGAGGTGCTCAGAGGCTGCCTAGGCATTGATCTGCCTAGTGTGGGAGATTGTAGTGTGATGTTTGGTCTCACATTTTTGTGTTATAAGGAACCAAAAATACATAAACCATGACAAAGATGGCCACTGTCACTTCCACAGGTCCCTCTGGTTGTATTCAAAAGAGAAAAGGAGGTAGCTAGAAAGCTGGAATTTGATGGACTATACATAACTGAACAACCAACTGAGGATGATATTAAAGGACAATGGGATCGCCTTGTTATAAATACTCCGTAAGTAAAATTAAATTACTCTATGCGAACTGCTCATAATATTACAGCTCGTTAAGCCACTGATCTAGAACCTTTCCTGTCCACCTGTCACTTATTTAATCTAAAAGTAAGACATTTAGCACCTTATATTAGATGCTACAGTAGTAGATTATAATGTGAAATCCTATATTATCTGTTTATTTAATAAATACCATGATGACACATACATTCCACTCTTTTTCATTTTCTACGGTTTGCAAGGATTAGGTATTTTACTTCACAATGTCTCTCCAAGACATTTTGCATATTAGTCTCTAGTGATAAAATTTTGAAAAGATAACTTCCATCCTTTCCAGTGACTATTTCACTTGTACAGTAATATACTCCTCCCTTTCTTTCCCATTCCTTGGTAAAGAAATTTGTATGTGGCAAGAGGAGTAAATCTAGTGAAAAATAGCATTCCTAGAATTTGAGTAGGTCTGATCGGAATTTCTCTCAAGTTGTAGGCATTAGCAAATATTGTAGTACTCATATAGTGATTCTCAGAATCTCAGTAAGCTGCAGCAGTTTTGAGGAGTGGCACAGACTAACACAGCAAGTCAGCTCTCTTCCACAGAAAGAATGCCTTGAGTACAAGCTGCTTTTCAGAATTTACTGGTAGGTTTAGATTATCTGTTAGGAAGAGGTTCTTTACTATAACAGTGGTGAGGAACTTAAACAGGATGCCCAGAGAAGCTGTGGATGCCCCAGCCCTGGAAGTGTTCAAGGTCAGGCTGGATGGGGCTTGGAGCAACCTGGTCTAGTGAAAGCTGCCCCTGCCCATGGCAGGGAGTTGGAACTAGATCATCTTTAAGGTCCCTTCCATCTGTGCTTCCATGATTAGAATTTCTAAAATACTGGAAATTCTTTTAAGAATTTTTTTTAAAATTCATTCAGCAGTATGAACTAACACATATTATTAAAGTTACAACTAACTGGGAAACTGGAGAGCTTGCTTATTTTCCAACCAGTTTCTTTCACTATTGATAGCAACCCATCTAGATACCCAGTAAGTTATCTTCAGCAAACAGGAGAATGAATTAATGAAATATATTGTCAATTTATCCTTAATGACATGCTGTACAGTCTGTTCTCAGCACATTGCACTGTCTACTGAAGTTAAAAAAAAGATTAAGCCTAATTTAAGCAAGCTAATCCTTCCCTCTAATGTTAACTGAGTCTTGAGGTTTACTGCAAGTACTGTATGATCAGAATAACCACTGTTGGAGGGTACCCAGTGTTCTGTATAAACTGAAATATGCTTTCTATAATGGGAAAAAGTAATTAAAAGTGCAAAAGATGTACCCTGACAAATTATTGCAGTTTTTTGTAAAAGAGATAGACGCAAGCTGGCTACACTATGACATATTTTGCTTAAAAGCCTGAGAAATCAAGCAAAAAATAATACAGATTATTGGACTAGAATATACCATCCATTTGAGTCACTAGAAGCATTTGTCTTTATCTGGATTAATTTAATTCAGAATTCCAATTCAGAAAGGTAAAAGTTGGAGCAGAGTTATTGGGAAGTTTGTCTCACATCCCAGCAGAACATTGTTGCGGAATCTCATTTTTCTTGTGCTAGCACTTACTTTATTTTACCAGTACTGTCCTTTAGTTTAAGTAATTTTTCTCTTTTACATTCCTGCATATTTTCTCAACTCAGTGTTATTTCCAGGAAATGAGGAGAGAAAAATCTTAAATTTTGTAGTGTTTCCTGCTAACTGGCATTCCTCAAAACGGATATAACAGATAGTAAGATCATTAGAATGAGCAGTTCTGGGATACTGCTATATATATATATATATATTTGCTATGTATTGGCAAATTATATTGAATTTGCTTGGCAAGTTAAATATTTTTATATTTTCTGTTGGCAAACAGTTGACTGATTCTCAAGTGTTCAGTCTCTGCTTGAAATGTAATCCAATGAACTTAAAAATTATTTATGCTTTAAGATTCTCTATTTTTCTCTGAAAAGTATTGGTTTGATTTTTATGGCTAGAGGTGATAAAATATTTATTTAGTAGATGAATGATATTACAGTGACTAACCTGCTACTATGGAATAGTTAAGCTTATCAGGTGATAGTATTGAGCCTGCTGACCTTTTGTAGCCAGTCATATTTGTGAATGGGAAAAACAAAGATGGTTTGGAGGCAGAAGATAATATTGCAGCAAATTATGATTGATAATTGTTGTTGTCTCCATGAAAAGAAATCATTCTCCTGATTTGAAGTGCAGAGAGTGAAAACAATTATGCAATGATCAGGAACATGGTATTTTCTCTTTTTTAAATTGGTATTTTTCCTTTCCCCTAATAAGTCAAATAACGTGAAATGTCTTTGCCTAATCTATGTAGGTCCTTCCCTAACAACTACTGGGACAAATTTGTGAAACGAAAGGTAGGCTTTTTATATTTCTATTATGTTTTTCAGATCAATAATCTACTATTTGGTTAATTTGGATATCTGTATGTTTCTGTACACATAAATACAGAAATAACAGAGAACTGGAATTTGTTTTATGGAAGTCATTGTTGTGTTAAACGTCTCGGTGAACAGGCAGCTGTGGCGTAGGTGGGAGGAGGGAGGAAGACAGAAGACTGTGGTTTCCTTCCTAGACACAGACATTTGAAATAATTTCATGCTGTCAATCAGCCAGCAGGTCTAATTTGCAATCATTGTCATCTTTAGGATACAAAGCCCCCTCATTGCCCTAAAAAAAGAAAAACATGCCAGCTTAAATGACAGAAAATTATACATAAGCTTTCAGATAATAGCCTTTAATGCTTCTATTTTTCTTTTTATGCTCCCCTGGTTTCCTGGGAGTTCTTTCTGTTCTAGTAGTGTTAATTGTGAAGGACTTATTTTTTAATTCCTGACAACTACTGGTCTAAAGTAGGTGAATGTCAATGAGGAGTTTCTGTGAGCAAAAGCTTCCCTTTTTCCCTTTCTAGGTTATTAACAAGTATGGAGACTTATACGGAGCAGAGCGCATTGCAGAACTTCTGGGTTTAGATAAAAGTGCCCTTGATTTTAGTCCAGTGGAAGAGAGTGAACCAGAAGAGGCATCTCTTGTCTCATGGTATGACTTCTGAGCTTCACAGACAAATTATGCATTGGAATAATTTCATCATCAAAGATAAAAATGGATTTCATTTTGAAACTGTTGTGATATTTTCCTCCATGTGGAAAATTCAAATGGATGTCTTCCTAGTGTGAAAGTAAAATAAAATATCTTTTTGTTTGTTCTAAAACACAATTATGTTATAAAAGGAAGAAAAAAAATCAGCAAATTTATGCTGACTGATATAGTTAGCTACTCTTTCATTTTAAACAATAATTAATGCACCATTTATAAGGTTTTACAATAAAGTTTATAAACCAATGCATCAAAAAAAGTATTGATAATACTTAGATACAAGTGTCTAGTACAGATTCAGAGATGTTTTCCTGACTTAGTCAAGATGAGACCTTGAATGTGTCCTGGTCCCAAGTGATTTATGCTCCTACAAGAGTTGGTTTTCTCAATGTGTAAGATGCACAAGAATTATTTCCCTTTCCATGCCCTCCAATGGCTGATAAAATATTTAGAATATTGAAGAAGGCATTACCTTTTCTCTTGGTTATTCTGGCAGTATTTTATACTAGACAGGACACTAACCTCTTAAATTTAAGCAATCTGTTTTCCACATTTCACTACTTTTGGCATAGATCGTATTTTTTTAATTGTGGAATACGGAAGCATCATTCTTCCTAAGATTGTTACACCAGCTTTGTTGATTTAGAAACTCTTTGTGGTGCTCAGAATTAAGAATAGTCTCTGAAAAATTAAGTATCCGGATCACTCAAAAAATGAACAATTAATCTACATCACCACCTTCAGCAAAAATAGTGAAGTGCCACAAGTAGTTTGCTGCTTATAAATACAGAATTCAATACTTATTTTTGACATTTATGCATTTGAATTTTTTTTTATTTCTTAGGCTAAGCTCCATTGATACAAAGTACCACATTTGGAAGCTTGGAGTTGTTTTCACTGATAATGTGAGTATGTTAGCCTAGATGAATATGCTTTGATTTACTCTAAACATGTATGTCCTTCACCATCTGATTTTATTTTCAACAAACATACACAAATAATATTGCATTACAGAGCCATTTTAAAATATTTTTTCTGCCTTGTGATTAGACTAAAGGGTGCTTTAATCAGAATTATATACTGCACAGTATAGATGGTTATAACTGCTATTATCATACATTATTTATTAAATTAACGGTTTAAAAGGGAGTTCAATAATTATTGTTATGTTACTTGCCCATATCAGTGACAGTAGGCAAACTTCTTTGCCGCAGCCTCAAGGAGTAACCCTGGAGAGTGTTCCCCTTCAAGTAAAGAATCTACACACAGCCCTGCAGGTGCTAGAAATTCCTGCCGTTAAAAAGCGGGACTGAGTTTTTACAACAAAGTGATTGAGTAGAACTCAATATGTTAGCTCAGCAGAGCACCATTCATCTTAAAATAAGTTATTAGTACTACCAATCATTGGTTGCTCTATCAATCAGGAATCACCTGCCTTCCACATCCCTGCCAGTGCCAGTAGCTGTCAAGATAAACAGGTTTTTCACATCCTTGTGATGTCTGTTTTTGGGGTTGTTGAGTAAGGCTGGTCTCAGCATTTTTCCAACAGCAAAAGCATTGTGATGTCCCCATTCATCACTGGTAATTTTCAAAAGTTGGCTGAAGTTTGAGCTGTTTAATCCCTACATAGGCAAAGTGTCCTACTACAACAGCTTGAGTGACTTCAAAATGCTATGTTCTGCATCCAATAATGCACATCAGCACCTATTAACCCTCTGCTACTATTCACTTTCTCTGCAGTCATTTTTATACTTAGCTTGGTACACAACTATGTCTATCCTTGGGCACTACAACAACTTCTTCTTTGCTGCTCATCTGCTGGATATCGCTATGGGTTTTAAGACATTGCGAACTATTCTGTCTTCGGTCACTCACAATGGCAAACAGGTTAGTGCTACATGCAAAGGTTTGAAAAAAAATACACTTTGTAAAAGTACTGGAAATAACTTGTACTGAAAATATCAGAATGAAATTCATTTATATGATTATCGGATTGATCATATCTGCTGCAGCACACTTAATACATGTTAAAACCTATGAAATTATGACAATCTATACCCACCAATTGATGACAGATAAAGAAGTGTTGTACACAATAGAAAACACATCATTTTAGAAAAACATAAGAATATGAACCAGCTCATTCTATATGCTCAATGATGAGCTGATTGGTGATAATATATTAAGAATACACAATGCCACCTTAGCTACAGCAGTAATAATGATCTGGGCACGATAAGATTTCAATACCTGGCTAACAAGAATGTGCTTAAAGGTGTGGCCATTCTGCACTATGGAATACACTTCTATGGCCCTTTGTCATGCAAAACTCAGGTTAATAAAATGTAGTTCTAAAACTAGTTGTTAAAATTTTTGCAAGGAATCATGCTCTGATCTCCAAGGTATCCATGTTCCTAGCGAGCATAACAACAAAAAGCAAGCTTTATAGTTACTTTTAAAATTACATTTAAGAAATCTAAATTCCCCAAAATATCATTTTATACATACACATTCCATTGCTTCTCAAATACAGTAGCATATATTCTAAGCCCACACCTATGCCCTGCTAGATTTGTCAAAACATTTTATACCACATGATGTTTTGGAAGAGGCATAAAAATATACCCACACAAGGTGATGACGTGTTATCATCACACAAAGAAATGAAATCTCTGGTTTTATACTATTTATTTTACTTCAGGATGACCAATTTCATATTCATTTTAATGATTCTAATGACTTATATATCTTCCTTAGGAATTTTTAAGAAATGTCACAGTCAAAAGTGAGCATAGTTGACAAAACTGTTTTAACTCAGGACCATGGTTTTACATTCGTAATCAGCCATGAATAATTTTTCTAATCTTGTTGTTTTCCTGGCAAATAAATATGAACACTGAAAGCTGCTTATTTCTGCGCTGAAATGCTCACTTTGGGAGCATGCTGACAGATCCGCATAGTGATAATTGATCAGTTTGTCCTTCAATACTCTTATGTTTCTTTTAAAAGACTAAATACTGGTTGTTGCATTTCTTAAACTATGTACCTTTGAGAAAACTCCTCTCCAGAGATGTATCTTTTAACACCAACTTCAACAGACAATATAATCTAGTTTCATTAACTGCTAAACTTTTTCACCTAATGATTTTATTTCCTTGGAGGCAGGACCTGGAAATTACTTATTCCTATCTAAAAATTTTACTCTCCATTTTAGCAATGGCTTTGCTAAATAGCTTTGTAAGAGAAAATAGACTATGATAAGTCTTTATTTTCATTATATAATTTTTATTGTATATCCAGTGTTTCAAGTTATTATAATTAAACTTTTAAACTAAAGAGTGTAAAAAATTGCTTTAGTGATATACACACATAACTGCTGTCTTTAGTTTTCTTACTGGGAAAGGTACAATATGACTAATTTTCAATATTTAAGGCAATGCACCAAGCAGGCATGTCTCTTCTGACAAAATGATATGGAAACCTATTTTCATGTCATGTCTCCACACACAGCTTGTGCTCACTGTGGGACTCCTGGCTGTAGTAGTGTACCTTTACACTGTGGTGGCTTTCAACTTCTTCCGCAAATTCTACAACAAAAGTGAAGATGAAGATGAACCAGACATGAAGTGTGACGACATGATGACGGTAACTAAAACATCACCTTTGTGCCTCAAATATGATCCTGAATTTTCAAATGGTTACTTTAGACAGAATGATGAGTAAGGATGGATGTGTTTGTTGTTAAATCTATTGGGTTGTTCTTCTTGATACAAGTCATTTTGGAAATACTAATAGTTTTGAGATTCCCTCTGCATTCTCCAGTGGTCTAAACTCAATGGCAAATAGAGGACACATAGGAAAGTATTCTGATTTTTTCTCCTAAATACTGTGGTTTATGATGTGCCACAATGCTTTTACAGTTGAGGATGGCAAACCCTCATAGTAAAAAAGGAATTTCTGGACAAACTGGTCAGAGTTTCAAAAAGCAGCTGTGTTTTCACAACAAAGAAACCCCATTTGTTCCCAATGTTTGCAAGTATACACGCTCTTTCTATCCTTATTTAGATTATATAAATTATGTGATGTTATTAGCATTGGTTATAAAAGCCTACTCCAAAATTAAAATTAGTAATTTAATCTTAAAAAATAAGTTAGAATGCAGAAATTCCAACTTATAATAGGTGATAATCTTATGATACCAATTACAATCTGATTTCTACTCATTGCCACTGACTGTTATTTCTGTCAAAATAGCACATACTCTACAGATATATATTAATATACAAAGAGGATTTGATTTTCTTACTGTATACAGAAAACATAAATTCAGGTATTAAATGCAATAGTCTGAGTTTGGGTTCAGCCGACATCTCCTAAGGAACAGAAACTCTGTGCTCTGCATTTTACATGAGATAGAATAAAATACCTCAGAGGTGTATCACTGACTTCACTGAATGAATTCCTTCCTATTCTTGAACTTTCTTTTAAACACTCAGTGCAGCTTAGACATGCAAATTACAGAAATTATGAACCCTGCCCAAACTTTGTGAGCTGAATACTGTGGTTTGGTTATAAAATAGGTGTAGGAATAATTAGAATAATATAACTATGCTACATTTTAAACCACTTTATTAAGTGATGTAAATAAATCCTATGCTAGATTTTTAAGTACTATTGAACTAGTACTATCTAGTCTTATCTCATCAGTAAAATTGCATTATAAAATGGATGCACAGTTCTGTTTAGTGTTTGCTAATGCTAGGTTTTATACTCATTATTTAGCACCCTGATGTCTAATGTGACTCCAGAAAATTGGCTATGGTTAGAGATTGATATTGGTTTTAAGCCATACTGTGTGGCTAAAGGTTGTTTACAAGATTCTGTAGACAGTCATAGAGCAACATCAGTAGTTTATCACTCTGGCAGAAGATTCCATTCCAAAATACTTACAGAGCTTAAGCATAGAGATTATTAAAGGTTTTTCAATTAAGATTTATATCTTCAAAAATATGACAATACTTTTGTAAAGTGATTTTTTCTGCATGGAACTGAACACAGGTCATTTCACAGATCACAAGCAATTTACAATATAATAAATCAGATATCTAGTATTGCAAAATTAATTTATCTAGAAACCACCTACAAACAGGTAGATCTACTTGTGAAAATCCCACTATTCATTTTATGGCAATATTTTCCACATTTTTAAACTTCACTGCAAGACTTTAAAAGATGTCTTCTTCTTACTCAGAGCAAGATATACCCTTAGAAATCAATATAAGGAGTAGAATATAGTTGAATACAGTAACAAATACAAGAAAAATGCTTCCAAAATAGTCTCAGTCTGAAAGTAAGACCCAGTGAGTGAGGATCAGGTAACACTCAGCTGATGCTGACTCCCCCTCTTAGTAAGTGTACCTGAAGGTGGAATCACATTAGTTAAGACAGTAACAGATTTTTGGTGCAGTGTGTTTGATACACAAGAAATGATATTATGTGTTCATGTTACCATAAAATTTCAAGAAAATTAGCAGAGCAGAAAAGAAAAAAACAACTCTAAAAGAATAGTTAATGGTAAATATATCTGTAATATTCCTCTCTCTTTTTTAGTGTTACCTGTTCCACATGTATGTGGGTGTAAGAGCTGGTGGTGGCATTGGAGATGAAATTGAGGATCCTGCTGGAGACCCTTATGAAATGTACCGAATTGTCTTTGACATCACATTTTTCTTCTTTGTCATTGTTATCCTACTGGCCATTATTCAAGGTACCATCACTTACCTTAGTAGACTTGTTCAAAATTAATTCACCATTGAAAACTGTATTTATGTTTGAGGTAAATTTAGCAGTATTGCTGTAAAGACTTATTTCTGAGTTTAAAAAAACATTAATTCTGAAAGTAATAATTTTATATTAATTAATACATAATACACCTTTTTGCAGTACTACACAAAATCAAAGCCCAAGGAATGTTACTTACATGGGTTGTAGTGTTTATGAACACTTTTCTAACCATCCAGCAATGATGAACCTTGTGCAGGATCACTGTTCTCCTATACCAAGCATTTAAACTTGGGAGAGCCTTGCCAAAGACACTCTTCCCACTTGTAGCCTGGAATCACCACAGCTGACTGGGGAATGGAGACTTTCCAGTTGGAAATGGTAGATGACATGGAGAAAGTCACCATGGCCACACAGCCATTTCCTCCTTTCTTTAGAGGTTGATTTGCAGTTTTAATTGGTTTGCAGTTGTGGTTTACAGCAAACAAGACCCCTCTTCAGTCATGGGCAGCATTCAACACTCATTGCATAAACTCTTCTAAGGCTGTTAGGAAAAAACTGCACTGTTTTATGGCAAGCTGGTGGCAAAGAAAAAAATGTAGCATATCTATAATGAGAAAAAGTTACAAATATCATAGTCTCCAAAATTATCAAATTCTTTTCTTAAAACATTGAAAGTGGAGGAGTAATGCTTCAAATGTGAAGCAGACTCACTAACAAGGTGAGCTGTAGGAGCAGAACTATGTTGAAAAAAAGACTTGGGATATAAGAGTTTAAAGAGAAGGAGAGTGAAAATTAATTTTATTCATGGGAACCAAAGAGATGAGTTTGTGTAAGGTTAAATGGACTATAATAAAGCATAAAAAAGTCTTTCCACTCTCAATAGTGTGCCTGTATCTAAAAGTACACTAAATTCTAGACACTGGAGGACTGACATTACTTGCAATATGAATATTGCTAAGTACTGAAGTGTTGCTACTTTTCTGTTTGAAATAGGTCTGATTATTGATGCTTTTGGTGAATTAAGAGACCAGCAAGAACAAGTGAGGGAAGACATGGAGGTAGGAAGCATATTACATTTTTCATTGCTCTTGTTCACCTAGATTGTCACCATTTAGTGTTTTTGAGTTAAAATTTATCTGTAACCACAACTTCTGCTTTCAGACCAAATGTTTTATTTGTGGAATCGGCAATGACTACTTTGACACAACCCCACATGGCTTTGAAACACATACTTTGCAAGAACATAACTTGGCAAACTATCTGTAAGTACATTTTACAATTGGAATTATGATAAAGAGACCTTTCAGATGTAGTGTCATTTAGGTGCACACGTTGCTGAAAATCCCAAGCCAGAATTCTACAAAGCTGAGGATTACTTCCTCTCCTTTAGGGTCTCTCCTCCACTATTCCACACTAATGGTTACCTTTAAGTGCACACCTTGCACATGAGTTACCTTAGTAGTATGAGACCAGAAGGCACATCAACTCCTTATTCTGCTGGGAGGAAAGCCAGATATGAGGAAGGGTAGGGGACAGTTTAGTATGTTGCTTTAGTGTGGAAGTTTTGGTTGTGACTTATGGTGGCTTGGTAGTGCTGAAGAGATCATAGAAAATTAGCTTCAATTTGATAAAAAAGAAAACCCAAATCAAAACAAATTCTAAAAAGTTCTTTAAAGATAAGCTCCAAAAAATAATTGACTCCATTCCTATAGTTCTTTAGTTACAGTGGAGTGTTTTGAAACCTTGAAGCAGTCAGGAGCTGTACATGTTTAGACTATACCAAACTCCCAAGAGTTTCCACTTTCATTAGCAAATATAGAGCAGACCTAAGAAGATATTAAAAAAATTATTCTCGTTGCATTAATTACTCAGACAACAAAGATAATTAATTATACAAGCATTGCACAAGCAGAATGAAAGGAGAAGCTGGTGAAATCTTATAGCAATCTGGCTTTGGAACACTGCATCTGAACTTTTTTGAACTTTAAAAAAAAAAATCAATTGCTAAACGCGATTCAAATTTCTATCAATAGCCATAGTTTTACCAAGCTTTTCTTACTATATCAAATTGCTTAGTTGTTACACAGAACATCTATTTCACCGTAAATTAAAAATGGCAATTTTCTTCATAATAGAATATATAGTGAACAATCTTTTTACCCAAATTACCCCTTAATTAGACAACTGTTAAAATCAGTGTACTTTCCTTCCTTCACAATGAAAGCCCATAACCTCATTCCAAATTCACTGCACTGAAACTGACCAACCATGAGTAGTATTACCTCTAAACACACCACAGTTGGTTCTTTACAGTCTTCCTAATTAGTTGAAGCACTCAACATTTGACTGAGCTCAGGTGCTGGGGAAGGATAGGCTCAGAACTGAGCTGTACAGCAGCAGTGCTCAGAACTCCTGGTGCAGCTCAGTATTTGCCACACTTCTCATGCAGTAGCCATAGTAACCTCTTCCAAGGTGACATGTTGGATCATATGTGCTCAGAATTTGGCATCTGCCTAATTCAGGTATTGCTCCTCACACTGAAACGAAGGAAATGCTAAACTGCATTTTTCTATTTTTATAGATTTTTCACCTCTTAGCACTTTTATAGGAGACATGCTTCAGGACAGAATTTTCTCCCTTAAATTAAGCACTTTAGATGCCTAGCACTGTCATTGCTTTGCTGGTTGGCATAATCTTCCTCACATACCCCAGACTATAAAAGGTCAGGCAGAGATACAATGTTCCCTGCATTAATACCCACTTCATGTGCTTGTTTCAGGTTCTTCTTAATGTATCTAATTAACAAGGATGAAACTGAGCATACTGGCCAGGTGAGTAGAAAATAAAATATAAGAAAAAACATTAAGCTTATCTTTCAACAATTTTATATTCCCAAGCCTTGTGGCTGTGTACCAGCAGGTGGAACTGATGTACCAGTGAGAAGTGTGGATGATGCCACTCTCCCCAAGAGGCTACTGCCAGTGAAAGGAAAGAAGGGTTAAAATAAAAGTGGGGGGGGGAGAATGCTGCACTGTGCTATTTCGCCCAGCAGTGAACTTTGTCAGAAGTCAGTTTGTAGTACTCTTACAGTCAACTTATCCCTGAAAAGAAAATCTCAAATGCACCAGGTATTGTTTATTCCCAAGAGGTTTAAGTAGTTAAGATACTATATTGATAGTCAAAATCTATACATATGTGAAGATAGATAGGTATTTGGGTGACCATATATTTAGCATTGTTAGGCCCTAAAGGCAAATAAATAATGAAATATCTGGAACTTAATTATATCTTCTCACTAATAAGAAGCTCTTAGGCAAACACTACAAAAGTACCTTTGTTTGTTGCCAAAACAAAACATGTTTGCTCTGATATAAATAGACTGATTAATTTATACATGGATATTTTACTAATAGAGCTTAAATTTTGAGTTCCAGTGTCTTTACAATTCTATTCCATGGTAGCAGGCACAGTATGTGGTTATTGTTAGAAGTTTATCTACAGCACTAACTGCACAATGACTGGTAAAATAAATACTCTTTCTCATTTTCAGGAATCATTTGTGTGGAAGATGTACCAAGAAAGATGTTGGGATTTTTTCCCGGCAGGGGATTGCTTCCGAAAACAGTATGAGGATCAACTTGGCTAATATCACAAAAGAAAGGATTTATTAATGAACTGCTAAGATCCAGTATACAAAAAAAAAAAAAAAAAAAAAAAAAAAAGTTCTTTTCACGGCATAATTTCACAGCTTGTATTTGCTTTAAATGTCTTCAAAGTTCAAGACACATATAAAATTTGACACTATTTCAGAGGCATTTTGTACCTACCACATATGAAACAGGTCTTTTGTTGGAATTTTAATTAGCAAAAACTATGCCAGATTAATTTAAGCCTTCCAGTTCAAACATGGCCGAAAATTAGAACAACTTTTTAACCACATCATTAACCTGGTGTTTGGCAGTACAGTTGAAAGGGCTAAAAGGCATCTTAATTGCACATCTGACATTGAAGAACTTGAACATCAGAGACTGTACCTCAGAAAAAATAGTTCAACTAACTGCTGTCCCATTTTTCCCTACAGTATTTGCTAGTGAATGTATTAAGATACAGTTTGAAAAGCTTTAAGCAGTTAAAAAGAAATCATTTTCAAACACTTTGTCAACCTTGAAACATTAAAGTGCCTTAAAACCTCTGTAGACATAGCTATGCAAACTTTTTGTTAGTGTTCTAGATGAACAGATCCATTACCTGTATTGCTTTTCTGTCTTTCTGTATCAAATTGCACTTAAAATTTGTTTATATACTACCTTCAATAACAGCTTATTAGATACTGCTGTTAAAAGACATACACTGTATCAAAATGAACACAATTTAAATCTTAGGCCAAAATAAAACAATGCTCTATGGTCACCTGCAAGTAGAAGTTAGGATGATGTTTTTGTTTTTTTTCTTCTAATAAAAAGTGCCCACTGCAATAAAGTATTATAAACCAAAATAACTGTTGCTGTCATCTTTCCCATTTTTCTACAATACTGAGTTTTTTGTGACAATAGTAACTAAAAACACATATATTCATTGTTCATCCACAGCTTTATTTTAAGGACTATATAGAACAAGTACAAGCTGAAATAATTGTTCTCTTTCTGCACTGTAGCCTGCTTCTTTAGCAAAGAAAACTCTTAACTTCATCACAAATTTTAGACCTTTTTAATAATATCATTAGTCTTCAACAATTTTCAATCTTTTCTAAATTCATTTTGATTGCACAAAATTTTAAGTGCCGGCAAAGAAAAACAGGCATTTGGCATACAGAGAAAGGAAATAACAAGGAGATAAAGAAAGATTCAAGTTTCTACATAATGTTTGCTATATTCAATTATTCATATGAGGAAATTTGAGCTTCAGGCAATCATGCTGTCCAGCCAATCCTCGAGCTCTTCTTCAGTAACATCTTTAGATGTATTTTGCTGCTGCTGTGATGATGTGCTCTTGTCTTCAGGCATATCTACTTTTAAAGGCTCTAGAGAAGCGAAAACAAGAACACTGAATATGTGTAAACAAATCCATATTACCTCTGTCCTGCACTGCTTTACTTTGAATACACAACTGACTGTATTTAAACACAATCTCCCCTTCTTGAAGAACAGCAAGTCATATTCCAAAAATAGTTTCCATGCGCAACTTCATTTTGTAAAATCAATGCTAGTAAAGTTTGAAAGCAGTATTTAAGAGAAGCCATCAGAAATAGCTGTCAATTCTTCTGTACGCTATTAGCACAGTGAACTAAAGGTTGATGAAGTTACACAAATACTTTATCTTCCCTGCAATAAAATTCACTAGCAGTACACATTTTTTTTTAAAAATTAAGTTTTTGCTAAACCATAAGCCCAATGCTGTTTCACAGAGGAATTTCACTTAATGTTTAAAGTAAACTGACCATTGTGAAACTTCAGGTTAGTGAGGACCTAAAACTAAAAATGAATGAGCCAGAACACAGCCTCAGATAAATGAAATGCAGTGTGACAGTTTATGATAGTAGACTACTGACTGGCTAATCAAAAATTCAAAAACATCAAAATGGAGAGCAGTGGAAATTAAATAAGGTCATGCTGGGGAGAAAACTTACCATTTTCTTTACAATCCATTTTCAAATCTTTCTCAGTTGATATGCTGTAGGATAATGTACCTGATGCAGGTCTATTTTCTGTATTAATGGGAGCCTCCAGATTCAGGAGAAGATCTAGTTCTTCATCCAAATGGTCAGTGTCTTGATTTGATAGTGGATGGACTCTTTGAAATGATTCTCCTGCATTTCCCCTAGAGCCATTTTTACTCCCAGGTTCTGATGGAGCAACAGAATTACCAAGAGGATGGGAGACCAACACGGTTTCACTTTGAGCCAGAGACTGTCGGAACAGCTGCTCTCTCTTCTTCCCATCTTCAAAAATTTTAGATTTCATCTGTGGGATCTCTAGAGGTGTTGATGCCTATAGTAGAAGAAAGGACTTGAGTCCTTATAATGATTATCTGTTATTACTATTCTGTCTAATTTCAATTATAATTCATACTTGCTATAGTTGATCACTTAATAAGGTACAGGAAATTTGCCCAGAATTGAATTAAGAAGTAAAAGTAAACTAAAGTTATCTTGATACTTTTTCAAAAGCAAATGCAAAATACAAACTCCTTTTATACCTTATTAGAGAATTTGAGATTGTATGCTAACACTGGCACTGACAGAATCATAGAATGGTTTGGTTTGGAAGAGATCTCAAAGATTACCTGTTCTAAACTGCCTGCCACACGTAGGGAACTTTCCACTAATCCAGATTGCTCAAAGCCTCAATCCAACCTGGCATTGAACACTTCCAGGGATAGGTAGTCCATAGCTTCTCTAGAAAAGCTGTTCCAGTGCCTCACCACTCCTACAGTCAAGAACTTCTTGAAATCTAATCTAAATCAACCCTCCTTCAGATTAAAGCTATTTCCCTTGTCCTATCTACACATGCCAATGTGAGAAGTCCCACTCCAGCTCTGTTCTGTAGGTACTGAAAGGTTCTGGAAGACCTCTCTGGCACCTTCTGTTCTCCAGCCTGAAGAGTCCCAACTCTCAGCCTGTCTTCACAGGAGAGGTGCTCCAGCTCTCTGATCAACTTTGCGGCCTTCCTCTGCACTCACTCCAACACCTCTCCCAACCTGATGGTCAGGTTTCCTTTGAAACATGTCACACATTGCTGAGTAATGCTGAGCTTTTCATTCACACCCAAAGTCCTCGTTAGGGCTAGTCTTAAACCTTCTGTAAGGGCCATACTTCTTGCTTTGACAAATGTATCCTTTTAAGAATTTATTTTAATATTTAAATTTCACTGGCTCTTTTTCTCTTACAATAGTGTTTTCTTTTTCACAGTTTGAAAGAACACTTTACTAATATTGCTGCTATCCTTCTACTGGAGAATAAATTATACTTCCTTCACCTGTACAATTGACAGTTTTACCTATGAGGATTAATTCATGGAGAAAAGCATGCTTGTTGATATTAGCTATGTAGAAGATTAAATCACAATTAATATACTTAGCAGGAAGAATGTGAAAACACAAAATTTTGGTGCAAACTTTTAACAGCTGCTAACAAGAGAAGCAAACACTAAAACAGTGCAATCATTCTGTATCAAACACTCAATACGCAATTTAAAATCTAATATACTGCACATCCAGACATTTTGTTTAAGGTCAAATAGGCACACAAAAAGTGTCAATAGAGGGGTATCCTGTATTACATGCCACTTGATACACATCTAAATGAATGCATTTATTTATATAATACATTCTACTTCTGTCTGAAGACTTATCATTCTTGCACACATTATTTCTCCTAAAATATTTGCATTTTTTTGTGAACTTTCACAGCATTACCTGCACAAGGTCAGCAGCTATATTCAGCCTCAGATGTAGAGGCAATTCCTGAAGGGCCTGGACCAAAGACTGGCAGTCAACAGAAAGTGCAGAGAACTGAAACACAATACAACAGATAGTACACTTGTGAAAAAAAAACACAACCAACCAAATACAAAAACATCCACCAACAAAAACCGTCAGAATTTTAATGTATTCCATTTCCTTGTCGCATACATTCAAGAAATCCAATGAAATACACAAATTAATAGTTTAAAATACACATTTACGAAGCAGCTTGGCTAAATAATAACATATAAATGCCTAAAATGCATATAATCACTTAAGGTTTAAAAACAAGGTATAAATAGAATGCTCCTTAGCCAATACCTTGAAATTCCAAAGTAGGAAATAGTTCAGGAAGTCAACAATGGCATAAGAAGCTTTTCCAGCTGAAACATCTTTTGAACTGTGAAGCTTTCATGCAGTGTGAAATGCTATTATTTAATGAGTTGCCACTATTTCCTAAGCAATCATCCCATGCAGCTCCTGTGTGGCTAAATTTAATGCCTCAACAGAAGCCTTTTCATACTTCCCCATTTTTTCAAATGTTTTGATACTTCCAAAAGCAGCAAAGTATATATTTACAAACATTTCTAAAATTACTCTCCAGAAAGATTTGCTACTGCTGCTAAATGAGAACTTATTACTGCGACAGGTATTGAAGTTGCCTTTTCTCTTGACCCTTTTAAAAAAACAAATGTACACAAAATGGACCAGCAATATTTCTGGTTTCTACAGAACAGACCAGATTTCAGTAGTTTTAAAACAGACTTCAAGCTCAGAGTACAACAGAACATTCTGAACACATTCACCATGGATAAACTGGCAAAGATAAATCTGATATCCATCACATATTTTAAAATCTGACAACAAAATGCTTAAGTTCAGTCTAATGCTCTCAGTCTGTATTTTCATGGAAGTAGAGAAGTTGCTTCCAAATCTCACTTGAAGAGACAAAAATTTGTCCCTCTCAATATGATGTAGACTGGCACAGACATTTAAAATAAATACTCATAAATCCGGAGGGTTTTGGGACATATCATAAGAGATTTGTCAAAGAAATTCATACTGTTTCCAAAAGCTCATCAACACCTTTTAACAGGCTTTTAACACCTGCAAATGAAGCAAGAATGAACATCAAAGACATAGTGCATTCTGACAGTATATTTGCAAAATAAAAATAAATTTTTAAAAGAAACAATGCAGTCAATTTAACAGATTCTTTTATCCAAATTCAGGGTCTGGTATCCAGTAATGAGAATAAAAGGACTGAAAAAATATATGATGTAAGAATTTTTCTTCTGTACTGAGAACTTCATTTTACAATGGATTAGTGATCACCATCAAAGATGATTGGACTGGTGAAAGTAACCTCACAAAGTCTTTAGCAAATAATTCTTGTTGCCCAGCAATGAACTAGATGTTCAGAAAATAAAGTTATTTTGACAGATAAGGATCTAACGTGTCTTCTGCACAGTTGCAAAAGACAAGGAAATTGTATGAATCTGGTAACACAAAAATTCTAAAAGGTATAACTGAATAACAAATATTTAAGTGCATTTTGGAAGAGCTATGTATACATGCAAAAATATTAACATGAATGAACATTGCAAATGAAACTAAAAAAGTGGAGATAGGGAAGAGGAGAAAATGCTGAGGATAAAGGAAAAGGGGTATTTTGAGCTATAACATAATAGAAGAAGGAATTTGATATCTAAGTAGAGAATTCTCTAGAAGTGGTGTTCTAATAAAACGCAAAGGGATCAAAGCAGTACATAATAGATTATGAACACTTCATGGCACATAGCATTATTTGCTCAAAAAAATAGTAGAGGCATACTTTGTTGCTGGAATTGTCATTTTTTAATTGAAAAATCCAAATGACTAATAACTGTGCTTTTTCAATTGCAGACCATGGTATGAATGAGACCATGATTTTTATTGCATTTTATCAATATGCAATAGAGCAAATCTACTTTTTGTGAAAATGAAAGACAGTACTCTTAATAAATTGAAATTCTGTTATTGTTGATGTCACTG